ATGTACTACACCAGATGATGAGAACATGAAGGACACCATATGGCGCATGAGGTTGATCATGGATCAGAAGTCCAAATCCCCATCATCATCCGAAAGATCCAAAGCTGCAACCAGAGGCAGAAAAGACAAGCTCCCAAAGAACGTCATGCCACGAGGAAAGCGTTGGGGAAGAACCAGATTCACTGAGAAAGAGGAAGTGACCAAGTGCTTCTACAGTCAGTCAGCCTTTATGTACGACATTGGTGATCGTGAAGAAGGAGGACAATACTTAGTGAATGGTGTCGAAGTCAACCCAATTAGCCGAGGTGTGAAGAATCGTCATGAGCTTGACTTGCTGATTGAGCGTGCGGCTGAGGAATCCCCGCCTGTTTTGCCGACCATTGAAGAGCTGAACGCTTGGAACCCCCTTGATCATGATGCTTATGTAAAATGGCTTATTGAAGAAAGAAAACAACGTGGAGACAACTGGAACTTCAAGTACATCCAACCATTTACACATGGCCACAACATTGGTACACTTCAACTTGCTCGCATTAATGGAGAAGAATATCTTGGAATGGGCTGGTGTAAAGTGCATCGATATGGCGAGAATGAGTGGATGGGCAACAAGTGGGAAAATCCGCAATGGATAGTCGAATTGTCGAAAAGATTCAATGCAGCGCTACGCCACTCCGTGGGTTGCGTCAAAGACAATCGAAATCACCGTGGACTACCATGCGACGAGGCAGGTTGGGTCAATGTTGAGTCGATCTTGAAGTACGATGCCATTTGGAAAGACCAACATACATTGGCTGGAACGACCTACGTCAATTATCCGATACTTGTTGAGAGGTGGAACAATTTCCAGAGAGTGATCTTCACTGAGTACAAGCAAACGAAGAGAATCCGAGCACAAGTGCTAGGACTCAAGGTCACGAAAGGTGAGTTGGAACACATTATGAACAACTTCAATGATGGATTGACCTCTAGACTTGATCGACAAACACTGAGGTTGGAGATCGGCACAGCAGATCGAGAGATTTGGCTTTGGCCGGTGGCAATCCGTGCCCCTATGGCGCATTCAAGAGTTCAAGGCGGTGTGCACATCGAAGACAAGAAGACTTCATATCAGATGAACCCTGGAGTAGGATACACTCTTGGAGGAGGATTTCATTGCACCACATTTGACAACATCGCTCAAATCTTCAGAGAAGGACTACGTCCAGGAGGAGGAGGCGACCGCATCAATACGTTCTTCGTGCCATTCGCACCATGGGACGTGAGAAGTCAGATGGTGCTGAGATTCAGGAAGATTGAACAGACTGATCTTGTCTACATCTACATCACGTACGATTCCATCGCCAAGTTCTCCCCTCGATTATCAGCAGACGGACACATTTTGGTCCAAGAAACAATTCCATTCGAATCATTCGATGCAGTTTGGTATTACGACTGGAGAGAAAAGGACTACTACCGTCTCATGATCACGAAGGGAAGAGATCAACTTGTTCTTTCTGTGCAAGGTGCAAAGAGGGTGGCCACCATTGAACGATTTGACAAGCTCATTGGAAACATTGTGCCTGAAGAATCATCACCCGATCTAGACGAACTTCGAAAACTTGTCGATATCAGGACCGGTCACTTCAGTCATACTCACAGATTGTTCCCTGGACATCCGGATTGGAATGATGCAATTTCATTATTGGCAGTCACTCATCACCCTAGCAAAGAGGACCATCGACTATGCCCCGCATGTCTGATGGAGACCCCTGCGCCATTATCGATTTGTGTGATGTGCAAAGGATTTTTGGTGAGTCATGGATGGAGGAAACGAATCAAGATCACCGTGGCTACAGTACCAAAGGCCGAATCACATCATCGAGAAGAAGATCTCAAAGACCATGTCAAGAAAGCATGGGAGGAGGTGAAGATCGATTTGACAGGTGATGATGATGACGACGAGGTGATGCCAGATGATGATGATGTCACCATGAAGAGTCCAGAACAAGAAACTCAACCAGAAGAAGGAGATGATGATCAAGCCTCGAAGAAGGGCGACATCAATGATGAGAAAAGAGACTTCAGAGAACAAGATGAGGTCGACAAATTTCTCAATCAAGAAGGAAAACCGACCGATGAGAACGATGATGAAGAGATAGCGGTCGATGAAATCAACATTGAAGAGTACGAGGCTGGAGAAGCTCGTGATGCAGTGATTGAGTACCCCAAGTGGATGCAGCGGATTGAGTTTGGATCAAAGGTCCTGCCGATCGAACCTTGCACAATTGGAGATGCTCAGCCAGAATTCATCAAGATCCTCCTGTTGCAGATTGGATTACATATCGTCAGGATCTACAGACTATTCCAACGGAACTTCTGTGGAGACATCGAGACGGCATGGAAACATTTTCAACAGAACCAGAAATTCAGGATGGACCTGGACTCAAGAACACCTTACCTGGGCGAGGATGAAAATGGTGAACTCATTGAACCAACTGCACAACAGATGAAAGAGCTCTACAAAGAGATCGGCCGACCAAATCAAAAGGACGACATCGGAGAAGAGGGATTCGTCAATGCATACTATGGGGCAGTGGTACTCAAAAGACTTCTCATATATACCCTTGAATGTGGCTACACGTATGATGACTTGCAAAACATATTCTTTGATGAGGAGATGGAGAAGCTGTCGAAACGTGACACCACAATGGATGAGATGAGAAAGACCACAGCGGCCCGCGACGCCCTTGACCGACAAGACGTCATGGTCAGAAGAATCATTGCAGGTGCATATAGGGTAAATGCTGTTTATTTCTTCAGGAACGTTGACTTTCAAGACACAATCACACTGAATCCAGTTGACATTGTGTGTGCTCTTCGTCCACCACTTCGAAGAATATCACTTTTACACCTGATCCTTCAGAATGGCCGACAATTGCCGCGACCTCTACTCCAAAAGCTATATGATGCGATCGATGACTACAATCACATCAAGCAACGGGAAGATCAACGACCAAGGTGGGGCATCCACTTGTCTGAAGCTCACATACTTGCGATTGCTGATACCCCGACTCCTGCTGATCGTGAACGTGCCAATCCAGCCGCTGGCAAATCGAAAGCAGCCCCGAAAGCTGCACCAGCACTGGGAAGAGTGTCGAAAGCGAAAGCATCATCGTCAGCGACATGGAGAACAGTTGAAACCGCTCCTCCGCCAAAACAAGCTCCAGTGACCCCGCCAAAGAAGGGTGGAAAAGACCAAGGAAAAGGTGGAAAATCTTATTCACACCGTGGCGGAGACTGGAACCAACAGGGATACTATGGATGGGGATATAGATGATTAAGCGATCTGACCTCTGCATAGGTCCTGATTGAACCTGGCGATGCGAGGATGCAATCATTGCTCGAGATTTACCTCTACTTCATTTTGAATGATTTCTGAGAGGACTCTGAGCCGGCTAATTTAGAACCACACATTTTTTTTGAACATCATTGCATGAAACGCTGAGTTTCTACAGCGGTCTACGTCTCAACCGACGAAGGGACGGGAAGGTAAACTTCTAGTTCCATAGTCAACTTTGTGTTTTGATTTCTTTAATTCACATGCTTGAGTGAGACTCCATGCTGGCTACGCCACATTGGATGAACCTCAATGCTAGACACCGACTACGTCGTGTCTACATGCACGTGAACAGAACCTTCATTTTTTGGTAGAGATTGTAGCAAGCCGCCATGTAGATATGAAGTTCTGAACGGACTTTAGCTCTCCATAATTCAATAAATGAACAGCTGCGAGTGTAGTGGATCAATTCAAAGAACACTCCTTTGCGCGTAGCCAACAAAGTTGGCTATGCGTGGGGGGTGCGAATAGAGTGTAGGCTACGGATCAAGTATAATATCACAACTAAACACTCTGTGATCCAGCACCAAAGGGGCAATCCGAACTGGCCTCTTTGGCTCAAGACCCACTGCAGCACTGGAGAAAAGATCAGCAATGCGGAAGCAGCTGCCCGTGTGACGTCGTCGAACTGGAACATTTATCCTCAACATCAACCATTGGAACATAATCGGGTAGGCAATCCCCGATTCGCATATAATATATAATATGAAATATAATATAATATATAATATAATATAATATAAACGATATAATATAATATAATATATAATATAATATAATATAATATAAACGATATAATATAATATAATATATATAATATAATATATATTGTAATATATAATATAATATAATGTAATATATATACAATATAATATATAATATAATATATCATATAAAATATAATATATAATATAATATATAATATATAATAATATAATAGATAATATATAGAATATAAAATATAATATATAAAATAGAATATATAATATATATAATATACAATATGTAATATATAATATATAATATATCATATATCATATAACATATATAATATATAATAAATTTAATATAATATATAATATATAATATATCATATATATAATATAATATAATATATATATAATATATAATATAATATAATATATATATATAATATGTTATATATATAATATAATATAATATAATATAATATAATATATAATATATAATATATAATATACAATGTAATAGAATATACAATGTAATATAATATACAATGTAATATAATATACAATGTAATATAATATACAATGTAATATAATATACAATGTAATATAATATACAATGTAATATAATATACAATGTAATATAATATACAATGTAATATAATATACAATGTAATATAACATAAGATAATATAATATGATATAATATGATATAATATGATATAATATGATATAATATGATATAATATGATATAGTATGATATAATATGATATAATATGATATAATATGATATATATATATACACAAGTGGCCGCTCCTTTTCTATAGTCTGCATTGAATGTTGCAAGTACTCTCCCTGTGCAGCTTAGGGTTATTGCCAGTGATTGCCATTGGATATGGATGAAATCCCGCCCACGCGAGGCAAAGCACCACGGCAGAGAGGGAGGTGGCTGGGAAGAGACGAACTGATAACTGTTTTGCTCCATGCCAGTGTCACTTGTCATGGTTTTGTCTGAAAATATGGTAACCATGGCAAACATGGAGTACAAAAAACGTTACTATCTTTATCCCCATCCATATGTCCATTTAGGGGGCTACATCCCCATTTTCAGACACACCACGTCACCTCGTCAGACGAGTGCTGAGCCGGAGACTGGCCGTTGGCTCGGTAGGGATGTGGCCAATCGAACCGAACTCTTGCACTTACAAGTGATCTTTTTCAGTAGCAAGCCCTAGATACTACAGATGAGTCCACACCACAACCAGTATTAACCAAAGTTCAGTGTCATGCTGAGGTGTTTCCGCTTCTGAAGTCAAAGAGCTGCGAGAACGTGTCAGAAAGATGGAAGAAAACGAGAGAGAACTGATGTCCAAAGAGTTACAGTTTAAGGAGATGCAGGAGCGAATCCAGAGGATGGAAGAAATGATGGAGGAGAAGCCTGGCTCCTAGTTTTGTTCAATGGTTGTAGGCCGCATTGTGAAGTGTTGCAGTGGCAAATGCCTCTGTTTTTGAATGGTGATTCAGGCAGAACCAAACGCGAGAAGAGATGATGAGACTCCTGCAGAAGCAGCCACAGTAGCTTGGGGAAAAATGCAGTTACTCATTCGGATCTCATATGTATGGATCAAAAAGCTGGGAAATGGATGTTCATCGAACCAAAAATGGTCCCACAGGCCCATAGGCATTGACTCGTTTTCCTGATGTCTCATTCTCTCAGCATCAGGGTTGTTGTGTCTTGTGCCGATAGAAGTAACATGAAGTAACAGTCTAGCAGCTGCAACCAAGGGCAAATCTGCGCAACTTTTATTCGGAGCCAGGAGCGCACGAGGTGCAGAAAAAAGTCGTCTTTTGGATTCAAAACTGGTGCAGACTGCCTTTGAAAGCGATCCAAGAAGTGCACAGTCAGCCTTGATCAGGGTTTGCAGATGACGCCTCCGAGAGACCGCGGAGACCGCGACTGCCGCGACCGCGACCGCGGAGATCGACGACGGCTTTCGACCGCCAGTATTGCAACAAACTGCACAGTAGTAAGCTCCTCAGAGAGACTTGATGGATCTTGATAGCAACTCTGCGAAATCGCTGAAGCCTTTCCACCCCAAAACTGTTTGCTGCTTGTTCTCTGTCATTGTTGGTTGGTGTCCGCCTCCATGGTTAGCATATCATTTCACAGATTTGATTTACATAGATTTATATACCTCTATTGATTCATTGGTGTGTGCACTGGGCGTTGGCATTTCTTTACTAAACAATTGTTGCATTTTTGCAGGACACGGTCACAGTGGACAGGGAGAGAAGGAAGAGTAACGTGCATCAGCAGAAGTTGATGTGGAAAGAGCACCGTTCGCACCTCAAAGACCTGGGGGAAAGAGCCGGTGGAGTCAGTTTTGAAGCTGTCGGATGATGCCGGATGCTTAGGTGAGATTCTGATGACTGACCTGTACAGCCCAGATATGTTCGATTTGCCCAGAAATCCGAGAACAAGGCGCGGCTGCGACGTAACAAGTGTCTCCGACACCTCGGTTAAATCCTAAAATGTCCTGCAGAAAATGCCCTTTTTCCAAGCCTCCAAGAATTCTAAGAATTCTACCGGACAGCAGCCACACGAGCCGGACAGCAGCACCGCCTCTTTGTATCAATTCGGAATGGGATCAGCCGTGGCCTTCCAGGGTGGTAAAACCAATGGAATCATTTGAAATCTACTCCAAGAATTGGCAAGAATCTAGATAGAAAAGCTTCTGAGAAGTCCGTGCCAAAGATTTTGATGCTGATTTCTCCTTCATTATACCCATTACATCCTCATTTTTTTCTCGCTGACGATGTCATCTTTGCCAAGGAGGTCATCCGTTCGGGGAGATCCTCTGCAATCCCTGGAAGAGGACTCCAAGCGCTTCAGCAAGGTAGGCCGTTGATGGCGTGACCTCATCGTGGGTCGCCCCCTGGGGTCAGAAAACGGAGGCCTGGTAGGTAGCTGATGGTAGCTGCATTGATTTTAGAATTGTAGATGGAAGTTGGAGAACTGGAAGGTCTTGAGACAAAAAAACCACAACTTGGATCCAAATTCAACCAACAGTTTGACGGTTATTACAGTTTGATGACTCAATTAGCTCTGATTGAAGCCAGGAAGCTCGCTTGCAGACTATGTTGATATAAGTTCGCGATTCTGGACTCTTCCAGTGCTCATCTCGTTGTATAAGTAAGGTCCAGTGAAACCACTTCCCTTTGGTCCCGCAAGTTAACGTTTGGCGACGCTTGCCACGACATCACATGGCAGAGCGAAGTGCCTGCATTGCGAAATTTGCCCATCTGTGGCCAATTCAATCTATTCACTGCCGCTGATTCAGTGGCTTAATCTAAGCTTTCACCTGCAAGCGAAGTCAATAGATTCCGCGCCAGAGAAAAAAGGTGAGGCTCTCGTTGGCTCCAGAAGCATGGTCTTTTTTTTTAAATCCTGCTGACCTGCTGACCACCTGAGGATGGAGGAGTGGCAGATTTCCAGTGAAACTGATTCCCTCGCGCTTCGTCAAGTTGAATCCTCTTCCAAATGCCATGGCTCAAGGGAACTGGGCTGATGGCGGAATTGCGCTGAAAAGCTTGACAAAAACTTCGAAATTGGAGCAAGGAAGAACTTTAGGATCTTTAGGAAACTTTAGGAAACTGTAGGGTGCTACCAGTGCTGCACCAGTGCTACCAATAGATCCTGGACTTAATCACCAACCTCCTACCTCGGACCTCGCACTGGGACACATCCTTGGGCCGTTGCACTCTGCAGCCGTTTCCAAGTTGCATTGAGACGTACATGTCCATGGAAAAGGAGCTTCCAGGATTGCTGCATGGTGAATGGAGTTGCCAGCGGAGTTGCGAAATTAACAATTTGCTCGAGATTGATCTTCTTGTCGGAAGGCTTGACAGTTCCAAATTCGTTTGGTGACTAAGGGGGCACAAGAAATTGCCATTTATTTTGTCTGAGGTTGCCAAAATGCGGAACGAGTTCTGCCTGGATTTGCCGCTTGGCTCAGTGAAATATTTCGCCTGGGAAGAGAAAAAGGCAGCATGAAGCATACTACTTGTCCCACTGATCCCCGACTTATCCTCAACCCACCCAAACCAAACTATCCCAAATGGAATGTCATGGAACTTATTTGGGCCCGATTGGTTCGGGTCCCAAATCCCCGGGTGAACGATGATTTTTTGTATCAAGAATCCTATATAAGTGGCAATAGTTTGGGGTGTACATGGGTGTACGGTATACCCCATTTTCATACACTCCATATGTGGAATACGATGATGGGGGGTTGAGCACAACATCTTCCAACTGCTTGAGGCCCAGGCTCTTGAATGAACGACGTGCAGCTCCCCAACGTGCCTCAGCTGCAGGAAACGACAGTGGGAAACCGACAACATCTAGGGCCATTAAAACCCACACTGTACCCGCAAATTGCGGGTTGATCATTTGGTCACATATTTCATCATTCGGTTGAATATGATTCAAGAGACTATCCCACTTCAAGTAGCCAAAGAATGGAAGTTCTCGGACACACATACATATATATATATATAGATACATACATATATATGTATATATATATATATTTATATTATAGAAACATCTAGATCTATAATAGACATATATCACCTAAGGTATTCAGACATGCGACAAGTTGAGGATCAGATGGCGAAGTGCCGGGCCAATACGTGCAGCTCCAGAAGGAGATGGAGGACACATCACCGGGGAACCCCGTCACAGATGTCCACAATGGGTAAGGCGATCACAAAAACCATGGGGATTTCCAAGCTATGGAGCTATGGCAGCTATGGTTGGAAGATCTAGTGGAAGTTGATGGTTTCCAACTAGGACCTCCAACTTGGACCTTTCCAAATTCGATGATGATATCAATGATATCACTAGTTTTTCACGAGTTTTTCCATCTTCATCCAAGGTTAGAGGGAGCTATGTGGGAGGCGGGCGCTTTCGCTCGATCCGCTATATGTCCCCGATCTTTCACCTCCATCCAGAATGCGATCGGGAAAAGTGCGGCAATTATTTGGGGAAATGTACCGAGGGTACCTGAAAAACACGAGGGTAGAATCTATGACACTGTAGTATATAGTGATTATATATGAGTATATATATATATATATATGTATGAGATGTCCAACAGAAAAAACATGAAAAAAGGTTGGCACAGTGAGTTTGCTCTCACATCAGACGCCTGATGTTTCATCGCTAGGAGCGGCTTGGGAAGCTTCAGCTCGACATGCAAAGGAAGTCACCCTGGCAGCAGTGGTCCAGTGGTGCCACCATGGGATTTGTCGAAGATTGCTGATCCAAAGGATGGCATGTCATGGCATAATTCCACCAAGATTGCAATATCCATGGATTCTTTTTCGGCAACAAGTATCCAGGGTTTGTATGATTTTGTATGGTTTGTATGTTCTTGTCGATGCCAACCCTGGACTACAACAAACTCTGATTGTGAAAATTGGGGTGGTTACCTATTTAAAATAGTGATATATTTCAAATATTTCAATTTCCACAGAAGTAAATGGACAGTAAATCCACATCAAAAATTGGACACCAAATCTGCGGACCCGTTATTTATGAAAAGTTATGGCTCTAGAGATTACTAGTCCACTACTCCGAGCCATCGAGCCATTTGTTCAGTTTTTCATAAGGCAAGATGCTTCGGAGAAGACTCTGAGTGCCCTGAAGAGCAGAAACAAGGAGTCAGCGGCCCAGTGATACATCTGGGTACCCGGCCGTTTGGGTAAACATAGAAGAAGATGTGGAAAACATATGGTTTCCTTGGGAAAATGATCTACAAATGGTGGGTTATTTCCACATCGAACTGCTAGTTTTTTATTGGAGGGTAATTTATAAAACGCAGTGACAAGCCTTTAAGGGACGGTTTATCGAATCCATTTCTGATAAAAAGATGGTGATGGGTTATGATTAAGTCGACTACATGAAGTAGTTGGGTTTGCAACATGGAAGGAGAATTGGCATCAGACATCGGCAGAATGTGATGACTCATGACCCCAACAAGTCACTTTTTGAATCGATTGGAATTTGAAAAATGAACCTTCCTCCACCTGTTGCGTGGCGTCCGATGGCCCGTGCCTTCGAGGCTCGAGAAGGTGTTGGAATGGCAAGCCCAGCGAGCTCAATGGAGGGCGCCGTGAACGGGCGGGTCGCAACGTGTTCGTGTTCCTCGCTGTTTTCCTCCACAACTCGTGTCACGGGGTGTTTTCCAATGTTTTTCATGTGGCTATGGATCAATACCTATACATACCATTTTTAGTGGGGATGAACATCCATTTACCAGCTATTTTGATGTTCACCAGGAGGGTTTTGACCAATAGCCATGTCTTGCAGTGGCTGTCTCCAAAATTTCCGTTTCTTTCCAGCCGAAAAACGATCACATCTGTTACAGTAAGTGCCGCACGAAGGAGATATGGAGGATGGATGGGCTGATGGGCATCCGCTTTTTTGAAGATCTTGTTCGAAAATGAGGTACCCAATGGTTTCATATGGTTTCTTCATCATTTTCTTCCTGAAAAGAGATCGTAAAATTCAAAAAACCACTTTCTGTTGGGTCTGCCAACCCTAAGAAAAATAAGAAAAATCAAGGGATTGTTCCCCAATTGTTGTTGGGGTCTCCATGGGTGGAGCTCTAGACCGAGCCAGCCGGAGCCAGGCCCATCCGCGATCCGAAGAGCTTCAGCTCCAGCGAAATTGGTGGTTGAAGCAGCGGAAAGCCTTGATGCAGGACGTGGCAACGGACGTGGCAACGGACGTGGCAACGGACGTGGCAACGGAGGTGGCAACGGAGGTGGCAACGGACGTGGCAACGGACGTGGCAACGGACGTGGCAACGGAGGTGGCAACGGACGTGGCAACGGGAGCTGCTAGAACTGTAGGATTTTGCAAAAAGTGTTTTCTGTATCCCGTGAAAAGAAAGTGCGGTTTCGTTCTAGATGGAAAGCAAAAAGGGGCTCACATCGTCCCCTTCTTCCACTGCTCAGCTTACTCTTTCTGATGGAGATGTTTGGGGAGGCCCTTCCCCCAACCTGTCCGTTGCAATGCGGGTGGCTTGCAGGAACTTTACCCACATGGAAGGCGAGGGTGTATCTGCAGAGGGAATGAACTCTCACAGCTATCTTCAGATCTTGATTTTTCATGCTTGGAACCAAGCAAATGGATGCAAATGGAAGATTGTACTTGTCGTCTCAAGAGCCAAGGTTGGTCAGTGTTGATAAATTGCTCAAACACCTGCAAACATCAGTGTTTGAAATCTTGAGTGAGGGGACGACTTTCGGGGTTTCGACCTGTAAATCTGAACGCCAAACAACCAGCAGACTGCTTCTTCAGTGGCCCACCAAAAACAACTGGATCCCGAAAGGACTTAAGCTGAAGTCTACGCGCGGCGCTTTGGAGTTACAATTTAATGCACTGCTGGCCTGGCCAGTTGCCAGTTGCGCCCTGGTGTCATCAAACATGTCTCCAGTAACATGGTCCAGTGAGGGTGCAGCAACTGTGTGATATTGTGTGATTAAGTTTGATATATCCTCTGAACATAGAACAACATGGGATAAAAATTACTGTTTTTTTTCTTTTTTTAAATCAATCTTGACATACAATCTTTGATGTTTATTATTGTTGCTATCATCTTAATGTATCACGACGTCTGCGTATTATATAAATTGTCAGTTCAGCATTTCTTACCTTGAAGACACCCCTGGGCAAGCCCGCCAATGTCACTTTCTGCCGTGAAATGCTGAAAAGGCTCAGAAATGGCCAAAAAGGGACCCGGCAGCCAAGAGGTGAGAGAGAATGTCTTGAGCATTTAGGGCCTGCTAAAGACTGGTAAAGCAGAGTGGATTGAAGCAGAATCTGTAGCAATTTGCAAGAGTTTGGTTTAAAAAAAGTGCTTGACAACTTCTTCCCTTGGAATCAATTTTTCCTGTGGGCAAAGTAATGTGATCAGTGTCACTGATCCTGGTTCCTGTGAAGTGATGCATCATCCAGGCCTAGATTCCTCTGATTTTTGGCTTCAGATTCATGGGATTGGATTTTAGACCACGCAGACGTGGGTTATGGTTTGATCTTTTGCCATGGCCCCATGGCTTTTGCCAGCAGATGTTGGGATGTGAAAGGTTGGATGCGAAATTTCGCCTCATGAGAGCAGCACCGGAACGGGGTTCAGGAGCATCTCACATGGAATATCATGAAATATCCATGGAACGGGGTACCGGGTACCAGCATGTACCAGCTACCAGGCAACTACCAGGGATGCTCCACAACTGATAGACCAGACTGAATCCAAAGTACTTCGGTGCTGAACGCACAGCCCACGTGCCAATGGACGGCCGCGTGCCGTGAAGCAACAACTGGAGGCCCTGCTGTCACTGAGTTTGGCACTAAGCAAATCGATTTTCGACGCTAGGCCGGTCAGATCAACAAAGAAACATCATTTTTCACATACCCTCTGGTAATTTAACATAACTATGGAAAATCACCATTTTTAATGGGTAAATCCACTATAAATCACCATTTTCAATAGCTATGTTAGTTTACCAGAGGGATATACATTTTGGACATGAAAAAATGCCCTGGTGCCGACTGGTGCCTAGCAAAGTTGGAGACGGAGATGACATGGCACCAGGCTCCATGGATGTGATATCCAGCACCTTTGCAGTTCAGAGAGGCTGACAGTTGGGGTTTTCGTGTGAGATATCCACTGCAACTTTTTTCGAAGTTGGGCAGTTTCACCCTTAAATTTCACCATGGAAGATGTACATTCAGCCCCGGAGTCTGTGATCGTCATTTCGGAAGCCGATTTTCGAATGTTCAGTTTTACTATCGGTCCTCCAAGAGTTTTTTTTTTAAAACATGTGTTTTTGTTCAGCTGACACAAGTCATTATGAAGTTTCGCCAGGGATCCATTCTTCGGCATGCTTCGACATCGACAACTTGCTGGATCCAGAACTAAAGAGACGGCACTTTGGCCGTGATGGCCCGTGATGGCTTGAGCACAGGGATGACATGGAGAAACCTTAAATGGTAATGTGGGTAAAACATGGTAAAACATAATATAACATGGTAAAACAATAAATCATGTTTACACATGTTTACCATTCCCCATCAAAAGAACTATCCATAGTTCTATAGACTATAGATTTAGATATATCAATGGATTGGATTAAGGGAACATTTACAGGAAAGCCCCATATTTAATGAATCTATGGTTTCCTGCAAATTTTCCCTTAAACCAATCCATTGAATATAGGTTTCCCCAGTCATCATTTTAGGTGGATCGGCTATGATCGGCTCAGGTTGGGGGAGCCTTTGGAACGTCCCTTGCGGGCCGCGAGGTTTCAGCGCCCCAGTGAGGCGCGGATGTATCTGATGGTATCTTTATGATTTTTGCTGTAATGGACTATGATTATGGATGATTTATGGATTATGATGATGTGTAATGGATTATGATTATGGATGATTTATGGATTCTGATGATGGACTGGACTATGACTTCACATTTTGAATTGGGGTTCGATGGAGTATGATTTTTACTGGACTCTGGCCATTCTGGAAGTTTTCTCAAGAATTGATCTCGCCGCCATGAACGGCAGTTTTTTTCCCCACTAGAACGTTTTTTTTCCTGCTGTCAGCCCGTTTGGCCCAATGTATGGCTAGCGGTGATTGGACCGTCTTTCACCGAAATTATATCAATTTATCCGTATATAACCGTATATATATATATACATCATAGATATCCACCTCTGTTGTATATGATGCCATGATGCCTTTGTATGGTTTCTTTGGCCACTTAAGCTTGATGCCAAAGTTCAAACCAAATTGGACGAGGATGACTGTGGCCAAAAAGTCATGAAGCTTCAAAATAATTTCCATAAGATGGCACTAACGAGAAGCAGACGGACACTTTGCATTTGCTACCGGAAAGGCGAAGCTAGGTATCTGAAGGTTTTAAGTAAGAAATCAGTCAGTGACCAGCACAAACTTTCACCGAAGCTTGGTAACTTTCCAATAGATCCAAGCTGAAAGGCTGGCACCACTGTCAAGTTCCTGTAAAACACGCTAACCGCTTCCGCACTCTTCCGCTTCCTTACCGAAGACGCCAAGATCAACGAGGGCTTGTTCAGTGGGTCACCACTGGTCACCACTGGGCGGCTCAGATGGTCCCCCCGGACCAAAGTCACAACTCACAACACGGTTTTCAAAAGCAGAGAAGTGAGCATAGTCACACTTAGCATGGTGACTCTCTATGTTTCACAAACTCTAAAGTGTAGTCTTTGCTTTGGCTATTTTGGCTTTCCCAATGGGTGCAAAGTCGACTCAGTGATACCCAGCACCAGTTGGGATCGCATCTCAAACACCTCAAACACATGGCTTTCATGATATTTTGCACCCAACAAACCAACAGCCAACCCACACCTGGCACCTCGCCATGCCCAGGCCAAAGTGATGAGTGAAGTTTACGCTCGAATTGCCAAAGACTGTGGAACGCCTCTGCTGCAAGACGTTTGGCGCAGCTTGGACCGAGATGGCGCAGCTTGGGGCTTGGGGGGGTTCCTAAAATATGGCTCCTGTACCCCAAACCATTGGTTTTCCCATTGACAATAACCAATCTTGGATGATTTGGGGGTACCCCCCATGACTTAGGAAATCTCCATTGCTTGTTGCTGTGGCTTATGTAGGGACCATGCTGAGGTCCGAACTGTCACGAGCGCTTTGATGCGAGCCTGGAGAACGCCACCAGGCTTTTTACATCTGTAGCGCACGACAACCAGGAGCGACCTATGACATCCCATGACCCAATGAGCCAATGAGCCATGACTTCCATGAGATGTCGGAAAGTTCTGGAGATCGTTCAACTCATGGTACCCGTTGGTACCCGTTCCCGTTGGTACCGGTTGGTAGACATCGTTGCTGGTGATTTTTGTCCATCTGCTGGAGGAGCTTGAGGGAACTCGGGTGCATGAGCCAGGAACTCGGTGAACTCGGTGAACTCGGTGAACTCGGTCTGGGGTGAGGTTCCCCACCTTCGACAGGCTGGTTGACAGCTTGTGGCTCAAGGCCAATGACGAAAGGCCAAGGCTTGAATCACCTTGACATCATAGCCAGACATAGCCAGACATAGCCAGTCCCGTGGCCAGACACGTGGCCATAGCATGCCATAGCCAGACGTTGCACATGTTATCCCTGCCCTTCACAATAGTGCAGCATAGTGCAGCCAAGAGAGCCATCGTCTCCCGTCTCCTGCCCGTCTGTCCTGCCGGAGTTGAAGCACTGCCATGGATGCTCCGCGGAAGGCAATGCAGGGAATGCTTAGCAAGCAGTCAGGGGCTCACGAAATTGGTTGGTGAATGAAAGTCATGACTGACTCATGACCTCTGAACTTCTTCTAATAGCTGCCTGTCTTTTTTTTCGACATTGCTGTTGTGACATGTTGTGACTGTCCTTCCAATTTCTGCAAGTCCTCAGGTGGCTCCTCCGTTGTCACATACTCCTGGGCCTGCGCTGGTGTTTTGTGCCACTTACTGTGCTACTTCTCAGTGGTTCGGTGCTCGTAGCTTGCTGCCGGGCTGCAATTTGTCGGGATCTGGCGGGCCACATTCCCACTTTTAAAAGGAAAATCCCATGGAAAATCATCCATGAGGGGATCCATTGGTCAGATTACAGTCTGGAGCATCCAGCTCCGAGCCATCCATCGATCCAATCAGAATTCCCATGGATTTTTCTGTGAAAGATCTCCATTTTTTGGTTCCGGACGTCCAGGCCAGTTGGGAGGCCATTATGCTGCCTGGAGCTTGGCCCTGCTGTTGGCATATGGCTCGGCAGTCGGATCCACGAAGGTGAAAAAATGGCTGGTTTCACGGTTTCACCATCAACAATAGGTATTTTTTGGGGGATTCAATAGGGATATAATATGATCATAGTGGGATCTACCACACAAAAAAACGTTTTTTTTTGAATAGCTTTGAAAGGTTTGTTGATGTGAGCATCCATTGCTTAATGCATAAGATAAATGGGTGAAGCGGGATAAGCAACAAGATGATATATGTGTCGGAAAATGGATGCTTGACCCCCCAAGTTATAGCTATTCCACTGGGACGATGATTTTTTTCGATTGGATTTTTGGGTGCCCGATTTTCAGAGAAACCCAAATGGTGAAACCAAGATATTGACTTGACTTCACGTGGGGTGTCGATGTGGTCACTTTTTGTCACTTTTGACCCTTTTTTTTGCCTCGCCTCGAGTCGAGATTTGGTAGGCATCGGTGGCATCGATCTTGCTGACGCTGGCATTGACGCTGTCAGCAGCGGCATTGTTCTGCTTGCCCATGATGGGCCGAGAGGCGGGCAACGTCGGAAAGCGATGGGAGATGGTTTCCAGTGGATGGGGGGATACTGGTGGTATGGTGAACTACCAAAGGACCAGGTTCCCATGGTTCCTAGGTCCTAGAGACCATGGTAGTAAGAGTCGGAGCTGGTTGTTGATGAGGCTTGCAGATTTGCACACATCCAAGCCATGCAAATCCTCATCCAGTCCCATATCTCAGCTTTCTTTTCTCCAACAGTTTTCCGTTTTTTTGTTAAACATCATTTGTGAAGCCTTCCTTGACTCATTGACATCTCATCCAAAAAAGCTGGGATTTCAATAGATGCTTGACCCAGATAAATCTGTGATTTCTCGCAGAACAGGCCTTGGCAGCGATGATCATCTACCTGGTGGTGATGATCTCCGGTGGCATGGCGTGCCGTTCACAAAAGGCCACGTCCCAAGGTTTCGCAGCGAAACTGCAGCGACTGCTCTTTGCAGCATGGGCGGCTGGAGAGGCCGTGTTGGGCGCCGTGGCACCGGAAGAGGAAAGCTGGGTCGACGGTTTATTGTGTGTTTGAAAATGAGTGATGTCTATAAAATGGATTAAACATTGATTAAACCATATTAGAACTTATAACTATGACATTTTGCTGTATTCTGTTTAGCAGCTGTCTTGGTGTACCATGTCAAGAACTGTGTATGGATCAAAATCAATCATTTTTTGTGCGATAATTCATCAGTTTTGGGATTGATAATTTGGGCCCAAATATCCACTGGATGGATCAGTTCAAGATTGGAACAAAGTCTCTGACTTTTAGCGGGGAGTGAAGTGATGACAGAGGGACTGTAGAGCCAAGGCATTGCTGTATCTGCGGGGCTTCTCTATGCGGCCTCCACACTACTTGCAGATGAGAAGGGGCCCATTGAAACTGTGACCAAACATTTTTTGGCGTTTTCTGTCCAACCCCAGGTTAGAAAATGTTTGAAAGTCATGAATGAACTTAACATGCAGGAATATTCACTAACATTGAAGACCATTGGCTTCGCTCACGGGTACAATGGTGCTTGTTCGAGTTGTATCACATCTGTTTCGAGGTGAGTTGAACCACTAACCCCAATGCACACCCGGGCATAACATGCGGATGAAGGGCCAGGCTGTATAGGAACATGTCTACAGCAATATAGCATCATGTAAAGATATGTAAAGCCTGTTCATTCCCAAGAAACTGTTTCGATTCATCATTGTCGAGTCGTTTTTTTCTAGGAACGACAATGGGTCTTCTTCTGGCGTCTACTGTGTATCAACTGTGCCGCGAGTGTATTGTCATTCGTCATGCTTCCCCTGTTGTCTCTCGCAGAAAGGGCAGGGGAAGGGGAAACTGGGAAACCATGGATCCAGCTGGTTGATGCTGTGGGATACGAACTAGTAATCTATGGTAATCTATGGGAATCTATGGGAATCTATAGGGAATAATGGTAATTTATGGTAATTTATGGGAATCTATGGTAAAAATCTATGGCATTCAATTATGTTTCAGGTTTTTTTTTATATTTTTTCTATGGGAATCCCTATCAACATCCCACTGTCACTAGGGGCCAGTGACGGTTCGCCATGCTTTCTCCCCGAGGCTGCTGCGCATCTTTCGCGAACCCAAAGATGCCTATCGTCCACAGATGGAGCTGCAGGCCAGCGTGGTGCTGGGATATTGCAGATACCCAGTGTCATCAGAGATCGATGGAAAATCACCATTTTTCATGGGAAAACTCACTATTTCTATGGTCATTTTCAATAGCTACGTTAAATTACCAGAGGGTATCCCATTTACTCCCATTCTATCATGAAATATTGTGGCGACATAATGAAGCGACAGCGGTAGACTCCGGATGATATCGATGATGTCGATATCACTGACCAACAATATCATTTAGCCATGTTTTACCGCATTAGATTAGACACAGCATCAGATAAATCAAATCGTCATGGATGCAGGGATGATATTATATTTCTTATGGTTGGGAGTTGGAATCCTAAGCTCATATTACGTTTGTAATCCATCCATCATACTTGATTAATTAACCATTTGACCAGAATTTACTAAGAATATTCAATACGGTGTTTATTGGCCATTTGTGAACCTGTATAAACCATCTTTCAACCATTTAGTAACCAGTCTTAACCATCTATCAACTATTTGATGACACTTCAAATAACCAATATCCACAATTCTTAGCAGATTATGAACCATTAACCATTTATCCACCATTTAGTAACCATTTATCAACCATTTAGTAACCATATGAAGCAATATTTGCTTCCCAAAGCTCCGGAGGTCATTGGAGCCTGCAGTGGCGAACTCGAGCCCATTGAGGTCAAGAGACTCTCCCGGAATTTGGAGCCATCGTGCTGCGCGAGGACTTTATGGATGGACTTTATGGATGGGTACCATCCCACAATGGATAGATCATTTCCGATTTCACTGAAAATAGTTGGTTAGTGAAAAAACATGTTATGTATTAAATACATATTAAATACATTTAAATACCCATTAAATACAGTGGGAAGGAAAATATTGAATGAGTTTGTTTGAAAGTAGGGATGGAAAATCGAGGAATCATCATCCCTATGGTGTAATCGATTCGTGACGATTCGTGGGATGATCCTCCAGGAGTTGATACCGAACTAGTTGGATTTCTATCCACAAATCAATGGCCATGACGAAGCGGAACCGATTGATTGGAGGTACCGATTCCATATATAAGGCCTATTTTTTAGGCCTATGTAAGGTCATATCCCCACAAAATATTGCCTTATATGGTACAATACCTACATTTTAGGATCCTGAAATTCCCATTGAACAAAAATGAGACCCAACCAGTGACAATGAGTACAATGTGTATGAAATATATTGGAAGACTTGTTTTTTTTTTCCGGCTTAAGGGTAGGTTTTTATGGCTTGATTAATATAGCAATTATTGAGGAAGAGAAGAGTCCCTGGATCACGTGAATTTTGTATCTCCTCGAAACGAGTGGTGGGTTACGGCGTATCGGACTGGCAGGTGGGTTTGGCAGTATCTTTGGCAGTCCTTTTTGGCTGCTACAACATTTTCTAGACTAATTGAATCTAACTATCTAACTGATGGATGTTTTTTCTCATATTAGATGAATCTTATCGACATTTTGTAGATTTGTTTTCCATTTTTTCCCATGGCGGCTGTTCTGAAAAACTGCGTTCAGCACCTCGCAAAGGAGGCTTTTCATTGGCAGTGCGGCAGCCTGTGTGGCCTGCATGGTGTCGCGGCAAGGGGTTTCCTACAATAAGGGTACCCCCCGAAATCATCCAGCTATTTGTTTGGGATTTTCCATTGTAAACTATCGAGCTATTGGGGTACCCCCATTTCTGTGTATGTGAAAGGGATGTGGCACCATGTATCTGTGTATCTGTCTAGAACTTTGAGAACCAAAAATATGGAGTCAACGAACTCGCCATGGCACCAGGGGTGGCCGTTGCCAGGTGCTTAGCACCACTGTCTTCCTATTTTTTCACGTCATGGCGCCTGGCCAAAGCTTGGAATCGCTGGCCAAAGCTCAGGCCTGGACTGGGTTTCAAAAATCGGTTCAATGAGGATGCAACCTGTTCTTTTTGGCTGTCTTCCTTTTCTATCTTAGGTCCTTTAATTTAAATTTAAAACCACATTAAATGACACATGTCAGCTCGTGAGAACACGCATTTTTGTCTGCCCAGGCCTGATGATGTCTTGCTAAGTATCGCAGGAACAGCATTGGTTCTGTATGGGTTCGTCCAAAACTGGACAAACATGTTGGATTGATACGGTGATCGGCACAAGCCTTCGGGTTTTGCATGTCTCACATTGGAGGTCTGTGACAGCTGCTTTTGTGGGAATGTCTCGCTGGACGTTGGAATGGTCTACGATCTGAAATATGGCAGCGCCTACTCTGAAAGGCATGGAGAGGAGGTAGATCTACTACTTGATGTCTACAGGCCCACTGCGGCGCGAGGCTCGAAGGCGCCGGCTGTGCTACTCATTCATGGTGGGAACTTCATTGGGGGCAGCAAGCAAGCTGGCATCATGGAAGCAGAAGCACTTTACTTTGCCCGGGCTGGTTTCGTGGTTTTCAACATGAACTATCGATTGGAGGGTAGCACCTACCTAGTGGAGCTGTCTGCAGTCAGGGATGCGGTGCACGATGCGAAGGCTGCGGTGCGTTTTATCGTCGACCAGGCCGAGTCTTTTGGGGTGGACCCCACGCGGATTGCCGCATGGGGTGAATCTGCCGGTGGCATTACGGCGATCAGCATGAACTCAGTGTCTGGTTGGTGGTTTGGAACATGGCTTTTATGACTTTCCAGATATTTGGGAAATTTTGGGAATAGTAACCCCAACTGACGAACTCCATCATTTTTCAGAGGGGTACAGTACAACCACCAACCAGGTGTCATCTGAAGGATCCAGTGGAAATCCTGGGCTCAGTTCCAACATTTCTGCAGCTGTCAGTCTTTCTGGAACCATGTGGCCGTTCTTAGTGGCATCACCCAGAAACAAGGTTCTGAGGGACACTCCCTGGTTCAATGTGCATAGCAAAGCTGACAACGTTGTTTACCCTTTCCTGGCAGCACCTTGGCATAACTTGGCCGGGGAACCACGACGCCACGACTTTCTCAGTACCAAAGCATCAAATTTGTCTTGTGCGAACATGTATGAATATAGATTCGAAATGATTTGGATAGATTTGGGGTTGTTACCTTGTAATCCTACAAGGAAACTGAAGGATGACATCTACCCTGGCCAAGGTGATGACCCATGTGTACCTCTTAGCCAAAGGAGTTCCAGACCCGGAAAATCGCTTGGTTTGGGTGTCTGGAGCCGAGCATGTTCCATGGAGCTCCAGTGTGCGCCCCTTGACCGAAGTTCACCAAACATATCCCAAACAATCATGGTGCAGCTTGGGAAGATGTAAAAGAAATTTCGTAACACACTGATATGCATATGATTGCATATGTACATACGTAGATATGGATATAGACATACATATATATATATATATAGACAGAGAACTACATATATGTATGCGACATATACGGTATGTAGCTATACACTGCTCCTCAAGTATGTATACAGTATACACATACCTATGTACACAAAAGGGACATACAGATAAACGCCGCAGATCCTACTGAAACCAAGAAGACCAGTGTCACAACTTTTGAGAAGGCCCGGGTTTGTCTTATACTGGCGATACCTCAACAACTGTGATGATGATGATGATGATGATGATGATGATGATCAGGATCAGGATGATGATCAGGATCAGGATCACCATCATTGTTCAGTGATCATTCCTATTTCAAACACCGTTTATTTCAGCTGCCTTTGGCCGCTTTTAACAACCGGTGCCTCCGAGTCTCCGAGGTGCTACTGTGAGGCCCATGGTTTTGAACTTCCTTTCGGACGTGATGAACTTGAAGGTTCTTTGCCAAGTCTGACCCCACGTCCGGCATCTGCAAACAGCCGCAAAGGAGGGAAACGGGGAAACGAAGCTGCCCGCTTTTTCCCTTCCGAGTGTTCCCCTGCCTACTTATAGAACTTTTGAAGCAACGCCATTGTATTCATGTGTCATGATTCTTTGAAGGCAAGGTGGGTTGAAAATCCAATGAGTTTTTCCGAATTCCAAACATCATTTCTTTGTTGCGGCCAAAGCGAGTTGATTTGGGCGGCCCATGATGGCCCCTTTAGGCAATTTTGTTCAGCTTTTCCGAGGGCCGACCATGCTCCAATTGGGAATTGCTGCCATTGGAGACTTCTATATACTAACTATCGATGGTTTGATGCACCCAAAAATCAATATTCAAAATATTCATCAAGACTGGAATCACATCTTTTGGCATTTCCAACTTGCTGCATCCTCCAATTGAGCAAGGTCGAAAGCGAACGTTCTCGCAAAACTGTAAACTCAGACATGCTTTAGGCACTGCTGAATCTGCTGAACCTTATTTAAGTACAGATTCACAGGCACGCTCCGTGCTCTGACAGACTGGGGCTTAGCTTCGCCATGAAAAGACGGCTCCTCTGAGGGATATATTGTGTCAATCAAGGGCTGATCGATTCCGCGCCTCAATGATGCAACGCTAAGGCGTCAAAGAACGTCGGAAATGGAGAACTTTCCGCAGCGTGCTGAAGATGATGGCATGTGTTGCCCAAGTGTTCAAGTTCTGTAACTTTCTCATTTTTGGTCTGATTTTTTTCCCCTGAAGTTCATTGGAAACTAACGGTGAGGACAATTTTTTTAGTTTGTTTCTTGCAGATTATGGATGTTTTTATGATGTACACTTACACAAGAATTTGTTGAATGCTAAGCCGCTAAGCCAGAGTTAGAGGCTTCTTGGAGCCACAGTCTGATGGCTCAGGAACCACAGCGCTCGACCTCGGAGCATTTCTATGCCTGAAGCCGAGATAAGCCGATGCGATGCGATGGTTCACCCAAGTCGAATCGTGTGAAACACAGGTGAGATACATAGGGAACAGATGAAATCTATGGTTCACCAATGTTCACCATATGAATTCTATGTCTTGGTTCACCTGAATTCAAGGAATCCGTCAATGGTTCTCACCGGTCCGTCGCTACATTCGGTGCTACATTCGACAGCTCAGGACCTCTGAAGAGTCGAGAGAACTGATCGATAAAGACCAGATGCGGAAGGCGGGTGGAACTTGAAATTCAATCCTCCGTCCTCGTTTTTGGAATATTGGGAATATATATTGAGAATACATACTATATATAATATGATATGATATGATATGATATAAGATGATATGATATGATATAATATGATATAATATAAGATGATATGATATAATATAATATGATATGATTTGATATGATACCATATAATATAATGTAATATAATATAATATGATATGATATAATACAATATAATATAGTATAATATCTGGGAATCCAGTTGGGTTATTTTCATTGGAAGTCCCTCATCTCGTTTCATTCCAGTCGCAATCGCTTGTGAGGCGCTGGAGCAGCAGGGCTTTGTACATTTGGAGAACTGCACGAGTTTTCATCAGCTTTGGGAAGCCATTGGCAACGAGGTGGGATATGATGGGATATGATGGGATGATTTTTTTTCATCTTCAATTCATGAAACAAAACATCTTGCTGCAACGGCTATGGCTAACGGCTAACATCACTCAGTTTTCGTAGCAATTTTCAGTGATTGATGAATTAATCACATTTTATGATCCCATTATATCATCAATGTGTTAACACTTATGCCTTTCACACTGGTTATCCTCACCCATTTTGGGATACACAACATCTACACCATGACCTCACGGCCGAGCACCGGCCTCGCAACCGAAGTCGCCAGGGCATAGATCTCCAGAGCTTCCATGCAGTGCTGAGACATCTGAAACTGCACTTGCCAGATCCTCAGGGCGCGCGTTTCCGCATGGCAAAAACGAGAGTTGGGACTACCCTCTGGTGAACTAACATAGCAATGGAAAATGGCTATTTATAGTGGATTTTCCCATTAAAAATGGTGATTTTCCATTGCTATGTTAGTTCACCAGAGGGTATCCATTTTTTTTTGGGGGTGATCCAACGGGGCGGCCAAAAACCTTCGTTTTTCTGTGTTTTGGATGAAACACTTCGCGAAGCCTAGGCTTTGTGGAAGCCTGGAATGGCCTTCCGCAGCGCCTCGGAGAAGCCTTTGTGCTTCACCGGTCCCCCAATGAATTTATTCCATGGTAAATGGTATATGTAGATACATATTATGATGTATTATGATGTAACAAATTGTTACATATGAAAGATCATGGCGGAATTGGTTCTGAATACCCCAATGCATATCCCAAATATCACAGAAATATGTGCAGTAGATTGCAGTAGTCCTTTTTTTGTTATTTATTGATATTTATTTTTCATGTTCCAGACCAGGTAAAAACACCAGGTTTTGAACGAAACTCCGCAGTCTGGGGCCGACCAGCAATTGCTCTTTTTCGGACTCACCATAGATGGTGAATCTCAAAATGGACGCGAGCTGCGACACATCATTCGCAAATGGCAACAGCAAAATTTTCAACAAGATACAACATGTATTGAAGTGTCTTGAAGTACATGGAAATATCTTGAAGTGTCTTGGAATGACATTCCCAATTTGGTGAAAATCCTGACGAACAAAAAGCGAGGTCACTGGCCAGGTGGGTGACTTGCCCGAGGCGCGGTTTGTGGTGAGTCCAATGGTTTTGTTACACATCCATCAGAATATAGTTGAACACCCACCATTGAAGACATCTATCAGACATAGTTGTTTTTTTTTGACAATATTACACCATATCGATCAGAATATAGTTGAAAAACCACTGAAGATTTGAAGATATTTGAAGATCCACCCATTTGTTGGATCAGCTTTGAGGAACACCATGCGATTTGAACCGCATGATGTGTTACCGCTCACCTCTGCAGCGCTCATGAGCCAGGAGAGGGGCTTCATCGGCTTTATCGATTGGTGCCCACGGAGAATCGAAGAGAACTATTTCAGAAGGCAGCTGCCAGATTTCTTCGATGATTTTTCGATGATTCTCAAGGATTCTCCATTGTTTTTCATTGTTGTCCACTAGGTTCCGTTATTCCTGATTTGTTTTCATTATTTTTCAATATTCTTTTGCCATTATTTTCCATTATTTCCCACCATTTCCTCTTAATTTCCACGATGTTTCCACGATTTTTCACTGTTTTCCTGTGCCTTTGAATCCACTGAATGGAGAGACCTGAAGACCTGATGAGCTGACTTAAAAACTCCAGGCCAAAACGAGCTATGGCAGCTTGGCATATAGAAAAGCTATCGAACATGGTGATTTATAGATATTTAGTTCGTGGATTTACCCATTGAAGATGGTGATTTTCCATCGTTTTTTGATGTTTTTTGTATGTTTACCAGGCCGGGTCTCCGATAGGCTGCCTATCCCGGCTGCAGACTTTCGGTAGAGCGGAGCTCTGAGGACATGTTCCTGACCCACCGCAAGCCTCATATGAAGATGCGATGGGTGCGCGCCGTCAATAAACATCGATCATTTTTGGCAATGATGGCAATGGACATCCTGAATTTTTTTTGATCACTAAATGAAGCTAAATACACAATTTTGTAAGTCACTAAATCTTACTAATATATGTCTGACTAGTTATATAGACATACTGCTACTTAGAAAGCCCCTTGGCGATAGAGGTACACTGCGCGCGGGTGGAACGGCCGACGATTCTGCGTCTTGCAGTGAAGTACCAGCTGCACCCGCTGCCAGTGGCCTTGGCTGCACCAAGTGCCCGGAAATCCTCAAGCGAAGCAAAGACGTTTCAGCGGCAGAACCAGATTTAAAGGATTTTCAAGGGTACCCTCTGGTTTTCTTTTACCAAACAGATGCAGTCAGAAGAAAAACAACACTTTTTTCAACATGCAGGTCCATCATCATTTTTATAGGTATACCTGGTCCCCACAAGAAGGGGGGAGTTTCTGGTCAACATTGGTCAGGTGGAAGACACGATTCAGCTCGAACAGCAATCTGTGCCCATTGCAACTTGGTGTCATCCCTGTTAAATCACCATCGTAGGGATAGCATGGTCACCAGACCTGGAGATATTCACCAAGAAATATGCTCAAATATGGGGATTGAGGCTGGAAATCATGGTTGAATGGTGGGTGTTGTCCGAACTAGCTGGGGATGATCTACTAATCCATGGACTCAAAAATCCTTCCCTGAACCAACCAGTAGCTTTGGGGACGAGAGGTCTCGGGCACTGCTCGTATGCTGCTTTGGACATCAAAGTCAACATGAGCAGACCCAATCTGTGAGTCTTTTTGATATTTCTAAAATTTTCTGTATATTTCTATTTATATATATATATATTATATTATATTATATATGTATATATATATATTGGGTACTTTGATATATGTCTATACATTTCTTTGCATTTTCGAGCGCATTTTCCATTTTCGGTCGCGCTTTTTTTGTCCGCGGGATTTTTTTTTCGATGTCCATGATCCGCCTCCTCGACGCCGTCGAAAGGTCAGGAAGTACAACGACAATTTCTTTGTCGTCATCCCCCTGCTCCGCTTGACGGAAGAAGCAAAAAGGTGCCAGAGAAATCAGAGAATTCTGTGGTCATTTGATGATTCTGATGATTCATATGATGTTTCAATAGGATTCAGGTGTGAAACAAGCTGATATTCTTCTCAGGAAGGACTGCAAAGCCATTTTTTCCTTTTGATTTTCGGATCTTTACGCATTGGAAGGGGCCATGCCAAGCTGAATCTCACAGTATCTCACCAGGAAACTCAGTCAGTACAAAGAGCACCGCACCAGGTCCGATCCTAAGGGTGTTCTTTCACATCTGTACGAGCATATTGACCATTATTTAACCATAATCACCATATATTAACCATATATTAACCATTCATATATATCTACAAATATTTTTGAAAGAGATGATTAATGTATATTCAAGTCACAGATTGAATCAGGAACAAGACTGGAACCCCTTTGGACGCGGGAGCACCAAGGCGGAACTTTGAAGATTTGAAATTGGAGGACTTGATCGACGTGCCGCAGGCCGCGAAGCTTGAAGTGGTCCATTCGAAACCTCGGCTGGAGCGGCTGGAGCGGCTGGAAGGGGTTTAAGACTCCATACTTTTCCATTTGACAAGTTGTTCTTACTCCATATTACTATATATAGGTTCTTAATGAATGATTCCATATTTTTGGACTCCAAAGATGGTTCATTGGATGTTCACATATGAATATATATATATATAGAACTAACATGAATATATACATGTATAACATACACAGTACATATAATATCTACAACACATATATATATGATTATATATGTATAATACTATACTTCCTTGCAGGCAGGGCTACCACTGTGCCAGGTGGAGCAATGCCGCTTTGCCGCTTTCGCCGCTGGTCCTCCTCACTATGACACCGTGGGGCTTCCTTGGCTTCCTATGGGTGGTGGATGTTTGTAAAGTAATACACATATATATATAGATATACACACTAACCTATATCACACTCAATTTTTGATGGTCCAAGAATGATGAAACATGTAAAACCAAGACTATGAGAGAGCCAAGCTTGGTGGGATTGAAGAGCAAGTTGCATCTTCGGTGACCCCAGAAGCGCTAAGTGGATCCAGTCTCAAAGGCAGCCCTTTACAAGCATCAGGTCATCAGCTTTATGACGGAATGGAAAGTGAGCAAGCTTCATGCAGACAATTACGAAAGCGAAGGCCTGTCGGTTCATGACAGGAATGGAAGGTGTCAGGGGCACATTTCGCTACGATTCGGTGTCGGAGAATTTTTTTTTGTACACTAGAGATGGACTTCTCCCAATAATTGTTTGATTTTGGATTCAGTGGACAACTCTAGTTACCCTCTGGTAATTTAACATAGCTATTGAAAATCACCATGTTTCATGGGAAAATCCACTATTAATGGCCATTTTCCATTGCTACGTTAAATTACCAGAGGGTATATCCCATTAATATCCCATTAAATCACTATAAGATCCCATTAAATCACTATAAATCCCTATCAATTTCCACTCTAGTTAGGCTTCTATATCATTTTTTGGGGGAGAGGGGTCTTCATGTGCAGCGCCGAAAGGTCAGACCTCAGGACGTTCTACCAGCGCCTCACCGGAGGAGCGCGGTGGTCAGCTTTCCCCAGGTGCGCCCGATGGCAAAAATGTGGTGAAACCATGATGGTACAGTGATAGTACTTGATTGCTCATCCCAATTTATAGGGATTTATAGTGATTCAATGGGATATTAATGGGATATACCCTCTGGTGAACTAACATAGCAATGGAACATGGCCATAGAAATAGTGGATTTTCCCATTGAAAATGGTGATTTTCCATAGCTATGTTAGTTCACCAGAGGGTAGTAGAAACACTCATATTACTAATAACCATTAAAAAAACGATTAAAAGAACATTGGTAGTACACTAATAAGCATTAATAACCATAGTAGTACACTAATAACCATTTAAAAAAATGATGACTGATGATTGATGATTGATGAGATAGCAGCAATCATGAATATTGGAATATACTTATGATATATGATGATGATCTTCAACCACGAGAACAATAGCAGGGTGATTCGTGCAGAGGCCGGCCCCTGATGGAAACGCCTTTACCGATGTGACTCAGCTTATACTGGGTGGGCAGCTGGGTAGTATGCCAATGATCTGGCAATTACAGTAACAGATCACAAATTGGATTCCCTTCTCTGAGAAACTTGAGTCGACTTTATGGAATTCTGTACCGGTTAAATCGGTGTCACACCGAAGATGTTTTTACAGCTGAGCTTCAGGAGGTTTCACCTTGACTGCTGTGCTAAGACCGGTCCCAACACCTGGTGGCGGCGTTCAAAGTGCGATGCCGTTGAGATTGCCATCCGCAAGGTGCTGCTGGGACGGGTTGCCGTGTCATGGCTGTGTCGCCGCGATACAACCATTTTTTTTGTAGGCAAGATTCAGGGGAGGAGCAAGACTTCTTCGCTGGGGTCATCCCGACATGTTTGAATTGATGAAATTTAAGATGCTATTTTTAGTATTCATCATCCCATTATTGGGGTACTCAATTTTGACCCATACCCATTTGATGCGGTTGATTCGGCTGTCAGGAATCTCCAAGCTCCACTGGCTCCACAGCTGCAACAGCTGACGGTTGGCCACCGCGCCAGGTGGTTCGGCAAATTCAGCGCGACTACTCCATGCTACGGTCTGGCAATTCCTCCTGGGTTTTGTGGTTGGGGACCTCAAGAGCCAAACAGCCAGGCTGTGGCATGCCATGGCAATGGGTGATCAAACCATCCATTTTTGGGCCGTTTCGCAACGGTAAGGCGTCTATTGGATGTGACGGTGGACGAACTCTCTCCGATTCTGTCAGCGCCACTTGGAGAAAATTCCACAGCAGCACCAGCTTGGCTTGCCAGATGTATCAACAAAAAGGTAAAAACATATGATATTTGTACAATTTTGTACACATTTGTTCTCCTCCCAAACCAACATAAGACAACCAATCCGCAAACTCCAGGGGTTTTGACCAACCAAGCTTTGATAAAAAACTACATTGGTGGCACCAGGTTGGCTTGAGTTTTGGTCAAGATGGAACTTTAGATGCAACTTCCATAGGAGGATCTGGGGCGCCTAAACAGCTGGAGATGGAAGAAATCGACTTGCTGTTGCAGGTATCGAGCTCAACTGCGATGGTTTTCCAGCCACTCGGCGAAGATCGTTTTGAATCGCCAGGTTGGTTCGCCATTGGAGCCAATCTCAGGACTTTCAATTTGAGTTTTGATACCTTCGGTATTGCCGGAGATTTCACACCATTTTACGAAAGACATACTCATTTGAAGCCAATGTTCGAAGGCACACACACACACACACACCTTTTCGGGAGGGGCGTGACGAAACGCCAGATTTTTCAGGTCTGATCACTCGAGAAGAAGCGCGAGTGTCCAAAGATGTAGAGAAACGCCTACTGCGCAGCAAGGCGCCGCCGTGAATTTCCGCACTGCGGCACGACATGGCACGACTGGGGCGGGTGACCGGGTGGCCATTGCCAGGTAGAGCTGGACTGGCTTCAACGCAAAGTTCGGCCCATGGTGAAGGTTGTGAAGCACATCATCAAAGACAAGGTGACAGATGGGCCAATGGGGGGGATCGGTGCCGTTAGTAGGTGCCGTTGACCAGAACATGACCCCATGGAAAATCACCATTTTTAATGGGAAAACTCACTATTTCTATGGCCATTTTCAATAGCATTGCCACAACTCTGCAGGGAGTGGGGTAGATTTGGCCTCGATCTCAACATGAGGCCATCGATCCAGATGTCACACGCTACCTTGAAGACATCGAAGACCACCTGAACACCTTTCTTGAAGAGGCGCCTTGGGCAGATTTGGATGATCACAAACTATGCATATGATGAATGGATATGAATGGCTTATGGCTTGCTACCAGCAATTGGAGAATTCATAGAGAATGATTTGCGAGAATGATTTGGGATATCACTTTTTAAATAATGGGATACATAACCATTAATATTGCAATATATATATATATATATAATAGCTATGGGGTGCCTTTTTTCTTGACCCCTCAGCCAGGTGCGACATTTCTACATTTTCCACCCTGGCAGGTGAGTCGCATCATGGGAGTTTGCCACTCCTTGAGGGACGAAGTCAACTCCTACCGAGATCGACAACAACAGAAGGTCACGGCTGCGGGACATCATTTTCTGCGGTATTTTCTCTTGGTTTACTAAACGCCAAAATGATCCGACTTGATGTGATAGTATATAGTGTTATATATTCATGATATATATATATAGTATGTATATATATATATATGTAATATAACATATATATATATATCTATCTATATAATATTATATACAGTGATTACTTCATTGACTTGGGAGTATGACGTGCCCCAGGCTAAAAACCACATCACACCAGATCTTGTGCCAGGTTCTCTACGTCCTGACCCTGGTGACTACTCTGATCATGCCAACGCATCTCCTCACCGGAATCTTCGGAATGAACTGGCAAGATGCAGCGCCTCAGCTGACCAGTTGGGCCAGTTGGGCCAGTTGGGCCAGTTGGGCCAGTTGGGCCAGTTGGGCTATGGGGGTGATTTGTAGCCGATGCCGAGGATGGGAGGCCAGTGGTACCTGGACTTGGAGTCATGGAGGAAAGTCGCGGATACTACCTCTTTTGGGGCTGCCCGGCAGCAGGTTTCGGCTCGGCTCGGGGTCCAGGATTCCATGGTCCAGGCTGAAGGTTTGGCACAATTCTGATGCCCAGGTCTTGCGTTCAGCCTGACGCTGCTGATTTGGTTGACTTTTTCGCGAATTCTGAAATGGATTTGATCATTTGATCATTCGATCCAGAGGACCATGCTCCGAGTGCAGGACTTGGGACTTGTGTTTCTTTTTCCAGACAGTTAGTGGTTCCATGGTCTTTTCAAACCACATGCATTGCCTGGTCGCAGGGCCAGTTTTCTGTCCAGTTTATGGGGGATTGACTGGACAGACAGTCGCGTGTTTCCACAAAGTTTGATGAGCATCATGCTAATCGCGAGTCTTTTTCGAAGCACATGTCCATAAAATATGCATCTACGTGTCCACAACAGCCTTTCAATATCTACAGTTTTTTGTGCGTGATGGTATTTCGTTCAAACAACTGGTACTGCATGTCAACAGCTGCATACCCTTTGTTGTGGACCGGGAAAAACTCCACTTTTGATTCTGATTTGCATTGGCTGGGCATGCTCATCCTGACTACTCTTGATCTCCGTGAGAAGTTTGTGCCGCCTTTTTGGCACGGCCACGGTTGAATTTATACAGAACCCCCGGTTGCTTCGCCCTGGCTCCGCTGGCCACTGCCGGCGGCAGCGCATGGCAGTTGCCTCACCCAGAAAGAGCGCCGCTGTACAGAAACATCCCCAGAGCCGCTGCGCGCTGTGCAACAAATGACCAAAGTCGTTGCCGCCTGGCGGTTCACTATGGTAAACCAATGTAAACCATACTATGGTTCACTGGTTCTCCTTTGACCTTCGCTTTTGTTGTATATGGATAGCCATGGTCTTTTGTTCTATCCTGCATGCACACAGCATGATTTAGATTCGGCCTGTTCATCGTGCACGTGCCTGGAGGCAGTGGAGACGCATAAACACCGACAGATTTGAGATCAAAGCTTCACTGACACGCCTTGAACTCTTCCTTTTGTGCACAGACAAGGCAATGATACCACGGTGCCTCTAGGCCCCCCACTCCATCAAGGATGAAACTACACAATTGGCATCTCAATTTTGGCCAGGAAAACATGAACTTTGTTTGGCTCGGCCGATTTCGACGATGTTTCAGCCATGTTACGCTGGTGTCTGCCAGCGCCATGGGCTCTGGCGCTGCCGTGGGCGGAGAAGCATCCCATCAACCATGGGGATCAGGACTGGTCATTTTCCATTGTCAATAGGGGTACCCCATGATAAACCATACCCAAAAGGGGAAATTCGGTAACCACCAGTTGCAGTGAGTTGATCAACAGTTGCCAAAGGCAAAGTACCCCAAAACTCTACTCGTAGGGCTTGTATGAGAGACATTTGAGCTGAAATGGTACCACCAGCTGTGAGCATCTCAGCCGTCCTTGGAAGTTGCACCAGGTGTCCCCCTCGCCAAACATGGGCTATCCACCGTGTGTGGAGGGCGTAACAGTGCCCGATGGTGGCGTGTGCACACCACACACCGCGCTGTGTTGCAGGCGTGAACAACAGGTGGCATGAGATGTATCATCTCTTCCTAGCATGTGACGTGACCAGAGTGAACACCTGAACAAGGATGATACCATTGCGGTCAGTTTATGAGTCAACTATGAGATCATGATGATTCAACTTGCCTCAGACTGCTGTTGACGATGATTCATGGTGCGGAGAATACGAATGCCTACAGCATGGCATTATTTTGTGGATTTTTGTGGGATGATGATGCGGAGGATGATGATCAGAACATATCAGAACTATCCACATGACAACCGGTGTTGCACAAATGGATTCACACCCTACGAGAATCAGATGACGTGCGCGGATGGCACAGCTTTGGCTTTCATCCAGCTGCAGATGGACTTTAGATGTGTATCTTGTGCTACCCGGCTGGTAAACTAATATAGCTATGGAAAATCACCATTTTGAACAGGTAAATCAACTGTAATTAAATAGGCCAGTTTCAATGGAGCCAAGTGGGCCCAGTTGGGCCGCAGTTCAGACCCCGTGAAGAAAATGTTGCTGCCACGTGGGGTCGAAACGCTGCATTTGGCATATGTGGCCGATGTTGGGCCGATCTGCAAAATCCATAGTCCCGTAAATGCCCCCCCAGCTGATTGACAGATCATGCCAACTTTCAGCATTCCGCGGAGGTAGAGTTTGGAAAGGCGCAGCGTGTGAACACGCCGCAGTTTCGTCCTCAATCGCCAGTGTGGAACTACTGCACATTTGATATCATTTGAACATAAATATCATAAAGAAAGAACGTAAGATCTCAGATCTCCTGAAATTTGACAAGTTCTGGGTCCCCGTGACTGACGGGGTCATGCTGAAAGGGACCGCAATCTTAGTGGGTCGCATCTGGGGTCTCAAACCCCTGGAACTCAGCAGTCGTTACGTTGCGTTGTTGTGACGCATCTCTGTTGGAAAGGCAACTAATGTTGGTACAACAAGAGGAAATCATCCCCAAAATGCCAGAAATGGGTGGTATGAACCATCAAAATATGGGTGGCTTATTATTGTTTTACTAACATTACCTGTATCTGTATCTTGAACATCATGTTGTGATGTGAAACTGTGTTTATACATTCTAGAAATGTTCAGACCAACCGCTTACTTGTGTATTGGTGGATCAATAGGAACCATCCTCAACCCTTTGCTCATGATTTTCCGCTCAAAGCGTCAAAACCATACGAAGAACAGGTAGTTGTTGATCTGTGTCTCTGCAGCGTCATCCAGTACATTCCAGTATCATCCAGCAATATCTCGCCAATGATTCACCCACAATTCACCAATATCAACCATGGGATTTTTGGGATGGATCATTTTCCATATTTTCAGATCAAACACCCGCAATGCTTCCCCCCAAAAAAACATGGTTTCAGGCCACAACTGCGTCTGGCTCTCGCTGGTGCCATGGGTCGATCGTTCGTGGCATATGGGCCCTTTTTGCAGAGCCACAAGGTGGACAATTCGCCAAAAATGGAGGATGATTTACCCCCATTGTTTGTACACACCCATGATCCTCCATGTATGGAAAATGGCTGGTTGGTGGTTTGGAACATTTTTTATTTGTCCATATATTGGGAACAATAACTCCAACTGACGAACTCCATCATTTTTCAGAGGGGTAGGTATACCACCAAGCAGATGGATAATGATCCCATTTCCTGAAAGCCACATCTATGACATCACTGTAGAAGTTGGATGACCAGCCGGAAGATCCGCAGGTTCCTGCTGAAAGTCTTGACCTTGTCCTTCGCAGCCTTCGCATACGAGTTGGGGTCTCAGTTCAACGGTGGGCGACGTAGTTTTTTTTGCTGTGTCAAGATAGCAACTACCCTCTGGTGAACTAACATAGCAATGGAAAATCACCATTCTTAATGGGAAAATCCACTATTTCTATGGCCATTTTCCATTGCTATGTTAGTTCACCAGAGGGTAGTAGCAATGCTCAATTATTGACATTGTACAGACGTCCGGATCCATCGGATCCATCGGATCCTTTCTGCGAAGTGACCAATGGGCACGTAGCGTAGCCAATGATACCAGGCTACTTAGCAGTTTGTGAAAACCATTATTAACCATTATTAACCATTGATTAACCATTATTAACCACCATTATGGCTGTTCCAGTCACCACCAAGCATCATCTCCACAGCAAGCAGTTTGATCCAAGAACTGCTGTCAGGAGATGTGGAGATACTGACAACAATTGCTACAAATGGGCACTGGAAGGAGGCTGCGAGAATTCCTCCGCCACTTGGCAGTTTGTGTTTCACAACATGGAATACCAAAATGCCAAAAAAACACATCCCCAATTGATTGGCAGTCTCAAAAGAAAACATGACAATGAACCATGGGAGTTTGGGCTACCCGATCTACCCGATCTTTAGGCAGAACCATTTTTACTTCTCTCATCATTGACCATTGTGCGCAATGAAGTCTGAACACCCAAGAAGCTGGATGATCAGCCAAAGAACCCACTTTCGTTTATTAAATTGATGGACTTGAATATCATACCGGAACTTTCAACCAGGAGGACCAAACAAAAGATCAAGTAGGTGGGACTTTCTCCCAACCCTTTTGATGCCTTCCAGTGGACTAGGAAGCCACCGAAGCCAGGACTCAATCGAGATTTATTGCCCATTGAGTTGTGGCAGCTGCGAGCCACACAGTTGCAGTGCCCAGGAAGCCAACGAGGCGGATGTGGGCGGCGGATGGCGGCGGAGTGAAGAAATGCTGCTTAGTACATGGCCTTGAAGACATGCCATGCCCAAGTAAGCTTAGCTAATATTTTTAATTGAGACTTTGTTGTCAACGCGCCGCAATGCCGCATTACCACAGTCTCTCTTTGCTTCGCAGGACTTTTGCACTATGGATCTTGAACTTCGAGACGAGGAGAATCTCAGGTCGCGTTGATATTAGTGATTCTGATCAGGAATGTGGTGTCCATTTGAGGGCCGTTGAAAAATCGCTATTCAAAACGGGTTTCGGTTGCAACCTCAGCCACATTCCTGGGATCAGCGCAACATGCTGGGCTGGAGAGCAGGAGAATGGTGGGATGCACTGCGCTTTGGAAGCGATTCTGAAAAATGGCATCGATGGAACAGTGTGTCTTCAAGCAACAGTTGATGAAACATGACTGGTTGGTGGTTTCAAAGTCAAACATCTTTGATTTTCCATAATATATGGGATAATCCTTCCCATTGACTTTCATATTGTTCAAGATGGTTAAAACCACCAACCAGAACATCATGAAACATTTAGACAAAAATCGCCACGAAGCGATCCAAGCGATCCAAGGTACATTTTGGCACAATCTGCCAGGACGAGGTCCAATCAATGTCTCCTTTCTCTCCGAAGTGGAAACACACGTAGGTGCACTCTCTCTCATGTTCTCATGTCACGGTTGTGACATGTTGTGAATAAAGTCACTGAGACACTTAGTAATGTGCAGTGTTGGTGGGTTTCCCTTGAATTTCACTTTCCGTTTTTCGATGTGTTGAAACTTGGGTGTGGCTAACCCTCAAACATTTCGGATATTCCAAACAGATCAATTGCTATTGGTACTGATATTATCTAATATTCAAGTGCTAGCAGTGCTACCAGTTGCGTCCCCACATCTCTGACGACCAATTCCGTCCCCACAAAAGTTGCACGTCCCCTCCCGTGGTAGGTGTGATCAAGCTGCAGGGTGCCTTCTCAATGCATACCTACGAAGATCATGTTTTCCGCTTCAGAGATGCAGGACCCTCCACGGATGTCCAGGGTTTGGTCGGATGATGGATCAATCAGTTGATATTTAAGTATTAAGTAGAAGTATTACACGATATGATAGGATTTGTATGGATTTGTACAATATGGATCAATATGGTTTTTCATGATTTTTCATATCACCAATGCACAACATGAATCTTTCCATTCAGAAACGCGGTCGGTGAACTTTTTCGACACGTTTTTTCGCTCCCTCACGGCCTGGCACTGGGATCACTGGGCACAGGAGGAGAGATCCTGGCGACGCTGCGGATGGTCAAGTCCCGAATCGTCCTGAACCTCGATGACGACTTCATCGCCTCGCTGACCAACTGTGTGGCACGGCTAAAAACGGCAAAAACCGGCTCCTTTTGCGGCTCAGTGGCTGGTTTCCCAGGTCTTGAGATAAGATCAGATAAATCTAATATTTATCTATTATATATAATACAGATACATTATGTATTTATATATATATATATTATATATATATGTAAACGTAATTTAAACACAGATAAATGCAGTATAATGAAACACATGATTCAATTTGATTAAATATGATATGTTCTGGAAGGCTTTTTTAAGGACTATCATGTGACTCGTGTTGGTGACACCCAGTGTCTCTCCAAGGTAGATCGGCCGCAAGAGCACTGGGACAAAACCTGCGACATTTGGGCAAAAGAGGAGCAATGTGTGCGAAATCCTGGTTTCATGTGACTTGACATAGCTGATCTATGTATATCTTATCATGGCGCATCTTTGAAAACCAGTGCAATTTCGGAGTCATGTTGAGTAAACGTTGTAGCCGTGGAGTAAACGTTGGCCGTGTGATTGATTCCATCCACTGCCAGTTTTCACGATTCCAACCAGCGCCATGGAGCGCCAAAATCACGAACTTTTTTTGATCAGGAGTAGATCATTTTTTCGAATATTGATGAATTTAGTGCCCTGATACATGGGAAATCCTTGAACTGTAGCAGCTATATGAATGATAGCAGTCACTATGAACTATATGAATGATACATAAGAAATACATGGGAAATCCTTCTGAATGCTTATGACATACTTCTGTTTCGCTCGGCTCGGCTTTTCACTGTTGGATGTCCCAAGGACCGTCTTCTGTGCGAAGACGTGTCATACTTGTCACCTCCGCGAGGAGGACGTGGGAAGCCCCATTTCCCCAATGGCATCCCATTTGGGATGGAAACAACCAAAAATTGGTCAGCCAGCAGCCCGAAAACCGTGCAAATGATGCCAATGATCGTTTTTCCGGGTTGTTGTGAGTTGCTCCACAGACATCTAACGGATCATTTACCTCGTGAACTTACTGTTGGTGACCCCAGTCCATTGTGAATGAACGATCATGAAACACATCTATGTTTCCTGTTGCTCTACTGATTCAAGAAAGAGACAGGTCTCATTGGTTTAAAAATACAATGGTTTTCAAAAAGCCAGACGTTTGTTACAGACACACCTCTCTGCATCTGTTTGTAGTGAACGTTCTGGTCATTCCACCTGCCTTCAAAGACAGGACCTGAGATGTGCACGTCGATATTTGCAACCTGGAAAGCAGTGATTCTGTGAGGAAACTCTTCGTCCTGGGCCATTGGATTTAAAATGATTTAAAGGCTTACGCCTGACAGCCGGGCGCCGGCCAAGCAACGACGTTTGGCTTAAATGCTTTTGACACACATTTTCGCCCCTAATGACGGAAGCCAAGGCCTATGAGCCAAAAACCAGTGCTGCAACGAGGAGATATGGATCAGATGTTCCAAGGCCAGCTGCAGATGAAGTTTTCCCAACCAGTGGGAACATCTGGGAACTGGGAACATCACGTTGCTGTCTTTCATTTAGACCAAACGTGATTCGATAATCAAACATGCCACGGGAAGACTTTGAGACTTCATTACTTGCTGATTACTTGCGGGTCCTAACGAAAAAATCTGGCCCCCTGCAGACATCAAAGACCGTGCGCAGAAGTACAGCTCGAACGTCCAGATCTTGAGTCGATCCCCGTGGACTTTTGACAGCAGCCTTGAAGAGTTGTCTTGAAGGCCAAACCCTTCCATGTCCCTTGAAATCGAACAAGCATGAGAAATACTGAGAATTTCTAGGAGTTGAAGAAGTTGAAGGCTATTTTTTTTTCTTTTTTTGACCCAGGGCTCTTTCGGAATCCCAGGGGCCCTCATGCTACGATATCTCACGATTATCTCACGTATCTCAACCGAGTCAACGAGTACAGCCAACCTGTGCACCAGAAAGGGATCCCATGATGTCGTTGATGTTCGTGGGGGCCACTGTTCGCGGTCACCCCCAGGATTGTTGCCTTCGAGGGCATTATCTTAGAGGAAGAAATAGCAGAACTCCTTGCAGCACAGGGTCAAGAGAATTTTCGTCGGTCCAAAGATCAAGGAGATCCTGACAGCTTTGGACTTATGAAGGCGTGTGATAACCATTGATAAGCTGATACCATAGCTTGGCTGACTGCCACAACTCTTTTTCGCTCTTACCTCGAGATGCCGTTGGAGGCAATTGTTTCTTCCAACAGAACGTCACAGAGTGCCTGGTGCCAAGACACTTGCAAAGAGCTTCCGAGCTACATTGCAGTCACTGATAGATACCCGGTGGCAACAAATTAATTGTGGCCAGTTCCAGAATCAGAAACATCCAAGGCTGGGTAGTTCCCGCTCTGTGCAATCCATCTATATCATCCAAATTCATTTGAAATTTCCAGAGCCTTGGCTAAAGTCTATTTATGTAGTGTAAAGTAGTCCATATACAATATTATAAAATACATCATACATACATACATACATACATACATACATACATACATACATACATACATACATACATACATACATACATACATACATACATACATACATACATACATACATACATACATACATACATACATACATACATACATACATACATACATACATACATACATACATACATACATACATACATACCATACATACATACATACATACCATACATACCATACATACCATACATACCATACATAACATACATACATAGCATACATACATACATACATACATATACATAGCATACATACATACATACATACATACATACATACATACATACATACATACATACATACACATACATACATACATACATACATTACATACATACATACATACATACATTACATACATACAACATACATAACATACATACATACATACATACATACATACAGACATACATACATACATACATACATTCCAAATACCATCCATACATGCATGCATAATAACATACAACATACATACATACATACATACATACAATACATACATTACAATACATACATTACATACATACATTACATACATACATTACATACATACATTACTTACATTACATTACTTACATTACATTACATACATTACATTACATACATTACATTACATACATTACATTACATACATTACATTACATACATTACATTACATACATTACATTACATACATAACATTACATACATTACATTACATACATTACATTACATACATTACATTACATACATAACATTACATACATAACATTACATACATAACATTACATACATAACATTACATACATAACATTACATACATAACATTACATACATAACATTACATACATAACATTACATACATAACATAACATTACATACATAACATAACATTACATACATAACATAACCATTACATACATTCAATACCATTACATACCATTACTACCATTACATACCATTACATACCCTTACATAGCCATTACATCCATTACATACCATACTACCATTACATACCATTACAACTCATTACAGACCATTACATACGCTTACATACCATTACATACCATTACATAACCTTTCATAACATACATACCATTACTAACATTATCATAACATTACATACATTACAGAACTTACATAACATTACATAACATTACATACTTCATAACCGTACAATAACATTACATAACATACATAACATACATAACATACATAACATACATAACATACATAACATACATAACATACATAACATACATAACATACATAACATACATAACATACATAACATACATAACATACATAACATACATAACATACATAACATTCATAACATACATAACATACATAACATACATAACATACACATAACATACATAACATACATAACATACATAACATACATAACATACATAACATACATAACATACATAACATACATAACATACATAACATACATAACATACATAACATACATAACATACATAACATACATAACATAACATACATAACATACATAACATACATAACATACATAACATACATAACATACATAACATACATAACATACATAACATACATAACATATATAACATACATAACATACATAACATACATAACATACATAACATACATAACATACATAACATACATAACATACATAACATACATAATTACATAACATACATACATAACATACATAACATACATAACACACATAACATACATAACATACATAACATACATAACATACATAACATACATAACATACATAATATACATAACATACATAACATACATAACATAGATAACATACAAACCATACAAAACATACATACATACATAACATACATACACATCATACATACATAACATAACATAACATATCATAACATACATAGATAGATACATACATACATGCATGCATGCATACATACATACATACACACATACTTACAGACTTACAGACATACAGACAGACAGACATACATACAGACAGACAGACATACACACATACACACATACACACACATACACACACACATACACACATACACACATACACACACATACACACATACACACATACACACATACACACATACACACATACACACATTCAGTCATTCATTCATTCATTCATTCATACATACATACAGACATACAGACATACAGACATACAGACATACAGACATACAGACATACAGACATACAGACATACAGACATACAGACATACAGACATACACACATACACACATACAGACATACACACACACATACACACATACACACATACACACATACACACATACATACATACATACATACATACATACATACATACATACATACATACATACATACATACATACATACATACATACATACATACATACATACATACATACACCACACACATACATACATACATACATACATACATACATACATACATACATACATACATACATACATACATACATACATACATACATACATACATACATACACATACATACATACATACATACATACATACATACATACATACATACATACATACATACATACATTACATACATACATTACATACATTACATTACATTACATTACGTTACGTTACGTTACGTTACGTTACATTACATTACATTACATTACATTCATACATACATACATACATACATACATACATAATAACATACATACTAACATACAAACATACATACATACATACAGACAGACATACATACATACATACACACGTACCTACGTACGTACATACATACATACTTACATACATACATACATGCATCCATGCATCCATGCACGCATGATACATAGATACATGGATGCATAGATACATAGAGACATGGATACTCTGATACATAGATACATAGATACATGGATACATGGATACTTAGATACATATATTATCATAGATACATAGAAACATAGAAACATAGATACATGGATACAAAGATACATAGATACATAGATACATAGGTAATAGATACATGGTTACATAGATACATAGATACATAGGCAATAAATACATAGTTACATAGACACATAGATCCATGTATCCATGATAGATACATAGATACATAGATACATAGATACATAGATACATAGATACACAGGTACACTGGTACATAGGTACATAGGTACATAGATACATGGTTACATAGATACCTATATATATAGATTCATAGATACATACATATATATATATTATGTAATCTACATATGACCATTCTATTCGTTTTTGATGGTTGTCCATTTTGTTTATGACATCGCCGCCAGGAATTGCTAAGATCATCCAGGTGCCGACAGACCACTTCGAGTCGATGCAGTTCTTGCGGCTTGGATGAGTTCTTCGACCAGGGTTCCACCATGTTCCAATGGCGCCCCTGGTGAATTTTGGACATCACCTGAAAAAGTAGCCATTATAGACCACAAAAACCTAATGGTTGGGTGATGTGAAAAAATGGGGACATCAGTCATGACCCATGTTTTAACATGGTTTTAACCATCAAACTGAGGTTTGAACCAAGAAACATGGTGGTGGGAATGGAACATCTCGTTATTTTTTTGCAATGGGACATCTACATGCACATCTTGGGATGATTGTCTACAACTGATGGATTTTCCATGTGAACATTTGCTGCAGGGTGCATGTTGTGGTTTTTGCCATGCCTTTGCCATGCCTTTGCCATGCCTTTGTTTTTCGCACACCAGGACATTGGGGTGTGGGAGGGATTAAGGAAGTACAACGTTGGCGACTACTATGTGAAGCACCATGACATGAATGAAGAAAAGGCCTGGAGGGTGCTTCACATATCGGTTTACAATTCTCGGTTTGCAAAACAACAGTTTTTTGGAACAAAAACATCGAAAACAATCAAGCCATCTCATGATGACTCTTAATTCCAGTCACATTCCAGGTATGAAGAATTTCAACCATCAAATCATCAAACTGTACAGCACAGGGGTTGGTAACTGTCCCTTTTTGGGTATATTGGACATCACCTTATAGTAGCCATTATAGACCATATACCTAATGTTTGATGTTCAATGGGGACATTTAATGACCCATGCAGCAGTTGGCATGTGGAAGGACAATGACCGAGCTTGCGGACCTCGGATATACACCTTCTTCTTGTACCTGTCTGATGTTGAAGAAGGCGGTGAGACGCCCTTCGGCAGTGTTTCACTGCGACAGAAAGCGATCTCGTTGATCGTGTTCAATGATTCTATATATATTTCTCCATATATTTGCATCACCATGTGGTGATATGTGGTGTAGACATGTGCAAATTCCCATTGAAGTCCAACCCCATCAACTATAGATTCATAAAATTTCCCATATAATTCCCATTGTATTCCTGTGATTTCCCGTCTATAGCGTGGGTTCGATGCTCAGGTATTTCAACCAGCTGAATATCTCCGTGAAACCACGTGCCTTGAGCCGTGAGTGTAGGAGCCAGGTTTTTTTTTGCAGCAACAATCGAGGTACGACATACATATATATATATATTATATATAATAGTATAGTATAGTATAGTATAATATAATATAATATAATATAATGTAAGGTAATGTAATATAATGTAATGTAATGTAATGCAATATGATATAATATAATATAATATAATATAATTAAATATAATATAATATAATACAAAATAATATAATATAGTATAATATAATATAATATAATCCAATACAATACAATACAATATAATATAATATCATATCATATCATATCATATAATATCATATATATGAATATCTATGAATATCTGTGAATATCTGTGATAGAATTGAATGCAGAGACAACATTTTCACATTCCCTGGGCGTGCCGACACGGTTTTGCACAGTAGGTAAAGGCCTGGGTCTGCTATGGCCCTCGGTACTCTCGGAGAATCCAACCGTGGGAGCCTGAGCTATGACTGGATGGAACCCCCCAGGAAAATACATATATTTGGGTTTGTCTGAAAATAGGGTATATTCCCAATTATAGCCATTTAATAGGGATAATGATCATTAACCATTGGGTTTAGGGGTACACTATTTTCAGACACACCCATTTCAATACATGTGCCATAGTCAAAGGTCCATGATTAGGGATGTATGTGTATTCGTTATTATTCATCATAAGGAATCCCATTCATGATGGTGGGATGAGAATAAACCATATACCATTGACCACGGCACAGATTGAACAAAGACATGGACTTGTTTCCATCGTGGCAAGGCAAACTAGGTACCCCGGTAAAACAAAAAGCAAGCACAAGGCCTGAGATCTTTCCCGCAACAAGGCTAGATGACACAGTCGGTTTAAACGGAAGGATCCGAATGTGGGATTTAGGGACTTTTTTTCAACTCATTAGGTTCATGCCTTTTCCAACAAAAAATCCACCATGTCCCAACATGGTTTTCCACCATTTTTCCACCATTTTTCAACCATATTTTCCAGATTTTCCCGATCCATTCACGCCCCAAGGTGCGAGATGATCGGACCATGCACGAAGCCAAAGCTGTGCTTCGTGGCCTGAAGGTGGCCGCCAATGTGTCGCTTGGGCGTTGAGAGTTTTGGGCGTCGATCCGGAGAGTTTTGGAACTGGAGAAATCGGAATTCACCAATAAATAGCGGAAATAGATACGTACTGGCATATATATATATACATATATATATATATACATATATGTATATATATATGTATATATATATATGTATATGACCCTTTGTCACAAATAGTTGTTTAGAAGTTTAGTATTGGTTGTTGATAATTCATCTGGGTCTACTGTTTTTTCCTCTTCGTTATGAGGCGGCACGCAACTAAATTCAGCAATTCTGCAAGGCAGCGCTAGCAAACCCGCTAGGTTTGCGCTAGGTTTGATTGACAGCCATGGCCTCCATGTCGTGAATGTCTTGCCAGCTTTTCTTACAAGTCTGTCAGTTTCCACATATTCCCAAATTTGCGATTTTTTTTACGTATTTGCCGCTAGCAACGCTCTAGCGAAAATTGCAAATACATGCCCCGGTCTACCCGCAGCCCATTCAGAGGCACAGCCATGTTCACGCTTTGGTAGCTTACAGTAAGGAAACAGCGTTGATCAGGAGGCATGTCAAGAAGCATATTGCATTCAGAGAGGCACGCACACACAGAGACACACAGTTCAGGAGATAGTACCAGCGACAGCGAATGAAAACCGACGTGCGTTAGCCGATTCCTGTGGTTTTAGAAAGATTTCCAAAGGTAACGAAGAGTTTCCACGTTTTCACGTCATCAAGGTAGGTCATGTTTTTTAAAGGCAAACATGAGGCGGCACGCATGGAATTGCGATTTATCAACAAAACCGGGAACAGACATTTTGACAAACCGTCATATATATATATACATATAGATATGTATATATATATATATGTATGAAAATATACATTATATATATAACTATATATATATACATACACACACATATATATATACATGTATACGTACATAATGTATGTATATTCGTGTGTATATATATATGTATACACACATAAATATTATGTATCTTATCCAGCTATTATAGCCCAATTCACCAGTCTTTGGCAGCTGTGGCACTCAGGTGGGTCCACCTCTTCAGTTACGAGATACCCAACCTCTGGGCCTGCACCGGTGGCCTCTATCGCTAGTTGGTTGTGTACCAACTGGAAGAATGTATGATACAGATTTGAATAGAATATATGTATGTATGATTATAGTATATGTGTATAGATATATTTCAGATTGTGTATCTATCTATCTATCTATCTATCTACATATATACATATATACATAATAGTAATAGTATCTATAATATCAGATTATATATGTAGCGATTTCTTAAAATAGGGAATCCTTAAGCCAATGGTTTTCCTGTTATTACCCACAATGTTTGGACGATTCGCGGGGGTTTCCAATTTGGGACCCCCCCAATTGTTTAATGCTAATGCGCCAACAATGTCATAACATCTCCCGCATGATTGTTCTTCCGATCCAGTCCTGAGCAACATCAGCATCGACGAAATTGTTGGCTGCGACGCGACGTTCTGGATGGATGCAAAAGTGCCACATGCCTGACATGCATGTGTCCAACAAAAGCTGTTCAACTTTCTTAAGATGTTTTGGTTTCTGGCCTTGCTTCTGGTTGGGTCCTCATCTACGAGATAAACAAAGATATTTCTGCCACGCTAGAGGTCAAAATGATCAAGAAAGTGACTCTGCAGCTGCTTCTGTCAAGAACTCCCATGAAAATCATGAATTCCCAGATCAAAAGCCGCAGACAGGAAAACCAACAAGGTTTCCTGAAAACACGATGGCCAAAAGCTTGTGAGAAATTCAGGAATCTTTCGACGCTCGACGCCAGCAATGCTTCGATGACAGCATTCGTGTTTTAATCGGGGGCGGCACCAAGAATTGTATATAAAATTATACACTTGTTTGCACCAAAAGTGGATGATTTTATCTAACAAGTGCCGATACCTGGCAGGGTTTCCATTGGTTCGTTGGATCTGAGTCATCTGAGTCCCCAATCCCCACAGCATGCGCCATGGTGACAGCTTACGTACGGAGTCGCGTACGAAGTCCCTGGAGTTCTGCTTGCCGGAGGTGGCGACGAGACAGGAGAAGGATGGAGCAGACACTTTGCCTCTTGGAGAAACTGGGACAACTAGCTCCACCTTGGGTTTCTCAGAGAATTCTGATTTTCAAAATCACTCTTTGGCAATCTCATCTATGTGTCCATCCGTATCCGTCCCTCTCTTCCTTCAACAATCTGAAAAAGTCCCTATCCATCCCTGCTTATCATGATATATCACGATAAAATCTGATTAAATCTGATTATCTGGCTACCTCTGACCTGATGACTTAGGATCCCTAGGGCCCCTCTATTTGCTTTCGCAGCTTGGCCCAGGTATCCCGCTCTGATTGGCAGGTGGGCTGACTCAGCCACCGGGGTTTTCCCGCGTGCCGGAAGTCTCGATGAAGCAAAACCAGATGAAATCCATATTATACTGTATAGTATATATAATATCATATCATATATATATAATATAGTATATATGATATCATATATATATATAATATAGTGTGTATATATATATATATTAATATGTAAATCATCCATAGAGGAAATCATCCAGGGAATAGAAAATGATAGTTTGAAGATCATCCATCTCGCAGAGCTGTGCATCCCCTTGAGGCCACAAGAGCCGCAAGATGATGCGAAGGAAACGAAGGAGCCACTGTAAGAGGGTGCTCCAGTGGCCGGTGGTGCCGGTGTTGGTTGAAATAATGTTAAATAGTAGTTTAACCTTGCAACAAGTATCAAAGAGTTGACGTTTGACAGAGTTAATCTAAGCAACGCCTGGAAGATTCAAGGATGAAACTCTAAGTTTCCAAGCAGGCCAATGTGAAGACTCCCTCTAGCTTCAAGCAATAGCTGAGACTGGACAGTCGTGGTGGTTGCACGTTCATGTACCAACACCAACAAGTGGAAATCTGGTAGATAATGATATCTTATTTTATCTTATCTTGAACTTGACTTTCTGTGAGGTCCCTACTATCTTTTACCATCCTTTACCCATAATATGATGTGAATATTGATCAAGACCATTTAAAACCAATGAAATCAATTGAAATCATATGAGTGGGGGGCTATTCGCATCCACAAATTCCATTTGGGTGTGAAAAACCAGGGGATTCTATGGCTTTTGACCACTTTTTGACCAACATCCCATAGCAAAACATCACCAGTGACCGGGTGATGCCGGGTCAGGAGACGCCGCGGCGTTGCTTGAAGCTCCAACCCCTGGCCACGAGCCCGACATTGGAGGCCAGCCCCCCGCGGGAGCCACGGCAGCATGCCGCAGCACCGCGGCGGGCCTCGTCTTCGACTTCCGGGGGCAAGCAGAAAGATGATATGGAAGAGAATATCGACATTATCGAGGAGATTGAGAAAAAGGAGAACGAGGAGGAGAGAGGAGAGAGGAGAAAGAGGAGAAAGAGGAGAAAGAGGAGAAAGAGGAGAAAGAGGAGAAAGAGGAGAAAGAGGAGAAAGAGGAGAAAGAGGAGACGGAGAAAGAGGAGAAAAAGGAGAAAGAGGAGAAAGAGGAGAAAGAGGAGAACAAGGAGAAAGAGGAGAAAGAGGAGAAAGAGGATCAAAACGAGAAAGAGGAGAAAAAGGAGAAGGATGAGAAGGAGGAGAAGGAGGAGAAGGAGGAGAAGGATGAGAAGGAGGAGAAGGAGGAGAAGGAGGAGAAGGAGGAGAAGGAGGAGCAGGAGGAGAAGGAGGAGAAGGAGGAGAAGGAGGAGAAGGAGGAGAAGGAGGAGAAGGAGGAGAAGGAGGAGAAGGAGGAGAAGGAGGAGGAGGAGAAAGGCCAAAATTGCCAAAATGAACAGAAGAGGAAGAATCGAGAGGAGAAGGATGAGAAGGATGATAAAGAAGTGGATAAAGGGAAGATGGAAGGAAGTTTTGAAGTCAAAGAATCACTTCGAAATACCGCCGCCAAAGAAGTGGCGCCTTCCGCATCGAGAGAGGTCAGAATTAGCGTGGAGACCCCACAAGAAAGGCACAGTGCAACGAAGATCGTCAACCGAAAGGCCTTCCAGGTGGGTCCAAGTTGAAGCAGCTCATGCTTTGAACGGGGAAAAGTTCGGCTACTGTATGATTCAAACAGGACGTCCACAGATACTTTCATTTCAACGTTTTAGAGTTTTCCATTGTTTGAGCAGTATACGATGTACATCCTGGTGGGCTGTGCCGGATTCGGATCGGATGAGTGGGCCGAAGTCACCAAACAGCTGTTTCAAACCTTTCTGTCGCACCAACTTCCTAATGAGCAAAGGTTTTCAATTGAAGCGCTCTACACCTTTTCTTACTCAGCATTGAAAGCGTACTAAGATGTGTCCATTCGCAGGCCCTGCCTTTCCGTCGAACCCTGCGCCAGGCATGTCGTAAAGACGTAGACATCAGCAGTGTCTACAACTGGGAGCATCGCAAAGAATTGGGCAGTGGCTCCTTCGGACAGGTCTATGCTGTGAAGCACCGTTGCTCAGCTAAGCGACGACAAGGGGAAGGGTGGTTTGTGAAACAGGAAAAAGGGCTGGGATTGGAAGGATGATGCTCTCTTTGCATAATACAGTGTATGTATGATTATGCATGTATGTATTTATATATATATACATATTACATGACATGACATGAAATGACATTATGTTGCATTATGTTATGTCATGTTACATTATTCTGACGAACGTGTATTCGACATCAACATCATTGATTGGCATTCCCAAAATGGTGTTCTCACTTTCTATTTGACCCAGACCTTGCAGAATACCTGAGGTTTCCACAGCAAGAAACTGGTTGCAATCAAGTGGCGGCCTCAGTTTGTGCGAAAGGATCAGAATATGGATTACCGATAGGCGAATTTGGAAAGTCCAGGGAAACTGATTATATAGATAGACATATGTGTATATATATATATATATGTATATATGTAACTGGGATGGGCCCAGAACACTGGCAGCAACCTGAATTGAGTTCCTTGTCCACAAGGTTGAGAAATGAAAGGGTCAGAATGGAAATTTCCTGTTGGATCACCTGAATGTCTAAACCAATATAAGAGTCCTCTCTTCCAAAAATCCCAAATGATATCACCTGAACACCAAAGCTCGCAGATGGCTTCACCTTTTCCCCGCGTTCCTGAAAGTTGGGCCCTTGAGCCAATCAGGCATCGACCGAACAGCGAAGTGGCTGTTATGACCCCAAGGCAATCGAATGGTCAAATGAACCAGCGGTTTCACACTGGTCTCTCTTAAAAATTCGATTGTTCACCCATGTCACACCGTATGTACGGTTTGCGTTTTGTCTCAACGTGAGATCTTCATCGTATATACGAAACTTTCCAAGCTGTAGAACCGTCCTCATGAAAGTTGCATCCATGGGTTTAGTCAAGCAATCGGCTATCATTATGGCAGTGGAAATCCAGCGGCACATGGTGTGTTCACGAGATTGTTCCTTCAGGAGCATCACTTCGATCGTTGTTCGCCACTCTTGACAGTTTGGTACTGCATTTTTCGTGATTAGATCATACAAAGATTTACAGTCTGTTATCATGATTCCCTTGGGTTCATGTTTCAGAGAAATCTCAGGCTTTGCCCAGGCGAACTGCGGATTCTTTATGAAGCCCCACATGGTTCGTATCCAGGTCAGCTTGTCAAGTGAACTAGACATTGCATAGGCTTCTGCACTAAGTGTAGATCTAACCACTCTACCAATTTGTTTTGAATGCCATACAATCGGTGAAAACTCCGTTGTTTCGTTCTTTGAAAGTTCTGAAGTACATGCCATAATAAATAGTCCTTGCTGGGCTGTCAGCTGCTTGGCGGATGCGAAGCTAGCGTCCCCGAAGCTCGCAAAACAGACATCGTGTATCTTGAGAGGCCTCACGATGACTGAAGTTTCAGCAAAACTTTGGGCTTCCCGTAACACTCTATTTCCTTCAAGTAAAGTCTCAACGGTAGCAGAAGTAATCCCCTTCTGTAGACAAGCGACCTTTGTTGCTATGTCAGGCCTCGAATGCACCGCCGCATACTGTAGGCTACCGCACAAACCTCTAAGAGCGTTGAGCTCTTGACTAGTTATGGGACTAGTAGTTTCTGTTCGACGCACTTTTGGAATGTCGATTGGAGAAATTTTGTGGATGTACCGTCCTTGATTTACTTTTATGGAAAAGTCAGGCAACTGTTCAATGTCTAAACCTGTAAACTTGAACTTACTGTACTCTCGGGTGCCAAAGGGAAGGCTCTTTTGTAATTTCTCAAGTGCCTTTTCGAAATTCTAATTTCCTCCACCCAAACCATCATCCACATGTGTCCCTAGAATACCATCCAGTTTTTGGGGGTCCTGGGGGTTTCTAAGTAAAAAGAGGCAATTGTCTAAGGGATGTGATGTAAACCCAACATCTTCAAGTCTTTTCCGGAACTCCCGATAGAACAAAAAAGGGGCATCTACTCGGCCGTACGCATTTCCTTGGAGTAAGCACACCTGATCATGTCCCATTCCTAGAAGAGATTTGAGTTCTGATGGGGCTTCCATCGCAAGTTCCCTTTCATCTGATTTACCCCTCAAGAAAGCTGTAGTGATGTCGAATGATTGGATTATCCACTTCATACTGCTTACTGTTTGTAATAAGAGCATTCGTGAATCCCTTGTTAAGGTTGGGCTATCCGAACTTAGATTATCAATGTCGGGGTCCTGGAAACCTTTGACCACCAACCGTGCCTTTGGTTTACGGCCACTGGGTTGGCTCAAGTCTTCCTTCCAAGTAAGTATCCATCGGGATGCTAGTATTCTGGACGGATGAATGCGGTCTCTGACCATGGCTTTAACTGTGTTCGTGTCCAACCAACACTTGAGCTCCTTTTGCTTGGCTTGCTGAAACAGTGCTTTTTCCTGAGCATTAAGTTCACTGTAGGTTACCTCATTTCTGGACTTCTTGGCGGCCACAGTCAAACATGGCAAATGCTCAGCGGGCTTCTTCAGGAACTTTTGCAGCTGCTGTCTGGGAACATCAAATTCAAAACTGGCACATATGTGTTCTTCATTCTCTGGATTACCCCATATTACCCCATCATCCTCCATGATATCTTTATTATCGGTGGTATTTTCTAAAAGGGTAACATTATAAACAGGTTCCATGTTCGGCTCATCCCCATCTGAAGTCTGGTCGGTTTCAAGACTGGCTGTTGAAGGGTCATGTGACAGTTGATCTGGCTCCCTGCTTTCGGCTGCATCTTCCGGCACGGAAGAAATCGGAGAATCCGGCACGGGCGTGGCTTGTGCCCTTGCCAATTGAGCTGCAGTGGACTGACGCATGGCATCGTCCGGCATTGCATGAGAAACTTGCCTTTTAGGCTCTTCTTCAGGCTGCAAGTGGTGTTCATCATCGGGGTTACTATCAGAATTGGGATTATTCCTGATAGGGTCTACAACTTCGGTTTCCGGGAGTTCTTCAGGTTCCAAGTGACTCAGGTCTGAGTATTGAAAAAGTCCACTTCTTTCTTTGAGTTGTGTTTGTAAACGTTGTGCCTTTGTTGAAGTTGTTCGTTTGTTGAAGTTTGGTTCATGATTGAATGTCTTTGAAATTCTCTCAAGGAAACTGGACGCAGGTTCTCTTTTGCGCATCTATGAAGTCGATTCATATGAGTTATCCAAACTATTGTTCTTGACTCTTGACTGACAACTTGCGCCGGTCCGTTCCATCGCCCTTTTTCCAACATGTTGGGTGACTTACGTCGGTCCCAGTACATACACAGTTGGCCGCAGGCCCATGGTTGGCTCATTCCTCGGGATTGACGTGCCAGAGCTCGGCGTAAGGCATCGCTGTTGTCAGCACGTGAGAATGCTGCTCGTGCAGCTGAGCGAAGTTCCAACCTCTTCCGGAAACGGTCCGATGCTATGTCACTGCCATGGCATGAGATATGGGCACTCAAATCCTCGTCTTCAACTATTGATGCTGGCAATTTGGAGGCACGTCCAAGAACTGCTTGTTCAGGGCTGTAGCCATTGACGATTGACATTGTGTTCTTTGCATGAAAACATTGCTGGAGTGCTTCATCAAACTGGGCTAGGTCATTAATCACTTGCTCATTACCAATGCGGTTTAACATTTCTTTGATGATACCACCATGTCTTTCGATTCGTCCACGTTGCCATGGAGCGACAGAGAGGATTGGACGAATGTTGTTCTCTTGCAACATCAGCTTCCACTCATCGGTCATGAATTCCCCGCCTTGATCGTGAGCGAGATTCTGTGGAGGACCAGCCCATTGAAACCAAGTTTGTTTCACAACCTTGATGGCTCTGTCTGAATCTCGGGTGGTTCGTGTTCCCAAGTGAAATCTGGTTGCTTCGTCCAAGATGTGCAAGACATATACTTTTATTCCACTTTTACCTTCCCAGTCAAACCCATCAAGATAAACCTTCTCGTTAAAGTCGGATGCATCTTTTAAGTTACCTGGTGTGGTCAAGGCCGGTGGTTTGCGCTCAGCACATGAGGCGCATAGATAATCACTTGCACCCTCGATCAAGGCTCGTTGTGCATTGGCTTCTGCAAGATGCCGGGATAGCTTTTCGGCAGTTGGGTGACCCAAATTGTTGTGCAATTTCTTGATTACACCTTGATCATGTTCATTAAGTGCTAAAAATTTGGGACCTGAAACTGCGGCTGCTAACGGCGTCCATGTTGGAACATCAACACCTAGTGGTGTCACCCCTGCTGGCGTGACAGGTGCTTCAGGCAAATTGAACGGCTCGATTCCAGACTCAGCATGTGGCAAGCGATTTTCGGTTTCACGAGATCTATTTTGAGCAAAGACACAAATCATGACATGACTGGGACATGCTTTTCTATGTTGCTGTGCTTTGGACAGTTGGATCCAGTCTTCCATGCCTAGGTCTTGAATCTCATGGTTAAATCGCTTCATGGCCACTGTCTTTCGGATTGGCAATTCATCGACCCATCCTGCATCACCAACTATGAACCGTTCAAGGCCCTTACCAGCCTTGATAGCGCCCACTCGGAGATTGGGCAACAACTTCTGAACTCTCTGGACAACTGGATTGAGTGGATTGGTCCAAACTTTGATACCAGACTTAGGCAGCTCTTGTCGCACTTGTTCAAGGACATCTTTCCATGATTCGTTGTTTGAGGTTTCAAGGCCTTCCATGGGACTGTCATGTTCTGTTTTCTGTCGTTTTGTTGGGGGCTCTATGTCTTCAGTATGCATTATAGGTATTTCCATGGGCCCCTCTTTAGTGGCAAGTATCCCTTTTACAATTGCTTTGGCAAAGGCTCTAGGATAGAAACCTGCAAACTTAGATACCTGCATGCGATGACCTTTCCATGTGCATGAGCCGGCTATTTGATGGTGATCATGCTGCTTTGAACATATTCGATCATCCAGTGCTTGAAACATCTCTCTTGAAGTTGTTTGGATTCGAGTGCGCTTTTGCATAGGATCATCGGTGTTGGGATGTCGGAGTCCAACCATGCATTGATCGAGCCTGGCAGCCATTGTCCATCGCAACATCTCGGCTAACTGCGGATGCTTCCAAATGCTGGCAGTCCATGGGTTCTCCATGTGTGCATGTCTACCGGAGGAAACCTGAATTTTGCAAATGAGATTACAAAGTTTGACATGGACTTTGGCATGATATTGTTCTTCTTGAATCTTCTGGAAGCATTCGAGACTGCGACTGGCATTGAAACGATTCCACGGGCTCCATGGTCCACATTCCGGTGACATCCATACATGCTTGGGACGGTACAACATGATCATGAACAACGAATTGGCTCTCCCTTCACTTGTTCTTAAATCCCCATCCTCAAGAGTGAATCTTTTGGCTCTCAAGCCACATGCTTGAGCTACTTCCGTAAGCTGACTGTTGGGATAGGCATACACTTCGAGAACATCTAGTTGAGGGCATTGATTTCTACCTTTACTCATCAATTTTTGTGCATCCATGATCCATCTGGCTTCTTCTTCATTCAACATGGGACCATGGTTTGTTTCATCCCGGGCATGATATGCATGACTTGCTGGCAGTGGCTCCCATTGCTCTATCCGCTCACATGCTTCAGTGCAGCTTCTTCTAGATGACGACGAGTCATGGCGTAGTTGGCATAGTCCTCCATGTCCTCTCCCAGGTTTGAGATTCGAGAAAGAATCCACTTCGTGTAACCGGGATCGGAATCGTATGTGCCCACGTACGTCTTTCCTGGATGCTTCTTTCCCCAGGTGATGGTTTTGTTTCCCCAAGCTTCCAATGCGGCCTGGGTCAATGCGACTTGGCCTTGGGAATTTTGCATCTCTGGAGACCCTTGTTGGCCTGCACTCCCTTGTCCTCGATGGGTTGTTGATCCCGTCAGTGGGATTCCTGCGATCTTCGTCTTTGGATTGGCTGCAGCTGCTGCTGCTGGCATTGGCAGTGTTGGCACCCTCTTCGGAGGTGATGTCGGTTGGAAAGAACTTGGGCCCACTCCATTGCCAGGGCAAGGGCCGCTGAACATCTGGTCGACCTCGGCCACTTCCATTTCTGCGAGCTCCCATTGTTCGAAGCCCATTATCGAAGTCGGGTTTGGGCTCATGGTTGGAGGTCCACTGGCTGCTGACTTGTCCTTGGTGAACTGGTTCGTGATGAGATTCCCCAGCTCTTGGATCTTGGCTTTCTGACTGCGCACCTCGCTCACCAGTTGATTGATGGGCAGCATCTCGGACTCCTGCATCTGGGTCTCTGGTTCCACCGCTTTGGTCATCGTGAAGAGCATGAAGAACAAAATTCTGAGGCTCTCCATCACCTCTTCGCACAAGTTGCGAAGAGCTTCTAGGACTTCCTGGCGGTTCGGCATGACTTGAGTCGATCACGGGAGTCAAACCTGGAGGCTGATCGATCGTATCACTTGAAATCGTAAAGGCTGCTTCATTCGAATGCTCACTGTTTCGGCACAGGTCAGCAATGTCAATCATGAACAATCCATTTGAGTTCTCTTTGAGAGGCAACGATCTTTGCAACGTCTTTAGAAAACATGTGTTCTGAGACAGATCTATGTTGGCTCCTAGGCTCTTCATGGTCTTGATGGATAGTAGAAATGGTGTTGCTTTTGGGACAACTTCAACCAACAACCAAATTCTGTGTTTTCCATAAACCAGTGGGATTTGCAGTTGCTTGAAACTGTATGACACCTGATTGTTGCCAAAACGAAATCCGACCTTGCTTGGCTGTTCTCGGACTTGCTGACGGATGCTCATGGGCAGCACTAAGTCGTTTCCGATGACACTGCGGCTTGCGCCTGTGTCAATTATGGCAAGACCTGTCATGGATCCAGCTTTGACAGCCGTTTGGCTGTGATGGCATTCGACGGGCTCACTGGTGGTTGAACCCTTGGTTTCCTTCGGCATGGCTCCATTCCTGTCCCAGGGAGGGACATGTAGGCGGATGCTGCGGCTGGCTGTCTTATCCCCATTATTTACCTTATTATACCCCTTCAGCTTATTGGTCCAAAACTGATAGGCTTTTCGGCAAGTGTCGGGACGGATGCAGGACGGATGTTTCTGAGGAGAAACTTGTTGAACTACCAGACAACTTTCATGCTCAACAACCCCGGCCTCGAAGTTCTCTTCAATGATGACCTGTGGCAAATCATGAGGTGAATCTTCATCTTCGGCATGAGCTACATTGGCTGTTTCTTTGGGCTGGTTTTGACGCTGGGGGCATTCTGCCTTCCAATGCCCCAGAGCACCACATATCTTACAGTGAGTCCTGCTGATCCTTGCCAGTAACTCATCTTTTCCACTCCCTTTGAATCCACCCTTTTTGCCACCTCGTCCAAAGCTTTTGCCTCGTGATTTGGAAGGCCAGAATCCACGAGAGCGCTTTCTGTCACTTATTCGAGCTCTAGCCTCCTGGTACGTTACCAACGCACTTTGGAGATCCGGAATGTCTTGCATCATGTTCTCAAAGTCACGTTCAAACTGTTGAACAACCATGGCGTCCTCATCCCCAGCTTGCACCAGAGACTCAATAGTCTCAGCAGTTAGGGCTTCGTCCTCATCCACGGAAACATGGTATGTACTTTGCGTCATGATTTCATCAGCCTGATTGACATGTTCATCACCTGTATCCACATAGTTGGCTGGGTATACCTTCTTCACTTCTCCAGAACCAAACAGTACTCTGGTTGACAGCGTTCTCATGGCTTGTTCCACTTTGGAAAGGGAAAGTTCACCCCCTGTCATGGAAAGCACACGTTTCTTGTCTTCGTTGGACAAGCACGATTGCCTCAGCAATATGAATGCCTGCATCTCAGAGACCGTCACCTTGGTTCCTAGATCATGGAAAGCAGCTTGCAGCCTCAAAGTGAAGCTGTGAGTAGCCTCATCCGATTTCTGTGTCACCTTGTACATGGCCTTCTCGAAGAGTTCAAATGTTTTGAGTTCGGAAGTTTCCTCCCAATCAGCCAAAGCACTCAGGAGATACTCTACACCTAGCTCAGCATCGACCAACTTCGAAGGATCAAGCTGGCGGACTTGGCTCCATGCTGTTCCCTTGCATTGCATGGCAAGGCGAGGCGCTAGATTTGGTTTCTCTTTGGAAGGAAACACACCGTGCAAAAACCTGGCTTTCTGTATGAACTCTCTGACATCGTCTGTACTCGGGTCAAAACTTGGCAATTGGCCCCATAGTCCGGAGCTTTTCTCATCACCAGCAATGGAACTTGTCATGCTTTGGGCTGTCCTACAGCTTTGCAGTTACAAGTCAGATCACCGGCTTTTCACGCTAACGGCAGCGCGAGCCAACTGGCTCCGCTACCAGTGTAACTGGGATGGGCCCAGAACACTGGCAGCAACCTGAATTGAGTTCCTTGTCCACAAGGTTGAGAAATGAAAGGGTCAGAATGGAAATTTCCTGTTGGATCACCTGAATGTCTAAACCAATATAAGAGTCCTCTCTTCCAAAAATCCCAAATGATATCACCTGAACACCAAAGCTCGCAGATGGCTTCACCTTTTCCCCGCGTTCCTGAAAGTTGGGCCCTTGAGCCAATCAGGCATCGACCGAACAGCGAAGTGGCTGTTATGACCCCAAGGCAATCGAATGGTCAAATGAACCAGCGGTTTCACATATATACATATATATATATACATACACATTATATAATTATATATATATATATATTTAGATCTGAGAAATTTCCCACAGCTGTACCTCCAGTTGTGGATTTAGTGATGTCCGGTGCCGGAGCTCCTGCAGCTTTCGAGCTCCACTCGCTCTCGCTCAACGAGGCAAGTGTCAAAGGACAGCTGTGAAGATCTGGGCCAATTACGCATGGAGATCACCGTTCTCAGCACTTTAGACCACCCACGGGTGCTGCACTTTTTCGAAGCTTATGAGGATTTCAAGGACTTGAGTTCTGTGTTCAGTTGTGGTTGTTGTTAGTCTTGTAATTCTTGTTCTTCTTCTTATTCTTGTTGCTCTTGTTCTTGTATTCTTCTTGCTGTTGCTGTTGCTGTTGCTGTTGCTGTTGCTGTGGTCATCGTTGTTCTTGTTGTCGTTGTGGTTGTGGTTGTGGTTGTGGCTGTGGCTGTTGTGGTCGTGGTTGTGGTGGTTGTGGTGGTTGTGGTTGTGGTTGTGGTTGTGGTTGTGGTTGTGGTTGTTGTGGTGGTGGTGGTCGTCGTCGTCGTCGTCGTGGTTCTTGTTTTTTTTCTTCTTCTTTCTCTTCTTTCTCTTCTCCTTCTTCGGTGTCTTTAACTCTTTGGCTCTCTCTGTCTTTCTTCGACTTCATGAAGCAACATGAAGGACGCAAGCATTAAGATAATCGCAGCAATATAAGCAACAATTCCTTGCTCCGCAACAACTTTCAGATATTTTCCGATGGGCAACCCACAACTGTCATGACTGTTCTCCAAGGCAGGCTGCGTTCAACGAGACATAAATCCTCTCTGCAGGACATCTACATTGTCACGGAGTTGTGTACTGGCGGAGATTTGCAGCAGTGCATGACCAAGATGCAAGGCACATGTTCGAACTATAGATATTACAAACCCCATTAACTATAGATTACACTATAGATAACTATATAAATGCCAATATGATTTGGGAATTTGCACATTGCAAGACTAATTTTTGATTATGATTGATGTCTGCTCGGGAAATCCAGGGGAATCCCATGAGGATAGCACACAACCAGATCTACCGGGTATTCTGAAGCTCCAGTTTGGGATGGCTTTTAGATCCTAGAAATGCATGGACATTGATATATGTGTGGATATATTATATTATATATAATATCAATATCACAATATATTTCGAATCATATTTCATCCCTTCATAATATTTTCAGACCTCCCAAGACACCATTGACACCATGGTGTCTGACGGGGATTTCCACATTGGGACCATCGAATCCGGACCGAAAAGCCATGGTCGTCACCAGGCAACGTGACCTTTGCGCGGCACACGGCGGACCAAATCCTTCGAGCGTTGGTCTACTGCCGCGTGGCGAACTCCTGTAAGAAGCCAACGTTTTTTTCATGGCCCATGGCGGGAGTGGATAAGCGGATGATATTAGTCCATGATAATGGGATCATAATGGGATAATAATGGGATAATAAAGGGATAATGGGACGATAGTAGGATGATAATGGGATAATAAGTGGATGGTAAGTGGGGATGATAAGTGGATGATAGTTGAATGATTGTTGGACAATCCTATTTCGATCCAACTATCATCAACTTATCATCACCTAACAGTCACACTGTGTTGTTACAGCCGTTATTTGTCCATATTTGCATATTTGATCATATTTGTCCATCTTTGAAACATCTGCACAATGTGAATCAATGATTGGATATGGGTTTGTCTGCTTTAATGGGATATCCCCAATATGGATGATCGTCCTTCAATGGCCATTTGTGCGGTAGAGTCAAGCAATGGACCTGCCGGGCCCATGGGTCACGACCCTCCTAGGCCATTCGCGTGGAGTGTGCCATCGGGACCTGAAACCCGAGAACGTGCTTTTAGTTCGGCTGCTTGGCGAGGCCGCAGCGGTCAAAGCTGAAAGATCGATCTATTAAATGATCCAACAAGATAATATGATGAGATATATGATGATATGTGATGATATATATGATGATATACCATCTTTCATATGACTGTTGGAAACCAAAACACAATAAAATTATATAAAGATCATAAAGCAAATACTGACGCGCGGAAATGGGCCTGATTTTGAGCGCTTACCAGGGTACCTTTTTTACAGCCTCCTGGCCCCAGTGCTTCCCCAAGGAAGCTGCATACTGCCAATGACACACCCATGCGCCTGGCTGATTTTGGTGTCTCTCACAAGACGAAGGCACAGTGCCGGTGGCCCCTGGTGGCACTGGTGGCACTGGTGGCATTGGTGGCATGATTTGGTACGAATGTTGAGACAGAAGCAACAGAAGTACAGCATAGTACAGCCTTGGCGGCACTGTCCATCCTTTTGGACCCATTTCGAGCTCAGTGATTTTTTTCCCTCGAAAATCGTTCGGTGATTTTTCGGTGATTTTCCGAAGGCTTTTCAAGGCATCTGCCACCAGATCAGCCACATCAAGTCCCGCTTCTCAGATGGTTCAATGAATGAGATCCCTCCGATGGATTCCTTTGCCTCTTGGCAGCGATGGTCGGAAACTCACACTGGAGAAACATGTTGAGATCCTGCAAAAATATGGGATTTCCAGCACAAAAAAAGTCCGCCTGGCCTGGTCCATTACCATCCAGCACCAGCAGCAGCACCACATCAGCAGTTGTCATCATGTCGTTGACATTTTGTTGACATTCTCAATAAGCAGGGGCTTGAAATGGCTTGAAACTCCTAAGACCAGCTCCAGCCTTGGTTTAGGTCGGCACTGCCGAATACATGGCTCCAGAAGTCATGGCCGTTCTGAACGCCGAGATGCTCCGCAGTCGGCGAAAGTTCTACGACTTTCGTTGCGATATCTGGTCTTTGGGTCACTTGCTCCAGAAAACAGCTTGACATCCTTGGTTCATATCTTCTATCATCCTTTCAATTTCAAATAGCCCAGTAGCATCCCAAAAAGCCCAAAAACACACAGAAACTCCCAGCAAGAGATCGCAGAGATCGGAGAGAGCTCGAGGTGTGATCATCTATTGCCTGCTGAAGGGTGGTCTACCCTATTCCCTGGAAGAGCTGGTGGCATATGTGGAAGACCAGGCGGAACTGCCAGGCTGGACAGGAGCCCCTTCAGACGATGCATCGCCTAGAAACCATGGTGGATGTAGGGGATTTCCGCATTGGGACCATAGAATGGGGGTGCTTCATATTAGGGGGATGGGATTATTCAGATCTAACAGAGAAGAATATGGAGAAGAACTACTGTATTTTCAGTTATATATAGTGTGTAGAGGTGCTGCGACTATACAGTTGCAGTACGCAGGGTGGGTGTGTTGGTTCACGTAGAACAAACATGATTTTGATGTATTTTGATATTTTTTTTCCGGGTCAGGATTTTCTCATAGTCACAGAATGAGATATACGTTCTGACATGGCCAGCAGGGATCTTGGTGTCCCTGGGAAACTGTTTTCAGGGTTCCTTCTGGCTTCTGTGTTTTCAAATCCATATGATATCGATGTTTTTGATTGTCAGTTGGTTAAATCTCATGGAATATGAAAGCTCCGTCCTCGTCCTGATCCTCAACTTCTCAACCCTCACGGAATATGCACGGCTCAAAATCTTCGCCTCCGTTTTAGTGCTCAGGAGATCGCGTCAAAGGGCTGAATCGAAGTGCTTTGGACTTCCTTCAGAGATGCCTTGCAGTGCCGTACAAAACCAGGCCCATACCGGTGGAAACGGGGGATTCCAAGGGAATTCTGAGACGGTCATGTTTGATTCCCCAAGGCCGAGTGCAAAGCAGTTGGCTGCGGATCCGTTCCTCAAGACCCAGGCGCTGCAGGGGCAAATCTCCGAACGCCACGATCATTTCGCGGTTCCATGAGCCCATAGCGAGTGGGGATCAGAGGAAAGCAGAATTTCAGGAGTTCCGAAATCCGAAAAAGACTTTTGTATCATGAGTTCTTGGATGGGCTGCAGGAACCTCGCAGTGCCTTCACTCATGTTGACAAAGATGGTTCTGGAACGGTTGATATGCAGGACAGCTGGGCACAGGGTTCTGCGATGACAGATGTTCAAATGAACAGCTTTTACTGTACTACAAAGAGTGTATTGAGTGGAATCGCCAGTATGAAAAGTGCATAGGTCGAATTGCTGGATCGCAATTTTGAGGAACTTCGGGACTATTTGCTGAGCCATGGGACCAACCAGAAAGAAGAGCAGGTTGAGGAGTTGTTCGCCCGCTTAGACCTAGACGAGGTGGGAGGGTCTTCCGTGCTCTGGTTCTTTTTTCGTTCAGCCATCAACTAAAAACTTGGGATGATCCCAAAGGACTACCATCAGGATCTGTCCTTCGCACTGAAACATTTCCGAAGCGCTTAAACAGCCGAGCCGTTGTTCGCCACGTTGAGAGGATGGGATCATCAGCAAGTCCGAGTTTCAGGAGGGCTTCAATGCCTTCATTACCGCTCAGACCATCTCCAGCCAGGCCGGCACCACCCACAAAGCATTGCCGGACCCCACGGGACTCCGCCCCACACCATCCATAAATTTTGGCCACAAAAAGTGCCCGTTTTTTGGGTTTTTTGGGGAGCCAAGGTGATCTCCGAAATCGTGCAAAATGTGGAGAAGTTTACCCAGTCCTCTCAGCTCAAGAAGGCAAACTTGGACGAGTTTCTGTCCTTTTTTGTGAAGTCTTTCCTGCCAACAGTTGGTTGATGTTGGTTGATGTTGATTATATCAAAAATCTAACCCCTAATGGCGGTATGGTATCTTGTTCCATGGGGGTTGGTTGATTTTACCCCCCTGGGTGGGTACTGCTAATTGGTTTGTCAACATGGCTTGCTACAGGCGGTGTTGACATCGGCAGCACGGCATTTGGGCGGTTCCTCAGCACATTCCAAGAGGATGATCCATTGGAGTTTGGCATGCCTACTACGGCCCTAATTATGTTTGGACCATGACATAGGGCCGTATGTATCCGTATGTTCGGATGGATTTCACCAGAGTTGCAGGTTATGAACTGCAAAAATTGCGAGAGATCTTTGAGTCAGTCGATGCCAATGGTGATGGTGCCATCTCCAAAAAGGATTGCGGCGAGAAATCTGCACATGAGAAACTGGGCCGGGGCTGCAATTCGACTCCGTCACTTAAGATGGCTTTCATCTTATCTTTATAAAGTAATAGAATGAGGTACACACATCAATAAATAGATAAATATAGATAAATCAATGAATGAATAAATAGAACATAGATAGATAAATATATCATATTATATCATATAATATCATATAATTATATATATATATATATTATATAATATCAGATATCTATTCATACAATGTATGAAAGGACACCTCATGTCTTGGGAGCTCCGGCTACACGGAGAGGTCTGGGATCTCGGATCAGGAGTTCAGACTGAGCTTCTCCTTGGTGGGCGAGCGTTCCTCCGAATGGTTGGACGAGGCCACATAGACCCACCAAGAACTTGCTGATCTTCCTGGATCGATGGTATCATCGATGTATATTAGATTATGATGTATTATATGATATTATATCAATATATATATATATATATTATATTCTATATTATATATATATATTCTATATATATATATATATAATATAATATTATATGCTGATTGGGATGGGAGTATAGGGATTGCTAGGGGATGCCATCACTATGAAGCCCTGGAGCTTCACAAAAAGAGCTTCGACTCACGGGTACAACTCAGTAACGCCACAATGTTCAGCTTGTGCTATTGGATTTCACCAAGGAGTTGGCATGTCATTTTCGGAAATCCCAACGGTCACTATTGTGGTATGACCATTTTTTAAGAAGGCTTTGATTCGCCTGACCTGTTTTGACATCGAAACGATGATCTCAGCAGGCCTTTGTAGCGCTTGACACCGATGCTTCTGGGGAGATCGACTACAGCGAGTTTTTGGCTCCTGGCCACAATTCCCCCAGCAGTGGATTGGATGACTATTCTGTGGTAAAACTCAGCCCAATCATGAAACCATTCTGGGTTTTACCATATTTTACCACTGATATTTTACCATTCAAAACATTTTTTTTTTTTAAAACCATATTTTACCGCTGATTTCACCAATGGAACATTGGGTTATTATTGGCTTATTGGCATTGCCAGTTTTACCATGGATGTTTCATGGGGCTTCCCAGGCTGCCATCATGGATTCACAGCTCATGGAGCGGCGCGACATCCTTTGGGCAGCCTTCCAGGTGCGTGATTGTAAATGTAATTATGATAATTACACACATATAGTTACACACACACATATATATAATATGTATGTGTATAAAAATATATATATAATATGTATATATATATAATATACATATACATACACACATATGGATATATTTGTATAATATGTGTGTGTATATATATATATACACATATGGATGTGTATATATATATATGTATGGATATGTTGTTAAATAACATAGATAGACTGAGAGTCCGTGGTGCGCTTCCTGTGTGGCGGATTAGAGTTGCCGAGTTTGTCGCCAGCGACTTTTCTTTAAAGTGCTGATAAGATCTGATGCCCAGGAAAGACCCTGGAGCAACATTGAAATGGAGCTGTTGTGACATGCCAAAACATCCAGTCCATAGTTCCCTGAGATTTGGCGTACGTCAATGTGAGTGTTGTGAGCGGATTTGGTACGTTTTTCAACACATCAAATCAGCGATAAACTCCGCTATGCGTTTGAATTTGGAACTCGCAAAATGCCCCACATAAATCGAGGTTGTCCATAGGACAACAGGGGTGTTTTGCTACTGACGCCAGCGTGAAGGATTTCGATCAGAACAATGTGGGCTCTATCTCGAAGGATGCGGTTCTACGGTCTCTGATTGGGGTCTGATTGGGGCTTCCATGGGGCTTCCATGGATGAAGTACCCGGCCTGGTAAACGTTAACAAAAAGCTATGGATAATCACTGGTTTTAATGGGAAAATCCACTATTTCTATGGCCATTTTCAATAGCTATGTTAGTCATTACCAGAGGGTACCTCCACATGGCCATCACCAGAGGCTTTCAGGAGCCATCCCGCCACCCCAACACACCCTGCAGTGCTAGGAGAATCTATTGCAAGTGCTCCAAGGAGATGCAGTACAGGGTGTTTTAGACTGCATGGACCAGGACAAGGCCCAAAAAAAATCTGAAAAACTGGTTGGTGGTTTGGAACATGAATTTGATTTTCCATAATATATGGGATAATCCTTCCCATTGACTAGTATTTTTCAAGATGGTTAAAACCACCAACCAGTTAAGATCTTTAAGATTATTTTTTTTGGCATGCTAAGTACGAAGCTCTTTGAACATCTTTGAACAGCCAATGAATCACCAGCTTCATCAGGCAAGCTTCATGGATGATATTCTGGCCAAAGTCGGCGAAGATGGAGAGCTGTCCTTCGATGCCTTCATTGAACTCTTGCAGCAGTCCTGATATGCTGATGGGCAACTTGCCGGAAGTGGAACATGTGGAAATCAGCAGCTTCACATCGCCGTGAAAAGATTCTCATTGTGGGGTTGAACACTTAAAGGGTCGATGAAATCCCTGTGCCTTCCAGTACCATTGCATCACGCCGGGATGAAGACATCGCACGTCGCACATTGCATCATGGTCCATGGATATGTGTAACAAAAGAATCTCTATGGTTCAGCCTTTCCATAGAGGTTTCACTTGGCACGGTGAACTTCATTTTGCAATTTGTACATCATGTCTATGTTATGTCTATATACAATCTCTATAGAATACTAAATGTCAAAGCGTCGCCAAGGTTCAACGTTTACCCTCTGGTAATCTAATATAGCCATGGAAAATGGCCATGTTTGATAGGTAAACCATCTATCCATGGTTATGTTATATTGCCAGAGGGTAGTTTTTCTTTCCAGGGAGCATCAAACATGCAATGAATCTAAGGTCGTAAGACGGGTCTAGTGATGCAACCAATGTGACTGTTGCACTATGATCCATGTAGCATTCATGTCACTGTGATGGGTCTGCAAAGCAACTCAATCCAACAGCGGCTCCCATCCAATTTGGATGCGATTGTCAAGCAATCGCATTTTTAACGCGTCTGGCGATGAAACAAGTCTTGAACTGAGGGATTTTTCAGGTTTGCTGCGGACTGCGTATGCTTTCAAGATTCGATCCAATTTTTTGTTCTTGCTGCAGCCCTTCGAGTAGAATCCATGATGCCACAATTAGTGACACCCCGTGTGCCTTAAGTCACATCGAAGCTACTTGATCCATGAAGCATCTGACCCAGATGGCCTTAAAAAATCTTAAAATAACTGCTTGGTGGTTTGGAACATTTTTTATTTTCCCCAATAGTTGGGATGATGATCCAATCTGACTAATATTTCTCAGGGGGGTTGAAACCACCAATTAGATAACCTACAAATCTTCGCTTCGTGTCATACCATACAGATCAGATACAGATTTCGCCGCAGCAGATACAGATAGCCGGGCCGCAGTTTTCGCCACAGCAATGCTTTCCGCACGTGACGAAAAAAAGCCATACCGAGACCAGCTGGCAAGGCGTGCAATGAAATTGGTCGGAAGATGGGAAGCGGACCAGTTGACCAGTTGCAGGGTGAGTTTTCCTCCCACGCCAGGTTGGGCGATGATCGGTTGCCACTGAGAGAGGCGCAACATGCTGCCCTGCCAGTCTCTCGCATCCCATGACCAGACCCTTCACATCCTGTATTATACAATAATTATACCACTATACCACAAGAGTGAATATTTTAGCATATTTGGATAATTTTGGAGCGGAGGATCATCTATCTGACACACTTAGTACCTGATCAGCAACCATACAGTTATTGTACCCAGGTGCCTGGAAACAAGTTTCCAGCGGTCCGGCCGCAATCGCAAGCATCCAGCAGACAGGCGCGGATCAAAAGTTTTTCGCATTTTCGACTGCAGATGAAATCACTATTTTGGGGGTGACCATCCAAGTAATCAACCAGTTTTTTCTTATGATTTATTAATCTGCATTTGACATTAAATCCAAACTTGGGATACTACATCTTGAAGCTGTGGCACAGGTTTCCATGATTCATCGATCCGTCAAAAAAGGCCCTCTTCGTACAATTGAACCAAGCTAGCCTCAGACAATGATGGCAATGACAATCCCATTAAACACCTTCCAGTTTTCGTCCAGTCAGGTTCCCAAAAGTGGAGATGACTGGGCTTCATGGCCCTTCCGAGATGAGCGACAAGCAGAAGCTTGACGTGGCGGATTTGGATTTGTGGCATGCCCAGTTCATTTTGATGTTTTCGCTGATGGTTAGAACATGTCATGACTAGTCGATATTTCACCAATACTAGTGATTTAACAATCAGAAACAGAATATAAAACAATTAAAATGAAGATTTCCTCCAACAACTATAGGGGTTTCCCCCACATGTTCCATGTGGATATGCTGGATGACTCCTCTCCGAATTGCGTCGACGGGACAGACTCTTCACCATGATTCACCCTAAAAAAAATCAGGGCCTCGGGTTTTTGGGCCTCGGAAGCGTGAATGACTGGAGTGAACTTCAAAATGAATCTGGAAGAACAAGAGATGTGAAGATGAGATCTTTGAATATATATATATATATTATATATTATATATATTATATATGAGAGGTGCCCATAGCGAGGCCGTGCTTAGTGGATGAGCCAATTCTACAAAAATGTCTTCATGATCAGCTTTTTTGGTTTCTCAAATTTGACTATTGGATCTATCAGTTTGTTATGTTTGTTGTTTCTTTATCATCATGCACGGTGGTGTTGATGAGTTTTTTTCCACAACTGATTCCTGGACCCAGTAGATGATTTGCAGTCCTTGATTGTACTACATGTTACCTGGATAAATTACTGGTTAGTGAATTGCTATGACTATGATTTAGCCAGACTTGAAAAAGCGCCACTCTGAAAAGCTATGAGGCTATGAAATAGATCCTATTTGGACATCGTAGGTTACCCTCCAGTAATCAAACATAGATAACATGGAATTTCCCCCATTTCGTTGGTTTTCCCAGCTATAAACTTCCATTTATAATCATTTGATATCATTTGTAGACGGATTTTCCATGATTTTCCCATGTTTTTCCTCGGCCCACCAAAAAGGACAGACCGTCTCCTTTGGGAAGTTGCGAGTCCGGAGGACCTCGCGCCATGTCGGAGGGACAGGCAGAGAATTCGCCCCAAAGTATCTTGGTGAATTCGCGCCATGTCGGAGGGCCATGGGAAACGGGTCAAAATGAAAGACCCAGGGGATATGAGGGGATCCGTCTGATGGTTTTAGTCTATGTTTGATGGTTAATAATGGTTAATAATGGTTAATAATGGTTAATAATGGTTAATAATGGTTAATAATGGTTAATAATGGTTAATAATGGTTAATAATGCTTAATCACCACTTTAAGTCTATGTTTGATGATTTTTCGTATTGACATGTACTTGTTTTAACCGTCTAAGTATTGGGGTACCCAATTTTGACTCATACCATGTTGGACAGAAAAAACTCCAGCACTGCTAAATACGTTTCTGGACATCTGTCTCTGGAAATTGTAAAAAACACGAGGTAAGCGATGGGACCTTTCCAAATAGCGATACCCCCTTGGAAGGTTGTGTCATACCTGTGCACTTATGTCATTTTCCTTTCAGTGATACCCCCCAAGTTTGCCATCCAACATTGTTGTGCAAACATGTGCTGTCCAAAGTTGTGGATGTTCTTTCCGTGAACCTGGAGTTTCCGAGATTGCTTGTATGATATTGCAGTATATACAGTATATTACAGTATATAATATATGTATACATACATGATGCGCGATGCTACGCGATGCCGTGCGATGCAATGAACTGTAACTCAACGCAATGAAATGGAACCGAATGCCACTCAATGTGCTGTGCTGTACTGTGATGTGATGTGCTTTAATGATTTTAATGTGATGCAATGTAGTATAATTTCATGATATTTTTCCATGTAATTTCTAATTGTAAGGAAGACAGCGTAAGCACGCTCAGAAAGGTGGAATGATGTACATCTGAGCTAGAACTGCTCCATTTTTTTGGCGACCAGTCTCCGCTCGGAGCCAGAAAAGAAGGTGAAACACAGGATGTTTTCGAAGGTTTTTGGAGCCCCGATTCTACTTACCCTCTGGTTATGACTAACATAGCCATGGTATAGATGGCCCATTTATAGAGGTTTACCTAGCTATAAAATGGTGATTTTCCATGGCAAACTGTTAGTCATAACCAGATGGTAAAGGATGTTGATGATTTTCATGGATTGATTGGCAACTGGGATTTTCTGAACGGCCGCTGCAAGGTGAGAGCGAATGTGATCGTTTGAGATCGCACTGTGAGGACGGGAGAGCGTCGAAGCATTGTTCGGTTTGGAGAGGACCAGCAGCTATGCTCCCACAAAAAGGTAGAACCATTGTTTCAGGACGTTTGCGGCGAATTTGACCTCGTAATTTCCAGGTTCCAGTTCTCTCTATTCTGGAGGTACTACATTACACATATCTCAGGACAGCCAGGGACGCAAAGCGTCCGAAAAACTGGAGCAGTGTCCATGGAATTAGGTGGAGATTCAATAATACATGCGGCAATCCTGTTAAGAGGTATTCTATCACATGTTTTTCATTGTTTTTCCCTATCTCAATACCAGTTCTAGTCTTTGAGAAAGCCTTTGTTTCTCGACTTCAGCCGTGATGCAGACTCTCTGACCAGTTCCAGGTGCCATATTTCACTGAGTTCACTGATCCAACAGGAGTTGCTACGGCTAAACGCCACATTGAGACAACAGCAGTTGGATGTGACTGTCGGGACGCTCCTTGGAAAAGACCAGCGGAGCCAATGATACTGGAGGCTACATATGTTACATATGGATACATAATGATATATATATATGCATACATAAGGATGCCTCATTTGGACCCTGGAACTGCCTGGAACCAACCAAGATTTGCAGTGGCGCAACCACTTTTGAGATTTCGCCAATCTTCACCGCAACCAGAGTTATAGCTGATGTCATGTCCCAGGTATTCCGTGAAGTTTGACAATCTTCTCCGTGAATTTTCGCAGCTGCGTGGTTTCCAGCAGACCTTGAGAACGGTGCTGGAGATGGTCTCCCAAAACCGAAAGGACTTCAAAGAAGTGCTTCAAGCAGCAGCTCGGCCTTTTTTCGTCGGCGACTGACGAAACACGGACGAAAAGCCCTGACTTCAGTCGGCTCACCAGATGCCACCACCCAAATGCCCTGAGAGTTTCAGGGCCATAGCTTTGGCTCAAGCTGGATTTTTTTTTGGGGGGGCGCAGCAACATGGGAGCTGCGCAAGAAAGGCCCGTGTGGCAAGCTGTTAAGACTTATTGGTCACTTCTATTGGGAAATGCTTTGGAATGGTATGAATTCTGTCTCTACAGCTTCCTGGAACCCTACTTTGAGGCAGGGGTGTCATGGGTTGAACCTGGCAGTGCACAAGTCCGAAGTCAGGTTTTGGAACTGGTATCATACGCAAGGTGTGTATGTACATATAGAACAAAGTTCAAAAAATACACAGTCCGAGTTTGTAGGGTTGAAACAATCCGGGTTCGAACATCTTCAAAGATTTTTCAACCAACCAATTGATTGATATAATTGCCTTATTTGGACTTGGGTACAACTGAAACTTGGCAACCCCAAATCTAATATGCGTTACATTACTGTTACTTCTGAAAATAACTAGCATCTGTGGCAACCCTTAAGTCTTGCTGTGCCCGATCCCCAATGGCTCAGGCGAATTTCTTCCAAGGTTCAGCAGTCGTTACATGGCTTGGCTTTGCCATGACCTTCATTGCACGGCCCTTTGGAGGTGTTGTGCTGGGCATGGTCGGCGACCTCTTTGGACGGAAGGCGCGACGAAAATATGGCCATTTTTTGGGGTGGTTTGTTTGACCGCCAAGAATCACGGGGAAAAAAAGAGGGGGCATTCAAGTTTGACTTCAGTATGTGTATATATATATATATGTATAGATATAGTGATATATAGTGATATATATACATACTATATACTATGTGTGTATATGTATTTGTATATTATTTACGATATGTGCACCCACACACACACACACTGTATGCACATCATTTATCTTATATCTATACCAGGACCTTCAAAGGAGCCCGACATTTGCGTAAAATTCAGATGTGTAACTGAATTTCCTGAATTTGCGCTGTTTCGAAAACGTACTCTTTCTAGACACAGAAATCCACAAATTGCACTTCTCTGGATGGCTGGGCGAATTCCACTCACAAAACTCACGGAAATCGGAATGCGAAAAGTGCGCAATAAGAAGCGTACAACGTATGCACAATTCCACATGTTCCTTGTGAGGGTCATGTGCGCACGGGTTCGCACATGTTCGGTGCAAACGCCTTGAAATTAATGGGGCGCGCTGAAATTTGTTGAACTGTACCTGAAATTTAACGTACCCAAAACATGTTCTACAAATGGATGTAATCTATGTAGATGCTGATATTTGCAGTGGACGACCCTCTCTGGAAAACGGGGGAAAGCAGGCAATTTGTTGATCTCAAAGTTGGATCTCCATTGATTTGATGCGGCTTGATGTGATTTGAGAGCACCATCATGGCATAGCACCATGGCATATCATAATGGCATAGCGTTTGTTGATATCAGGTCTCTACCTTTCTTTCGATCTTTGGAATGCTTGGTGGTACAGTACTTCAAGGCTTACTTCCCACGTTCCAGCATGGGCCGGTTGCTGGCACCATTGGCGTGTCTTTCCTGGTCTTCTTGCGCTTGCTTCAAGGGATTTCTGCAGGTGGAGAAATTGCATCAGTAACCACCTACATCACGGAGGTGTGCCATCCTCGTGTCTTAGCCAGGACACTGGTTTTGATGCCTATCACTTCAAATGTGGGCTATTTCCTGGCTCAGCTCGTGAGCTTTGGTGCTGAAGAGTTCTTTGGAGAAGATTCCATGCACTCCTGGGGTTGGCGCGTTCCCTTCCTCTTAGCCGTTTTCCCAGGTGCGTTGGCCGCGCTGGGGCGTCGTAGCATTCCCGAGTCTGAGCTGTTCCTGGAAGCCAAGGTGCAGTCGAGTAGCTCAGCTGTTTCAAAGACACGGCAACTGTTGGCTTCCTACTGGCCTCAAATCATTGTTGGATTTGGAGCCGTAGCTGCTGTGTCCGTGGTGCTCTATGGTGGCATGACTTGGGGATTGGTGTCAATGAAGAAGAAGGGCCTGTCAAGTAGTTTCCGCATCCTGGCAGGTTGTGGTGCCAATTCCCTGGTGATTCTCATGGCGCCCTTGGTGGGTTGGGTCACAGACATGCGAGGAGCCGCGTGGGTTCAGACCTTTGCTGGCCTTTGCATGGCAGTAGTGGGGATGCCACTAATGATGATGATTGAGTGGTCAGTGGTGTATAGCCCCTGGTCAGCTGTTGCGCTCTATTCACTGGGCTACAGCCTGTTTGGTGCATTTCTCATGATGCACGTCCTACAGGTGGTGGAATTATTTCCAGTGGAGGTGCGCAATGCGGGGGTAGGTCTCAGCTACAACATTGGCGTTTGTATCTTCGGCGGCTTTGCGCCGATGGTCTTCGAGGCTGTTTCTTTCACTTCCTGGTTGCCTGGTTTGTTGCTTGCACTGAGCGGCCTGGTCACCGCGCTGACAACGTTGGTGAGCCTTAGATTTCAAAGCATGGGCAAGATCCAGCTCACACACTTGAGGCATGAACCTTATTTTAGGTGTTGTGGCCGAGAAAGCTTTCCATTCCCACTCGCGAAAAAATCCGGGTCAACGGAACCCGGCCAAGATGCTTGTCCTCACAAGAAGGAGGGTATCCAATCTGTGGTAGAAGTCGAAATGAATGACTTGGCAGTTGTAACTTAATTCGCTCTGTAGGGTTCACTGAGGGAGTCGCTCCTTGAGAACAGACTCACGGGTGAATGTAGACTATTGTAGACTCATGTTTTGTTTCAAACATCTCCCTTAGCCGATTACATGATTAAATGATATTAAATGGCTGTAAATGCCGTTTTCATCCGTTTTCTGTATAGAATTTCACCAGACATTCGGACGAAACGTGTGTGCCCCTTCGCCCAAAATGGTGGCGTCTGCTGGTCGTGCTTCGGAATCCAGGGACTTGACCTGTTTTTTTTAAACATCCAGTGATCTTCGAGTATTGGATCTGGATCAATTGGAATTTCTGATTTTTCCATTAAAAAATCCAATAAAAAATCCATTTTCATCCAATAAAAAATCCAATAAAACATCCAATAAAAAATATAAAAACTCCAATTTCACCCAAAGTCTTGCAGACATTCCCAAAAAAACTCAGCTTTTCGATCCACGGCGCCGTGTCGCCGTGTCGTCCTTTGTGACGTCCTTAAGGTGTCGCCGGTGTCGGAGATGTCGCAGCTCATGGCATCGGCGCTGTCAGAGGTGAAGCTGCAGCTCCAAGACGACCTGCGACAGCTGGTGCAGGAGGAAATGGCCTCTTTGAGGCGCCACAAAATGCCATGGATGCCATGGATGCCATGGCTTGAAATGTGTTGAAGATATGTGGAATATGAGCTGATTTTTTTTGTTTTCATGATTGAAGATGGTTAACTGAAGTGATGGTTTCATCGTTCTATTCGTTCTTCTATCCGTTTAGTTCAGATGCAGCTAATAGATATTAATAGATGAGTATTAGATCAGCATAGAATGACTCTGATCGGTGTCCCAAGTGGTGGTACCCCGGTCGCCAGGGAACAGCTCACCCGGATCCATGAAAACTCCACCCGGATGGTGGGGCTCACCCTGGCCAACAGGAGCTGATGGGATTTTGGGATGGCCTTGGGGGGATGCGATTTTCTATATATATAGATTGAAACATATCAAAGGATAGAACGGTAGATCCCCACGATTTTTTCGTAATGAATTACCGTTCCATCTTTTTGGGGGGTTCTTAAAATATGGATTTGAGAATTTTGAGGGGAGAACCCCCAAATTTTGATGGTGAATGATGATGTTCTCTACTAAAATTGCCATTTGGATCATTTCTTACGCCCCCTTTGACGTAGCCAATGGATCCCATGCATCCAATGGGGATCCGGCCAGGAAAGACTTCGAGGAGCATCGCTTTGCGCTAAGTAGCGGCAAGGTGGATGAGACCTTAGAACTCTCGCGCGAAAACAGAGAGTTGCTCCTCAGCATCTTGTCATATCTTGTCGCAGAAAGATCAGAAAGGCACTTTGCGCAGCATATGTACTGGATTTGTGCAAAGCCTTTGAACTTTGGATGTCCCATCAAAAGCCTCAAAGTGCAAAAAAGAACACATTTTCCCTACAAGATCTTACCACAGACTGTATAGGACATGTCCATGGACCATTCAGATTTGTTTGTCAATTTTCGTGGGGTAATTACTCAATTTTCTTGGGGTAATTACTTCAAATCTGTTTTTTTTTGGCAGTTGTTTGCCGCCTCAGCTTCATCAGCAGCGAGGTAATTCTTCCAAGTTGGACGCCACATGGGAACTTGTACAAAGTAACAAGATCTTTGGCCGCAGAACTTCATCCCCAGAGTGGAAGTTTCAACTGCAAATGATCCAATGGGGGTTTCCTAAAATATGGTAGGCTTTCCTACCCAAATGGCCCAAATGGAGAGTTTCAATGGAACATCCCAATCTAAAATGGATGACTTGGCGACGGGCGACGGGCGTTTTTGTCGGGCGGCAGGAAGTCGATTGACAAGAATGCGGAGACGATCCTGTCGAATAAGCGTGGCCCATCTGAATGTGGCACAGTCATGGACAGTCATGGAGAGTCCAAGCCTAGTCCTCTGGCCCCTCTGGCCTCATCGACTGATGGTGAAAAAAGATTACCTGAGGCAGCATTGAAGAAAACAGAGGCTTTATTCAATCAAACAAAGAGTTGATCAAAGAAGAGCAGGCCCAACCACACCTTAGACCTTGCCGCGAGAAAGCCAAGTCTTGGTGAAAAATGTGGGATTACCAACGCATCGGGGCATAGTCAGCTCATACTGTACCTTGTTTCTGGATGCATTGGAATTTACATAATCCTCGGACATTGAGTGAATTTAGTAAAGAATGGTTGCCATGTCGTTGAGTATAGTGACTTTATCATATATGATCATATAATATGTATAGATAATATAATATGTATATGATATTATATGATCAAGGATAGCACTATAATATAGAACATCATATAATAGCACAAATCAGATCTTATTTCTTCTTCTTCCTCCAGTGGTTTCGTGCCCTATGGATCCGGATAGGAGAAGGCCCAAGCAGAAGCCTTGACAGCGCTGGAAAAGGTTCAGGCCCTTCAAAATGAGCTCCGGACGCAGGAGGGCTATGTGGATGGCGATGGTGGTGATGCTGGTGGTGGTGATGATTATTATTACTATGATGATGATGATGATGATGGTGATGGTGATGATGATGATGATGATGATGATGATGATGATTTTGATGATGATGATGATGATGGTGGAATGCCGCGCCTGCTAGGATGGGTAGGGCATGAATGACAGAGGATAGTATATACCAAATTTGCCCACGAGATTGCAATGTTCTGTGACGCTTTGTACAGGAGCACACACTGGCGGAAAAGGCCAGAATCGAGCGAGAGATTTTTGAAAGCCAAAGGTGGCTTGCCTGAAATCTTCCTTTTGGATCCTTTTGGTGTCAGGGTCTTCTCTCTTGCTGGGCACTTGCTCTGTAGCACCTCAGGAATATGTGCTGCTTTAGATCAGTATTCTCGCTTTCACATGTCTTGGAGTTTCAGCAAGAGTATATTTTATTGTACGGATCCTAATGCTGCTTGGGTGTCTCAAAATTGCTTGAAGGTCTTGGATTCAATAGACAGTGAGTTCAGTAAGATGAATCATGGCCCCTGACGATCCAGACCCCCGATGAAAGACCCAAAGGCATCAGGATGCCATGGAGGAAGAGATGAATCGTCTTCAAGACGAGTTGCAGGAAGGTCGGAAGGAGGAGCCGGGTTTGAAACGTTGATACATCTGGAATCATCTGGATACTTAGAAAAAAAACAGACCATTTACCCTCTGGTAAACGTTTACATAACTATGGAAAATTACCACTTTTAATGGGTAAATCAACTATTTCTATGGCCATTTTCAATAGCTTCCTCTTGTTTACCAGAGGGTACATGATCTTGATACATTCTTGATACATCTTGACACACCTTTGATAGGAGCTTGGTGTTTTTAACTGCAGCTTGCAGCTGGTTTCCTTTGTCAGACGATACACAGGAGATGGACGACTTGAGTACCAAGATTGAGGCGCCGCGGCCGTGGATAGTTCTTGGTCTCCAACAGCGGTTTCTAGACATGTTGTGAAACAGCAAAAAAAGGTTGTACCCTCTGGTTATGACATTGCCAGTTTGCCATGGAAAGATCCACCATGCTATTAATAGGTAAACCGGTAAACCATCTATTTCTATGGGCCATCTATACCATGGCTATGTTAAATAACCAGATGGTACCATGTTGTACCTTTGTTTGAAGGAATGGAGATAAGAAATGTATGCCCTTGATATTCGAGCGCATCACCTTCGGCATGGAAAGATATACTAAGGTATCCCAATAAATCATTCTAAATTCAATTAAATGCATACAATTAATCATAAATCCATATGGTAAACAAACAGTTTGCTATTGAAAATGGCCCAGTCGAAATAGTTGAATCTTACCCATTAATCTCATGGTGTTTTTCCATAGTTTTTTGTAAACGTTTACCAGGCCGGGTATATCCCTTTTTCTAACCATTATTAACATTTATTAACCATTATTAACCATAATTGGTTGGTGGTTTCAACCCCTCAACACGTGACCACCACGTGAGTCCTTAAGCAGATCGAGGGTTTCTCTGCCTGAAGGCGATGCTCCAAGCAGTCGACACACTTCTCAGCAGCAACCTGGCGGTGTGTCAAAACCTATTAAGGACCCCTGTAGTTCACATCAAAATAGCTGGGATTTAATAGCCATAGCTATTACTAGGGGTACTATTGGGGTCATTCACATCCAGGGGAACTATTGGTATTTGGGTACTATGGCAGTGTGTCCAAAATAGCTGGATGTGAATAACTTCCCCTAAATAGCTGGTATTTTCATAGGTATTGATCCATAGCCGTTTAACGTTTCATGGTGATGCCTGGAGGACGGTATGACGAGCTAAACGGTTTTAAACGTGGTATTGAGACAGAATCCCCTGGGATTTGATGTGGTGAAGCCAATCATAAACTGTCTCCACCCCAATATCACCTATGGGTGCTATAGTCGCATATAATCGCTATAATCCATCCCCAGTCATGGTGGGTTTGTGGCAGCCAGGGTTTCCCACAACATTTACTGGCGTTTCATCCCAGGAATTGATAAACCACAGGAAGATCTTGCACATCAACTGCGAGCCGTTACAGAGATCACACGCAGAGGCATGATACTCATGATGTACTCAGTGGTACTTAGTGGTGGCTCAAGCCATACCTAATCACAAGGTTCTGGTGTCAAACACAGACCATGCATTTGTTGCCTGCCTTGCATCTCCAAAAGATGTCTTATGAGCCAATGGCTAGCTTGGATGACAGCTGACGTGGCAGGAAACTTGGAGATCAATCTCAACAATGGAGCCTCGAACGCAGAAAGGGCGTGTTCTCAGTCCATTGCTTCTGTGCACGTTCCATGACCATCATCATGCCCAGTGGATCCTCAGGTGATGTGAAGCTGAAGCGAAGCATCGTCTTCAAGAAACGCAATCCTGGAGATCAGCCCGATGCACAGTTTGACAACGACAAAGATGCCCAGGAGCAAAGGGTCATCGGTCGATTCCGTGTCAAAAACATGGGAAGTACACGGGAAACATATATATATAATATATAATATATAATATATAATATATATATATATATTTATCTATGTCTAGAAAAATTGTGGTCCCTCAGTACTTGTATCTATCAGTCAATTTATTAAATTGTTTCCGATGAACTTCCTTAAATGATCTTTTTGGGGAAGCTTGAAACCACCATTCAGAAGAGTCAGTCAGGTTGTCAAGGCCGGAAAGCTGATGGGAAATGATGGGACAGACATGGTGGTGTAGAGGCAGGTGACACGGTGTCAGTCTCAACAAGGATGGACTGCTACCCAGCTGCCCAATGAACAAGAGCTTAGGACTAGTCCGAAATCACAGAAATTGTGTACTGATCCAAACAGCACAATGCTAACTGCAAGTGACTGCAAGCTGCACTTGGGGCGGGCCTTTTTGCCAGAAACGGTTGCCGGGGATGGCTGGTATGGCTGCCATAGTCCTAACATTTTGGAGTTGGCCAGGATGGCTTGATGGAAAACATGACCTAATTTATTGTGACCTTGTAGAGGATTGCAAAAGCTGGAGATATTTTGAGATATATTTTCCCATGGGATTTAGAGGACTTAACCACAACAAATGGGGTATCATCATTTTCCATTGAAGTTCGGTGACAGGAGATCTTGAAGGATATCGCAGATCTCTGGCACATGTTCTCAGTCCCTGTGGTGGTGGAGGGCCACACCAAGGATATTGGTGGCGGCAGTGACAAGTTCTGGAAAGAGGTGGCCAACAACCGAGCCCCTTGGCTGATGTGGCGATCCCGAGGGGTGGGAAAAAGACATTGGCAATTGAAAACGCCAGCAGTTTGAGATGATTTTCATGGATTTCCCTTTGATTTTCCTATGATTTTCCTCTGGAAATTTCCATGTCGACGCGAAGAGTGTCACGTTTGTTGCTCTGCACCCTTCTCTGAGGCGTTGCTCTGCGCTTCTGTCTTGGAGGTCCGATGGGATCAGCGACATGTTAAACCCCATAGCTGGTCAGTAAAGGGTCAGTAAATGCGCAATGGAAATGGTCTATACATGTCCATCCATGTCTGTCCATGTCTATCCATTTTCTGAGATGGCAAAAAAATGTAAATGGAGTGATTTGCCAGTTATCCATGCCAGTTATCCAGCGAAACAAGAGGGATTTTGGAGGAAGTGGAACAAGAATGCTTCGAATTTCTTGGCGACTCCCATCGTGAATCAAATGTTTTCGACGTCTCAGGCGATGGGTGTGGATCGTGGACAAGTGGTAGCCATTGGAAAGCCGGGCAAGTCAGGACAGGTCTTGAGGAGTTTCTGCTTTAGTCATCTTTAGTCACGTTAGTCGCTAGGTCCACAATGACCTGAAAATCCTGAAACGTTGTGAACTTGAGATGGCAAGTCATCACAACATATCATACGTATTCATATGTAACATATCACAACTCTGGGGTTTCAAACTTTGTGAGGGAAACCATCAGTTGGTCAGTTGGTCTCCTCTTGTCGCGCCATGGTGGGCAGGCATCAACAAAGCTGCCTTGGTAGTTCACTTCGACATTTTCCCTGATCCGATGTGAAGCCACCTGCGAAATCGCTGTTTCGGCTGGCGTTTCAACCCGGCGGATTTTCAACACCTCAGCGAAGCTGAGAAGATGGTACCCTTGTTCACCCAGCAAAGCTGATAGCTTGGGCCACACATCGCAGCAAAAGGTGTGACAGTTTCAAAGCCACAGAATTGGCGTTGACCAAGTTGAGTATATTCGAGTACCATCTGCAGACTGGTACAGATCGGGGGCATCAACGGCATGATTTATTGGTGCGGAGCTGAGGTCTGATTGAATGCCTGAGGCTGGGCATGGTTGGAACTGCGGAGATATCCGGAGATCAGTGAGATATATCGCAAGACTAATTACTATAATGTCAACCCCGGATAACTTAAATGGTATCCCCCCAATTAAACAAAATGGTGAGTAGCTGCTTTGGGCTTGAAACAGTACAGACACAGCAAGAAATATGTCACGAAATAGAGACGAAATATCTGTATTTGGCTTCACAAGAATCAGTTTTTTTTGTTTTTTTCAGGGCTGGCTTTGGAACTTTGGGTGAACACAACAGTGTGACATTGACAACCAATGACAATCATGTATCATGTATATTGTGTCCCTACAATGGCATGCTTAATTGGAATCCTTGGATGATGATTTTTGTCGGATCCCATTGGTCGCCGGAGGTGGAGATTTCGCCTCGCGTCAGCTTAAGCCGAGGCCGGGAAAGGAACGTGGTCCACTCCGTTGTGGGACCAGTGGTAGCCCGCTTGATCGTGTGGTGGCATTGAAAGTAAAGATAAGTAAACCATCATCCAAATGTTTTTATATTAGGGATAGATAAGAATATGATAGAATATGATACGATTGGACAGTCGTAGGGGTTCATTTTTCGTGTCGTTTTGGAGCCGAGCAAGCTGTGATTCCCTTGTTTGGTGGCTGCCGACGCAGTTTATAGCTGTTTTTTGCTGGACGGACTTCAACGGAGCTTGTAGATACATTGCTTAGCAGTTCCTATCTTTGAGGCCATGGCTGTGCCACCAGGAGGAGCGCTCTTTGAACTAATGAGTGGTGATGAGTGCATTCAGACCTTGCCAACGTTGACAGATGTCGACAAGCCTCCGAGCCTCTCCATGCTCGATGATTCCAAATGGCGCAGTTGGCACGCAGAGTTGTCCGAGGTTGTTGCACAGTATTGGAATATGGCGATTCCCATCGCTGTCCCCATCTTCGGCTTCTTGGTAGTTGTTGCCGTGGCTGTTCTGCAATTTGCAGAAGTAGTGACGCCTCCGATTTGGTTGTTGCTTGCGCTCATTGTCCCGTTCGTTCTGATTTCCTTTCTCCTCCACTGCATCATCGTTGGCAAAAACGAAGAACTCGACAAGCAGATCCGCGAGTTGTGCGCAAAGCTTTCATCTTCAACTGAAGGAGCTGTGAAGGTGCGCGTAGGCAACAAACTTCAACACTTGAGCAGTGGTGAAAATCCCTGTTGGTTGATGATTGTAGGAGCTTCTGCTATTGTTCTACTATCTTATACTAGGGCGGGGATTATCATTATCCAAACAGTCTGAGTTATTTACTACTAACCATTACGAACCATGAATTGCTTATTAACTATTATCATTATGATTATGTTGATCATTATCGTGTTTATTGTCATCATGATTACTATCACCAACCAATAGCTACATAAACAGGTGGAGTATCGCACCAGATGGACCGGTCTCTGCAAGCCCAAGCGCGCGCGCACGGAGCGTGACATCGCCTTCGTCCCTTTGACGGCCGTCAGCGTCCCGGGTGCCGTAAGCGCTGTGAGCGTCCCGAACACCGTGATGCTGACGGTGACGGTACCGCAGCTGGAGCCTGGGGTCAATCAGATCCAAATTCAGACGCCCAGTGGCAACTTGGAGAAAAAACCAAAGAACCAGCAGGATCACCAGGGGGTTCCATAGTCAGTACTTTCCTGCTATAGCTGCTATGGATCCAAATGGTTTATTGGAAATTTGGTTGGATCCGAAAAGAACATATTGGACGAACATGGATGATTTGGGGGTACCTTCCATGACTATGGAACCCCCCATATGGGAACATGAGATCGGAGGATGTGGGTATTTTGGTGGATAGAAGATATTGGTCGTGGTACAGTACGATTATAACGTGATGTGATATGATATGATGTGATGTGACGTGACATGATTGATCTTATATAATGTGATTTGAATCGAAAGGATACATTGTTGGTGTTGAACTATATCTTCAATCTTGAGGGTACCCAATGATCCATGCAAATTTTCAAACACATTCACAAAATATGAATGCAGCATATGCGGGTCGCATGACCTTGCTGAATTGGAGAGCTGGGAATTTGGGGGGCATCATGGCATCGGCCATCCATGGCCATCCCAGGTACCCAGATCGTCGGCATCCCTCCGGGACTCAGCCCGGGTCAGACTTTTACCGTCCAGCAGCATGCTATCCCGGCTATCCCGGCTATGCCAGTTGTCCAAGCGCAAGTTGTTGAAGCCAAAGTCGTCCAAGCTGACGCGCAAGTTTCCAACCAAGTCTAGCCACCGGTGCCGTGAAAAAACGGGAAGGGTGGCTTTTTCAACTCAGCTTGCGAAGGCAGCTGTAGTCACTTTGGTTTCGCATGGTATCCTTAATCAGCACTGCGAAGCAGTGAGCACATTCAAATCCTCAAGTAGAGTCCCACTTTGGTGGGACTGCGATACCTGATGATACCTGATTGTACTTCGGGATATCTCTGGGATATCTCTGGGAAAAAAACCAGGATTCTTTGAGGATTGACTGATGATCTCTGACGATTTTCCGCACCCTGATTCTGCTGTGAGACGGCCACCTTGTCCAGGGCACGATGCTCCGATGCTCCGATGCTCCGATGCTCCGATGCTCCGATGCTCCGGCCAGCCTCGCCCTGGTTTGTGCTGTGCGCAATGCGGTGATATGCGGTGTTGATTTGCATTCTATTGTGTTCAAAGTGCAAGACATCTTCATACATCTTCATACGGGGCGGAAACTTCATTGTGGCACATGGTGATCAATTCTAATCAACATGTGCATGTTGCACGGAGTTGCACTTATGTGAAACCGGTGAATTTTGAGGGGTTCAAACGGTTCAAATCCGTGTTGCTTCTCATCCGTTCCCTGCAAGCATGGCGGAGGGCGAGGCTGGATGGAAAGATCAGCATCTCAGCCGCTCTCACCCGCTTCGTTGAATCCTCCGATCGCAGGCTCCAAAGAAACGTACTTTCAAGAAGTACTCCTACCGCCGCAGACTCAGGAACTAAGTCATGGGGTAATATGGGGGGTTCCTAAGTCATGGGGGTACTCCTTATAAATCATCCAATTTTCTTTGGGATTTTCCTTATATCTCTAAATCCTCCAGCTATTACTGATCAACTGAGGTGGTGTCGACCTTGACAAGCTCCTGGACATGAGCAACCAGGACAGGCTGCATCTGATGCCATAAAAAAGACACAAGATCATCTGCATCGAAAGTACTAATGATTACTAGTGATTACCTAATGATTACCTAATGATTGCCCTATGATTACTAATGATTACTAATGATTACCTAATGATTACCTAATGATTACTAGTGATTACCTAATGATTGCCTAATGATTACTAATGATTACTAGTGATTACCTAATGATTGCGTAATGATTATCCAATGATTATCTAATGATTACCTAATGATTATCTAATGATTATCTAATGATTACCTAATGATTATCTAATGATTATCTAATGATTACCTAATGATTATCTAATGATTATCTAATGATTATCTAATGATTATTTAATGATTACCTAATGATTACTAATGATTACCTAATGATGACAAATGATTACTAATGATTATCTAATGATTACCTAATGATGACAAATGATTATCTAATGATTTTCTAATGATTATCTAATGATTACCTAATGATTATCTAATGATTATCTAATGATTACCTAATGATTATCTAATGATTATCTAATGATTACCTAATGATTATCTAATGATTATCTAATGATTATCTAATGATTACCTAATGATTATTTAATGATTACCTAATGATTACTAATGATTATCTAATGATTACCTAATGATTATCCAATGATTATCTAATGATTACCTAATGATTATCTAATGATTATCTAATGATTACCTAATGATTATCTAATGATTATCTAATGATTACCTAATGATTATCTAATGATTATCTAATGATTATCTAATGATTATTTAATGATTACCTAATGATTACTAATGATTACCTAATGATGACAAATGATTACTAATGATTATCTAATGATTACCTAATGATGACAAATGATTATCTAATGATTTTCTAATGATTATCTAATGATTATCTAATGATTATCTAATGATTACCTAATGATTATCTAATGATTATCTAATGATTATCTAATGATTATCTAATGATTATCTAATGATTATCTAATGATTACCTAATGATTACTAATGATTACCTAATGATGACAAATGATTACTAATGATTATCTAATGATTACCTAATGATGACAAATGATTACTAATGATTACCTAATGATTATCTAATGATTATCTAATGATTATCTAATGATTATCTAATGATTATCTAATGATTACCTAATGATTACTAATGATTACCTAATGATGACAAATGATTACTAATGATTATCTAATGATTACCTAATGATGACAACTGATTACTAATGATTATCTAATGATTATCCAATGATTACCTAATGATTATCTAATGATTATCTAATGATTACCTAATGATTACTAATGATTACCTAATGATGACAAATGATTACTGATGATTATCTAATGATTACCTAATGATTACCTAATGATTATCTAATGATTATCTAATGATTACCTAATGATTATCTAATGATTATCTAATGATTATCTAATGATTACCTAATGATTATCTAATGATTACCTAATGATTATCTAATGATTATCAAATGTTTACCTAATGATTACTTATGATTACTAATGATTCCTAATGATTATCTAATGATTATCAAATGTTTACCTAATGATTACTTATGATTACTAATGATTCCTAATGATTACTAATGATTACTAATGATTATCTAATGATTACCTAATGATTACAATTGATTACTCATGATTATCTCATAATTACCTAATGATTACCTAATGATTACTAATGATTACTAATGATTACCTAATGATTACTAATGTATATACTAATGATTACTAATGATTACTAATGATTACTAATGATTACTAATGTATATACTAATGATTTCTAATGATTACCTAATGATTAGCTAATGATTAGCTAATGATTACCTAATGATTACGAATGATTACCAATGATTACTAATGATTGCCTAATGATTACCTAATGATTACCAAATGATTACTAATGATTGCAAATGATTACTAATGATTACCTAATGATTACTAATGTATATACTAATGATTTCTAATGATTACCTAATGATTAGCTAATGATTAGCTAATGATTACCTAATGATTACTAATGATTACTAATGATTGCAAGTGATTACTAATGATTACCTAATGATTACCTAATGATTACCAAATGATTACGCATGATTATCTAATGATTACTAATGTACCAATGATTGCTAATGATTACTAATGCGGTACACATCCAACAATCAACTCCCATTAGGTATTCTTTGCAATAAAGACCGAATGGTAAAGTTAAGCAGTGCATGGTCTACTAGTTTAGCACTAATCTTTTGATGTTCATTCTATTTCCTTCTTGTTGTTACTTGTTGCTATCGTGATGATTAGAGTAACTACAGTATTTCATATTATCATGATGCTGTTGATGATGCTTATTCTCTTGCTACCACCGTTGTAGGTATTTGTTGTTATTGGGATTGTCACTAGTATTGTTGTATAATTTACTATACGTTAACGACATTGAAATATGTGGAGGGCGAGATCGCGACGCCCCGGAGGTAGTATGAAATACCAGTTCGTATATTTAAAAATCCGTATATTTGAATGTAGTTGCCCTATAATATATATATATACGTAATACTATCCCGTTACGTTTGTTATATATTATATAATGCTCTACTGTTATGATTATTATATAAAGTATATGTTATGTTACTATGTAATCTTTATTGCTCTGAATAACTACTTATCATTGTTGTTTTTATTATGTAATGTTAACTTATATATCATGATACATTATACTATACAATACTGTACGATCATGATTTTTATGTAAGTTATATATATATTATGTTATATCACTATGTAATCAATCTTGTCTATGACAATCATAAAAGAAATACGACGTAATCTACAATACTATGGTTACATAACAGTCATTCATATATATATATATATGTATATTAGTAAATTATATGGATTTTAGCCACAGTCAGAGCCATTCCCATAGGAAAATGTTCATATTCCATTCAGATAGTTCTCGTACAACAATGCCATAAACCATTCCGCAGTCACCGCCATAAATTTATAGGTGGTATGTTTACCTTTCCCAGTCATGGGTGGTTTATGTCATTGTTTCACCCACATTATATCAGTAACTATAGTTATATTTTTCCCACATTGTTTTACCCACAGTATATATATATATATCCATGTAACTATAGTAACCTTTCTTTCTTTCTTTCTTTCTCTCTCTCTCTCTCCATATATATATATATGTTGTTCTTTTGTTTTTGTGGACGATGTTAGGATCTCATGGAGCTCTTCTGCGCCCGGCAGCGCCGCAAGTTCAGCCGCGGCATCAAACGCGCGTGGGGGAAGCCGAGCTTCGTAGCCCTGTTGACGCCAGGATTTTCTTGGATAATCTGGGCCGAGGCCAATCACCGTGCTGAAGAAACTCCGAAAGGCCAGTGGTTTCTAAGGCTTCCTCATGTGAAAATCCAAGACATGGGGCGATGGGGTTTCCGAAGTCATGGGGGTACCTCCAAATCATGACTTTTATTTTCGTATAAACAGTTATAAATCCACTACCATATATATATAATTATATATAAAAATTATATATATATATATAAACATATTTGGAGTGCCCCCATTTATGGAAACCCTCAAATGTTCATCCTGGGGTGCCAAACACTTTAAATTGTTGCAGGCTAAGCGTGACACAGCTTATGGCGAGAAACCAGAAGCAGTGAAGACTCACTTGAGAAATATGGTCATCGTGCTACTTGGACCATCCCCAACTTGGCTCGTGACATTGGAAGGATGTTTGGATGGGGTCCCCCGAAACATTTTTCAAGCACCAACGATGAAAAGTGAAGATGGGATTGGGACCTAAAGGAATTGTAAGGATTTAATTGGTTCATCATACACTGTGGAGCAAGTGGTTCTTCCGAAGGGCAGGTTGATCATGTGAAGCGCAAAAGAAAAACCCGAATCTGCACCATCTCCTGGAGTGAATGCAGATCTATCACCAGATGACTATTTTGGAATGGAACCAGGACGTTATTTTCCGACTCATTCCGAATCTTCTGGAGAGAGTTTCGGCTCCATGATCTTCGCTTGACATTCCTTGACCAAAAAGACCAAAAGATATGGCTTTATGTCACCAGAATCCAGCCAAAACAGCTGTGTTTTGCAGTTGGGATGGGGGCCCAAGGCCAGAGATGATTGGAAGCTTGGACGGAAACCGTGATGGCTGTGGTCATGGATTCCCATGGTGAATTTTCGGCCAAGTCAGTCGTCAACTTTGCTGGGTAGTTCAGAATTGAGGCCACCCATTGTTGGTGACCACCCGAGGCAGCGTGGTGGGTGTGTACAATGGCAAGCAGTACATCACCGTGGAGATCAAGCCTGTGACCGTCTCAGATGTGCCAGCCGAACACATCAAATCTTGAACTTCTGTCAATGTTTTTGGTCTCTCGTTTCAGGAGATGATTGGCCACTACCTGGGTGAGTTCTCCATCACCTACAAGCCCATCAAGCACGGTCGCGTGGGTATGATGAGCAAGAACTCGCAGTTCGTGCCGCTGAAGTGAGCACAAAGTTGGATGATGGTAAGCAAGGAAAGGGAGAAGTCAAAAAAAGAGAGTGTGGGCTCTTGAAGTGTGCATGTTGTCATCATTCTTGTTCTCGTCAACAAGTCGCAAGGGAACACCCTTGAAAATCATCTACTATCATTAACATTGTGCTCTACATCCTCCTCCTCCTCCTCCTACTCTTCCTCCTCCGACCTTGCCATCATAATTACATTAAGTTATCGTTTACGGCAACAACCTGGAAAGTAAACATCAATCTGTTCGAGAAATGGTTGTCGATGTTGATTGGGCATTTGTACCAAGCATCTTTCATGGTCTGTAGCGGCTCAAGACAACTCACCAACGCAGAAGTCCCCCTACTTTTTTTGCCATGGCGGAGGGTGAGGCATGGCTTCGGCAGAGCTTTCCCTTCCAAAGTAACTGACGGCCTTTTCACATGCTTTGCAGATGATGTTTTTGAGTGCTCGGGTTGTGGCCGGGCGAAATCGCTCCCCTCAGAGGCTCCCAAAAAGAGAACCTTCAAGAAGTATTCCTATCGCTCGGATAGCCAGTCGACAGATGCCATGGGCCATGGGGCCATGGGGCCACTTGGGGCGAAAACGCTCATCTGAGGTGGTGTCGATCTCGATAAGCTGCTGGACATGAGCAATCAGGACAGGCCTTCCTCAGAATGGTGGCCCACATAAGATGAGAGCCGATCCATACGGAAATGATGCTTAAGATGATCATTGATTATCAGAGATTCTCATACATAAAATCATTGATTATCCTCGACAATCCATGATTATTCATGATGGGATGATTATCCATCTTTTTTTATTCACGATCATCTAGGCAACGTCCCATCATCTCCAACCAAGCTGCTTCGGCTGGAGAGGATCTGATGGAACTCTTCTGCGCGCGCCAGCGCAGAAAGTTCAGCCGCGGCATTAAGCGAGCGTAGGGAAGCCCAGCGTGGCTGTGGAGGCCTAAAAAGAACCGGTCTTGAAGTGTTGGATCACACTTATTTAGCTACCAGATGCTACCAGTAGATCTACTAGTGCATATCCACCATATCTGTACATATCTCCCAGCGGCTCTACGTTTCACGAAATTGCACCTTCCTTAGGTCCTTTGTCCGATTTATCTACGTATCGTTGATTCTATTTGCATCTTGCAATGAGAACGAAAGTGGAAGACCACCATTTTCAATGGACAACTGCCAGCGGTTGTGTTGTTCATCTTGGCGATTCGAAGGGGGTCAGACCTTTTTTTTCTGGAACGACCTCGTTCCCAAAAACCTGCTCATTTGTAGCTCAAGCCAAGACGTTTTGCGTAGGGGATTTGTTTTATTGTTATAGTAACCTGGGTATGGGTCAATACCTATAGATACATTTTTAGTGGGATGAAACATCCATAAATCCCAGCTATTTTGGGGTTCACTAGGTACCAGGGTTTTGACCCATCCCCACCTATCCTTTAGATTCCTTTAGACAAGGAAATGGATGGAGAAACTATCACGGAGTCGTGACTATTGCAACACACTGCGATCGACAAGGAAACTAGGACCATCAAGGGATTAGCGCTAGATGCGTAGGATTGTATCCGACCAGTGGTATGCTCAACGGATCAGTCACCCTCGCTGAATTTGTTTGAGAAAGGCCTATCACAGTTCTCAAGAAGCTGCGGAAGGCTTGGAAGCATTTTGACGGTAGGCCGCAAGATATATCCCAGACCGACCTTGATTCATATGTAATACGTATTTTATACATATATTTATATATACAGAATAAGAATAGGTTGACTGGGCTGATTTTCCATTTGGGAACTTTGTGTTGACTGTTTGATCTGTTTGTTTTGAAGATGCCCGCCTGCTCAGAGTTGTTCGGAAGTTGAAGCTGTTGGAACCTGACAGAAGGTCAGGATGTAGAGGAGTGTGCACCAGTTCAGCCTTGATGTACCTCAACTTATTTATCCACCAAAGTGAGAGATCTGCGGATGGTGATTTCGAGAAATTTAATCTGAATCCTTCTGCTGCTATTGCTACTCAAAGCGCAAAAAAAAGCCGTTTCTGCTTAGTTTCAGCATTCAATGAGATGCTGACGTTGCTCATGCAATGCATTGAGTTCCGATCCGGAGAGCCACCCAAAAATCGGATTCGAGTCGGTTTCGGGTTTCGGGTTTCGGGTTTCGGGTTTCGTCGATTGAAACCAACTTTCGCTGTCGGTTTCGGGTTTCGGGTTTCGGGTTTCGGGTTTCGTCGCTTGAAACCAACTTTCGCTGTCGGTTTCGGGTTTCGGGTTTCGGGTTTCGTCGATTGAAACCCACTTTCGCTGTCGGTTTCGGGTTTCGGCTTTCAGGTTTCGGGTTTCGATCGGCACTGGGGAAGTTAAGTATTCAGAGTCGGTTTCGGGTTTCGGGTTTCGGGTTTCGATCGGTCCTGGGGAAGGTAAGTCTTCAGAGTCGGTTTCGGGTTTCGGGTTTCGGGCTTCGGGTTTCGATCGGCCCTGGGGAAGTTAAGTCTTCAGAGTCGGTTTCGGGTTTCGGGTTTCGGGTTTCGATCGGCCCTGGGGAAGTTAAGTCTTCAGAGTCGGTTTCGGGTTTCGGGTTTCGGGTTTCGGGTTTCGATCGGCCCTGGGGAAGTTAAGTCTTCAGAGTCGGTTTCGGGTTTTGGGTTTTGGGTTTCGGGTTTCGGGTTTCGATCGGTCCTGGGGAAGGTAAGTCTTCAGAGTCGGTTTCGGGTTTCGGGTTTCGGGTTTCGATCAGTCCTTGCATGGGAAGTTAAGTCTTCAGAGTCGGTTTCGGGTTTCGGGTTTCGGGTTTCGCAGTTCGAAACCAACTTTAACAGTCGGGTTCGGGTTTCGGGTTTCGGGTTTCGCTGGTCGAAACCAACTCTGCAGACCTCTCTCCAACGAGCTAAGTCCAACATAAGCTTGAGTAGGGTCGCATGTGAACGAGCATAAGTGCTGCGAGATCCACCGGAAAGTTTCTTGGGCGGGGCTAACTAATGGTGCACTAAAAACAAAATTTGTTACCCAGCCTGGTAAACATACAAAAATCGACATGGAAAATGGCCATAGAAATGATTGATTTACCTAGTAAAAATGGTGATTTCCCATAGTTCTGTTAGTTTACCGGAGGGTAGGATTTCCTCTCATACTGAACAATGAAGAAAGCCTCATCTATCTTAACCACCCTTTTCTTTCAAGGACACGTTTGTCCAGTCCAGATAAATGTGCCAGGCCAAACGTGACACCGCTTATGGTGAAAAGCCAGAGGCTGTGAAGACTCACCTTCGCAACATGGTGATTGTGTTGCTTGGCGAACCAAAAAAGGATGGAGTAGATGACATGTTTATTCAAAATGATACCATATGTCAAAGTTGGATACTGCGAGAGTCATTTTCGTTGGTGGTTGAAGGCTTTTGAGCTTTGATTGATGCTTGGTGTGTTGCCAACAGAGGAGGGCGAAAAATAGGAATTGGCTTTTGCATGTGGGTTCGAAACAAAAGTCAACTGCATAGGTTTGACTGAAAACAGGGAGTTATTTGCCCGAAACGCTGGCGTGCAAAATGGCTCCTTGCCAGGTGTTGTCCCAAATGGCGGGTATATAGTTGGTGTCCGTTTATCATGACTTTGAGGAGAGATACTCTGAAACATGGGAACAGAAGGATGCATCGGACGAGATTTAAGACCACATGTCCCTGAAGAAAAAGACTTTTAAAACATCCCTGCATTTTTGTTCATCAAATTTACTGCGAGTCTGGGGCTCCCATGAGCATTTCAGCGTTGACGCTTCCGAGGCCAGAAATGATCGGCCGCTTGGTCTGCAGTTCGAGTCTGGAAGCTGTGCCTTGACCCGTTGGATCCTGATGTGTTCAAGGTAGCGTGGTGGGTGTGTACAATGGCAAGCAGTACATCACCGTGGAGATCAAGCCTGTGACCGTCTCAGATGTGCCAGCCTAACACATCAAATCTTGAACTTCTGTCAATGTTTTTGGTCTCTCGTTTCAGGAGATGATTGGCCACTACCTGGGTGAGTTCTCCATCACCTACAAGCCCATCAAGCACGGTCGCGCGGGTATGATGAGCAAGAACTCGCAGTTCGTGCCGCTGAAGTGAGGGACAGGTTGCCTAAAGAGTCGAAGGTCGTTGGGAGTTGCAGAAAATGCTGCGGCGTGCTCCGAGTGTTTGTCATGTTGACTTTAGCACTTGAATGACAGCTGGTGGCCCCTCAATCCATCAAGACCATCCATGTCTATCCATCATTTCTATCCATCTCCATCCATCTCCTTCCATTTCTGTCCATTTCTATCCATCATTTCTATCTCTTCACGGTCACGGCATAGGATCAAGTCAGCCATAGCTCCCCGGGCCAGCGCACCGCGGGTCGAAACGCGACGACCATGGCGGAAGGTGAAGCGTGGCATCTCAGTGGGTGTTTGACGCTGGGTAAAACATGTTTGTGATTTGGCATAGTCAATAGATTTAATAGTATTTAATAGTGATTTAATGGGATTTATAGGGATTTACAGTGATTTAATAGTGATTTATAGTTATTTAATGGGATCTTATAGGGATTCAATGGGATATTAATGGGATTTACCCTCTGGTTATTTGTTACATAGCCATGGTAAAATCACTTTTAATAGGTAAACCATCTATTTCGATGGGCCATTTTCCATAGCTATGTTAAATAACCAGATGGTAATAGATGCTAGTAGATGTTAATAAGATGTTAACAAGATGTTAATAGATGTTGGTGGTTGTTAGTAAGATGTCAGTTAAATGTCAATTGATGTTAGATGTTCAATAGATGTTCATAGATCAATAGATGTTAGATCATGTTAATAGATGTGAATAAGATGTTAAAATGTTCATATAGATATTAGATGATGTGAGTAGATGTTAATACGATATTCATAGGTGTTAGACGTTCTTAGATGTTCATAGATTGATATATGATATATGTCTACAAAATTTAATAGACGTTAATAGATGTTCATATCCTCTGACTCTTGATATTTGTCAGATGTTGTAAAACAGATCTTAACATCTCTGCATGATTTTGAACGACGATTTGCAGAAACCTCAAATGATTGCCAGTTCATTATTTAAACATTCATGGTGCAGATATGAGTCCCCATTGTGATCATTGTGCCCGAGGCTCCCAAGAAGCGTACCTTCAAGAAGTACTCCTACCGTCTGTTGCCCCAGCTGACCGCTCGACGCGGACCCGGATGGATGGATATTGAACGCCCATGGACGCCCGAGGTGGTGTGGATCTTGACAAGCTTCTGGATATGAGCAACCAGGACCCGTCGATTTTCTCTTTTTTAACCGAGGTGTTAAACGGTATGTGATGGTGATAGCAATCCAAGATGTTCCAACCTTTAAACACTAGTTGCTACAATTACTCAGAAAAAAATGTGTGAATGAATGGGATTCCCCTCTATTGTTGCAAATTGTTGAACAGTGCGTGATATTGTTTGAACGAAGAACTGTTCTCCACAAGGAGTTTTGTTCTTTGTATTCTTTGTTCTGACACACATGTCACATGTGTCAAGTTCCTCCCAAAAATGATCCCAAATATGCCAGCAAATCCATTTGCGATGAATCTGTCAAAAACTTGGTGTTCTCGTTTTTTGGACATGAGATTCAGTTTGGTTTCAGCGATGTTGATCGGTGCCTTCTAGCGTCCAGAGAACATCTGCATCTCTAAGCCCCAACATATCCGTTTCGAAGGTTGGCCATTGATGCTTAAAAACAGATCAATTACTGATGCCCTTGCGGGTTGGCAGACCAGAATATATACTGTATATATGTATATATATAAAGTATCCCCAAGTAGTAGTTCGTATGGGCCAAGAGAACTCAGCAACATGGGCAAACATTTCAGCATCAATCAATAGATACATCACCCATCACCATCAAAAAGTGGATTTATATTGTCAAGATCAATATACTATAAAATCAGACATCCAGGTCCACCTTATGTCGTCATGCCTTCCAAACAGCTCCACTATAAAATCATAAACCAGGTTCCCCAACATTGAGCATCCACATGGTTAAATAGACTTTGCAAAACCACCATTTTGAAAAGTCTGATTTTATAGTGGGTCAGGTGGATGGCTTTAAGATACTCTACGGGGAAAAAGGTGTTCCAACTCCAACCCTGTCCCTAGATTCTATAGAGACTTGATTTTTACAAGCAGGCATTTGTAACTATGTGGTGATCTGCTTTTTCTTGATTTTATAGAGATGTATTTCTTGCATTCATATTTTTTCCTGATTTTATAGTGAAAATTTGTGTGCACCCATATGGTGGAACCCAGTTACCTCTATAGAATGGGGCACACTGGGTGCCAGTTGAAACCCAAAGGGGGATTATACACATATGTATATATATATATACATACACATATATGGCTGTGGATCAATACCTATACATACCATTTTTAGCGGGATGAACATCCATAAATCCCAGCTATTTTGATGTTCACCAGGGGTACAAGGTTTTGACCCATCCCCATATGTCTATATATATGTGTATATATATATATATATGTTCATTTCAACATCTGAGCAGCGTTCAAAACCTTTATCTAGTGGGATTCTCGCAGCAGCTCGGCGCTTCACCGTTTGACCAAATTGACCGACACCGTTCGCTACCATGATTCATTCTTGGATGTGCATCCCACGAATAGGATCCGTGGTTTATAATCCATGTTTAATCCATAACAATCCATAATCATCCATATAATCACACATATGATAAGGACATTCCATCTATATATACATATATACATATACTGTTATTATGATTCAGTTTTCTTCAACCAAGGACACATCAACCAGCTACCAAGGTCTTGCAGCTCTTGAAACCATGCCTGGACCGATAGGCATCAAGGCTCAGGAGAGCCCGGTAGAGGGCGGGTCGGGATCAAAGATCCTTGAAGCCAATTTTGTCGCTACGGTGGTTGCAGAGACGGGGTCTTTGCCTTATAGGAACGAGGCCGTTCCTTTCAACCGTTGCTGCTCGTCTTGTGAGACGATCCTGTGTGTGTGCTGCTGAAAAACAGAGACGGGTGTGTGAGGTTGCTGGTGGACCACAATACAACAGGGAATTCCATTGATCAGGGTATCTGGACTATATCCACTGTTTTGGTTTGCTTGCAGCTTTACTTGAAGAGGGGCCCGCACCAATTACATTGGTAGCGGAGCTCCGGCTCGCCACCGGAGCATCCAGGGCATTCAGATGTCAGCTGCCTCGGACGGTGATGGCACCACCACCGGAGTTGGCTCTCAGTTAGCCACATTGGTGCCTCACTTCGATCCATCAACTGACAATATGCTGGAGTATCAACAGAAGGTGGAACTGGTTCTCATGGCATGGCCAAAAGCACGTATCACTGAGCTGATTACAAGGTTAATCTTAAACTGCAAAGGATCCGCTTTCTCCAAACTGCAATTGCACAGAACGGAATTGATGGAAAATGACGAAAAGGCCGTCCAGAGGCTAATAGAGCTTCTAGGTGGCCATTGGGGTCGCATCGCACTGGAGAAACAGTATGAGGAGGCCGAGATTGCATTGTATCACATGACCCAGAATCAGGACGAATCCAATGACAGCTACTTAGCCAGGTCTGACGTAGCTTGGAGCAAGTTGCAATCAAGGAAGCTTTCTCTGGATGATCTTCAGGCCTACATCCTCTTGCGAGGGTCAAGCCTGAGTGCAGATGACAAGAAGCGAGTGATCTTGGAATCAGACAATAGCCTGGAGGGAAAACTTACTGTCAAGCGGGTAAGTGAAGCTGTCAGGTTGTTAGGTGCCAGCTTTTTCCATGACATGACAGGAGCCAAGAAGGCAGCCAAGACAAAGGTTTATGGAGCTACCACCTTAGTTGCCGAAGATGATGAGCCCGAGAATGAAATTCACCACACCGAAGACTGCGCAGAGGATGACTTTGTGGAATGCCTAGTCAACGAGGGCGACAGTGACGCCACACTGGTGGCTGACTTCGAAGCTGCAGCAGCCGATGTGTTGCAGGATGATCCGGAGTTGGCCTCAGCCTACAGTGCATACACTGAAGCCAGGCGCAGGTTGTCAGAGAAGTTCAAGAACAGAGGGTTTTGGGCTACTTCCAGCAGATCCACAACACAGACCTCCAAGGGTAAGTTTGGGTCACAGAAAGGTTCAGGGAAGGGCAAGAATGTCTGGCAGTCGAAAACACGTAGGAGCCTTCAGGACAGAATTCTGAACTCATACTGCCGAAACTGCAATAGGAAGGGTCACTGGAAGGCGGAGTGTCCGTTTCGCCAGTCTGGTGGACAAGCCTCAGTTGCAACCTCGGGAGGGTCAACGGCTCCTCCTAGTGTTCCAGCCACCATGGTGTCAACCGATCATCATGAAGATGTTCTGCCCCTGGAATTTTTGAACCTGCCGGATGCCTCACATGGAGCCATCGATGATGCTTTGCCTATTTTAGTGCAAATAGTTCATGACCACACACGTGACAGGGACTGGGGATTCAGTTATGGTGATAAGATTCAAGGGGAATCCACTGGGAGTAACTGGGTAACCTTAGATAACCCTGATCCAAGAGATCGACTGAAAGCCTGGGGTTTCAGGAATGAGACCCAAGAGCCTGCCAAGAAGCGCCTCGCAGCCTCACTGTTGAATCACCGTAGGTTGCTGCCGGAACACCAACCGTGTGTTCATGCCAGAAACTTTGCCAAGCAGTCGAAACACCAACCGAGTGTTCACTGCAGTGATCAAGCCAAGAATCCAAAGACAGTTGTCGACCAACCGGAACACTACCGTTCCCAAGATGTCCGAGAAGCCACCATATGTTTTGCCACACATGGGTCTCATGGCATACTAGACTTAGGAGCCAGCAAAACCGTGATTGGCAGTGATCACGTTGCCGAACTAATTCAAAGCCTCGATGCAGATGCCCGACAGAAGCTTTCCAGGTGTCCATGTAACATAACCTTTAGATTTGGAAATCAAGGAACACTTAGTAGCAGCCAAGCTTTAGTGATTCCAATTGGTCCCCTTAGTCTTAAGGTAGCAGTTGTGCCTGGAGGAACACCATTCCTCATCAGCAACACGCTGATGCGGGCGATCGAGGCCAGAATAGATTGTGCATCCCAGACTTTGACCAGTCCCCTGCTGAACACGCCAGTGTCACTGCAGCTTACGTCCAAGGGTTTGTTTTTGATTGATGTCAACAAGTTGATCAAGTCTTCCCAAGAAAGCCGCAGCAGGAAGAAACAGTCTGGTAGGAGCTTTTGCTCGGAGACCTTCATGTCCGATGAGACAGAGGCAAAACCAGGTGCCGACAGTGTCGTGGGAGAATCCGAGAGTTGCAGAAATCACACATCCACGGTTCATGTTCAAAATCCACATTGCAGTCACGCACACAACATGCCATACACCAACAGTGAAAGCCAATATGCCACCGATGGAATCAAAATCAAAATCAATTCCAACAACATCCATGCTCAGAAGTCAGTGTCGGGAACAGTCGTAGAAACCCCATCTGGTGATCATTTCCATGGCGTCGTTGTCCCAACGCCTTCGGTCCTTGCAGATTCCCGCATCGACCGTACTGGAGAACCTGGATCACTTGCGGATGGAAGATCTCGCAATGGAGACCATATCCTTCGGGCAGAAGCATCTGGGGCATTCCTATCAGGAAGCTTGGGAGGATCAGGAGTGGGTTCACTTCATGATCAACAGGTATCAGGGATCCAACAAGGAAAGCCACCGTCGCTTCCTGAAGTATGTGGAGCTCAAGATCGAAGAGATGGAAAATGCACAGACGGTAGTTCCGCCCCGTCAGAACACAAGTCAGATCAACCGGGCCAAAGCCCGACCCAAGCCCGGAGCCAAAAGCATGGCAACTCCATCGCTCATCTCTTTGCAGGATGGGGACGACGACTGGGATGTGGAGTCAGAGATGTTTGTCCCAGTGACTACGGGCTATGCGACAAGCCCCATGACCGAGGAAGTCCAGGCCTTGCAGACCAGAATGTTGAGCATGGAGAATGCACTGACCCGGGTGATCCGTCACATCGAAGATCAGACCATGCTGAACCAGAACGACCAGGTGAACGAGCCGGCCTGAGAGATCCCATGAGCCCTGCCGAACTCAGCTCAATGCCTGCCAGTATAAGTGATTGGGAATCCTCCATCAAAGAAGTAAAGGTAGATTGGAACAACCAAGTGTTCACAACGGTCACCTCTGAAACTGCTGAACTATGGGGTTTAGTGGAGAAGATGTCAACAGAAATGCATCTAATCCTGAAACAGACTAAACCCATGGGGAGTAGATGGACTCTAGGAGAAGTCATGTGCAGTGCCAATTCACCGATCACAGAGCAGGTTTTGAAGAGCGGCCAATCGGCCTTTCGCTTTGGTCTTGAACAAGGCGATCTTTCAACCAGCACGGGAAGAGCTGACCTCTTTCGCAAGATAGCCCGGCACAGACCAAAGCACATATGGTATTCACCAACATGTGGTCCCTGGTCATCCTGGTCTCAATTCAATGCAGCAAGATCCACTCAACATCACCAAGAATATGTCCAAATGAGAAGAAACCTCCTGTATCAAATCGCATTGGGTATTGTCCTATATCGTCACCAAATGGAAACCAAAAGCCATGTTCATTGGGAACAGCCCCAAAAGTCTCTGATGTTTCATGGTCCCAACCTGTCAGAAGTTCATGAACATACTCGTGCGTGCCAATTTGACATGTGCCGTGCTGGAGGCCTAGTAGACCCGGAAAGCCAGATGCCCATGAAGAAGGGAATGACAGTTCTAACTACGTTTGAACCCCTTTACAAGAGATTCCATGGAATGACGTGTGACCATCGACACCAACACCAGCCAATAGAGGGATCATGCCGAACTACAGAAGGGGAAAGGGTGTTGAGAACTAGATACACGGAAGTTTATCCCCGAAAGTTTGCCAGAGCAGTTGCACAAGTCATGAAGAAGGGATCCACTTGTTTGCCGTACGGTTGGACACATGATTTAGCAGCTGTCATAGCCGAAACCAGAGCAGAGGCATCACCAGCTTTCGCACTTCAAACCAAATTCAGAGCCAAAGCCGAGTTCCCAAAATCAGAGACGGTCAGCCCAGCCGCCCGGCTTGCTGTAGATTCCAAGCGATCCAAGACGGATTCTCACCAAGGGTTTGCTCCGACTCTGGAGATGTGCCAACAGGCCATACAAGCCATTAGTGAGAAACTGCCCCGGGTAGGCAAGATGGAATTTTGGGATCCCCAAATCATATCACAACTTCAGCAAGTTTTTCCCGAAAAGCATGTGCATGCTGTCATGGCCTGTCGTGGAACGGAGAGAACCATGGAGCCACCCAAGAATCTCCACGCCCAAGAAGCACCCTTCCGTCGAATGTTGATGCTGCGAAGGGATGGTCAGGTACAGTATGAAAAACACTGGGAAAGATGGCCTGAACTCAGCAAGAGACAGTTAATACGACCATCTCATGCATGTAGGTTGAATGTCACAGTGTTTGCAAGGGAGTGGGAATCTCCAAGGGTGCCTATTCCTGAAACAACTTCTGTCCAACCACCAGAACCAATGCCAAAAGATATGCCAGCGTGCTCAGACCAGGTGCCTGCAAGTGACGAGCAACATGCCCAAAAGGCTCCACCTGCAGAGAGCACGCCCAGAGTAGATTTTGAGAAGCCAGAACCTTCAACCGAAGGAGAAGCCAATACACCTCCTTTGGTGTCGCCGAATGCATCCCTGGACCCCGTGCTCGAGCAACAGAGTTCAAGATTCCGGAGTTTGCCAAGATGGGAACAGTTGATGATTATCAAGTTACACAAGAATCTAGGTCACCCATCAAATGACAGACTTGCCCGAGCACTCCAGGTAAATGGTTCCCGACCTGAAGTAATTCAAGCGGCTTCTGAAATTCGATGCAATATTTGCGCAGCTCATGCACCACCAAAGCATGCGAGGCCAGCCTCGTTGAAATCAATGATAGACTTTAACCATAAAGTATATCTTGATGGCATCAAATGGACCAATAGCCAAGGAAAATCGTTCCACTTCTTTCACATGTTGGATGCGGGTACGAACTACCATGTAGCAATTGCCCCACCAGCCCGAACATCACAGGATTTAATTCAAATATTAAATCAGCACTGGTTGAGTTGGGCCGGGCCACCAAGTGAGCTAGTTGTGGACTCAGGGACCGAGATGAACAGCCAGGAATTTTCCGAGTTCTCACAAAGGTTCAATATTCGAACCACCACTACATGTCCGGAAGCTCACTGGCAAAGTGGAAAAATCGAACGACATGGAGCATTCCTCCAATCGATGCTCAGTAAAATAGACCTGGAATTTCCCATAGCTAGCTATGCCGACCTGCAGATGGCCATGAACCAGTGTACTCATGCTAAGAACTCTCTCAGCATTCGTCACGGATATGCCCCCGAAGTAATAGTTTTTGGCAAGCACACTAGAATCCCAGGCTCCATACTGAGCGATGACTCGATCCCATCTCATGAACAGGCCTTGCAAGAAGAGAACAGCATGAGTCCAGAAGGCTTTCGCCAAACCTTGGCGATTCGGGAAGCAGCACGCCGCTCGTTTCACGCATCGGACAACAGCGATGTCCTCCGCCGAGCTCTTCTCCGGAGAGCATGTCCTTCTAGAGGTCGATACATGAAGGGTGAATGGGTCATGACATGGAAAAATGGTCCCCTGAATCAACATAAGTGGAGCGGTCCCCACCGAGTAATCCTTCAAGATGAACATCATACTGTTTGGTGTACCTCAAACGGAAAGCTCATCCGGAGTGCCCCAGAGAACGTGAGAAAAGCCTTCGAAGAGGGATCTCCTGAAGGACCAGAATTACCAGAAGACATCACGCCGATGACCCAACAAATAGCACGTATGAGTCAGAGTAATTCCACTAATAATGACCCTGAACTCAATCCACTTGAAATCCCACCTGAAATAGTCCCGACCACAAATAACCTTAATAATCCTGAAGATAATGCCTCACAAAACACGAATGAAAACAACTCTGACAGCCAAGAAGAATCATTACCACAACCTGACCAGGAACCAGAAAATCTCACACCGGAAGCCTCGCAGGGGATTCCCTCCGAAATGCCAGTAGAGGAACAACCGGTTCCCGACCTAGCCGAGAGTCCTGAACCCATCCTCCTGACGTGTCAGGAACCGAGCAATGCGTTTTCCTGTGCAGAAGCCGGAAACCTAGCCTGGTCCTGTGAATTCGACATGAAATTGGAAACCCCACTGGATGCATATGTCCCCTCAGAAGAGGAATCATGGATGTTGCTTGCAACGGCTTCCAAGAAACAAAGGTCAGAAGTGAAATTGTCGAATTTGTCGGACGACGAACTCCGAGAGTTCCAGATGGCCAAACAAGCCGAGGTCGAGAACTGGATCAAAACAGGAACTATCAGTGCCATTCTCCGTAATCAAATCCCTGAAGAACAAGTCTTGAGATGTAGATGGATACTAACCTGGAAACCCCTTGATAATGCTAATCAAATGGATGAACCCGAAAAGGGCCAAAGGAAATCCAAATCACCTAATGCCCCAAGGACCCACAAAGCGAAAGCTCGACTGGTGGTACTGGGTTACTTGGATCCCCAATTAGAAGAGGTTCCCAGGGATAGTCCTACACTCAATAAAACTTCCAGAATGGTTGTTCTACAGACTATTGCGTCACATTCATGGAAAATGAGGTCCTTTGATATAAAGGCTGCATTCCTCCAAGGCCGACCGCAGGCCGATAGAATTATAGCAATAGACCCTGTGCCCGAACTGAGAAAGGCCATGGGATTAAGTTCCCAACAGATCTGCCGACTGAACAAAGGCGCGTATGGCCTGATCGATGCTCCGTATCTTTGGTACTGTGCGTTGGTCACGGAATTACAAAGACTAGGCTTTGAAGCATGCCCCTTCGATCCCTGCTGCTTTGTTCTCAGAACACCTGCGACTGAAAGTCAGCCAAGCAAGCTGGAAGGGATTTTGGGTATCCATGTGGCGGAGGAAGCCCTGCTTTTGAAGCTGCCATTCAACAACTTGAGAAAACATTTCCTTTTGGATCACACAAAGTTTCAGCATTTACTTTCACGGGAATTGAACTCAATCAACACCATGACTACAGCATCACTATGAATCAATCAGCCTATGTCAGGAAAATCAATCCGATTGCCATTGAAGCCAACCGAAAATCCCAACTTGAACTTCCAGTTACCGAAAAAGAACGACTAGCTCTCCGGGGTTTAGTTGGCAGCCTACAATATGCAGCAATAAACACCAGACCAGACTTATCCAGTAAACTTTCATTTCTACAATCATCAATCAACAGTGCCAAGATCGAGAACTTGATGGAAGCCAACCGACTCCTACACGAAGCCAAACGTCACCATGATGTCGCAATCACCATAAAACCAATCCCATATCAAGACTTCCGTTTCCTTGCGTTTTCGGACGCATCATTCTCATCAGCCACCAAACCCGATTCACATGCTGGTTCCATCATTGTAGGTACCCACAAAGACATTAGTCACAACTGTCAGTGTCCAATCAGTCCGTTGACTTGGGGTTGCAGAAAGATTCAAAAGGTAGTGACCAGTACTCTCTCTGCTGAGACGATGGCCTTGTCGTCAACCCTGGATCAGCTTGGCTGGTTACGACTGTTTTGGAGCTGGATTCATGATCCAACCGTGCAATGGAAGAAACCTGAGGATGCCTTGATGAAGCTAGCCCCCGCAATTACCGTTCCTACCAAACATGAGGACACCGACCTGACCATAACTGACTGCAAGAGTTTGTATGACATGATAACAAGGACTGCACCACCTTCATGCTCAGAATTCAGAGTACAGTTAATGGCACGGGCGATCAAGGAATCCTTGCGGGAAGGAACCACGCTGCGATGGGTGCCAAGTGGAGCACAGCTAGCCGACTCCCTCACCAAGGCTATGGAGTCTCATTTCCTTCGAGAGACCTTGAAGTTTGGATTCTATAAACTATGTGATGAGGCATCAACACTCAAAGAAAGAGCCAAAACCAAGGATAGACTGAGATGGCTCCGGACGCAAACTGAATCCCATTCGAATAAAACATAATTTTTGACGAGTGTTATTATGATTCAGTTTTCTTCAACCAAGGACACATCAACCAGCTACCAAGGTCTTGCAGCTCTTGAAACCATGCCTGGACCGATAGGCATCAAGGCTCAGGAGAGCCCGGTAGAGGGCGGGTCGGGATCAAAGATCCTTGAAGCCAATTTTGGCGCTACGGTGGTTGCAGAGACGGGGTCTTTGCCTTATAGGAACGAGGCCGTTCCTTTCAACCGTTGCTGCTCGTCTTGTGAGACGATCCTGTGTGTGTGCTGCTGAAAAACAGAGACGGGTGTGTGAGGTTGCTGGTGGACCACAATACAACAGGGAATTCCATTGATCAGGGTATCTGGACTATATCCACTGTTTTGGTTTGCTTGCAGCTTTACTTGAAGAGGGGCCCGCACCAATTACAATATACATATATATATATATGTATGTATGTATATATGTATATATATATAACTAGGTTTTTTCACCCATTTACGATTCGCGGGGCCCGCCCAAGTGGGGACCACTTGGGAACCTATTTACAGTAGGACCTCATGGAGCTCTTCTGCGCCCGGCAGCGCCGCAAATTCAGCAGGGGCATCAAGCGAGCGTACCTGGGCCGTCGACAAAAAGGGGATAGCAGCAGAAATTGACGGAAACACTGATTTGGCTCTTCTGAACTTACGTTTCATAAGAGATGTGCTTAAGTCGGATTGAATTTTTGCAAGTTGATACTTGTCATCTTGTGGTAGTTTCCAGCAGTGCTTGTTGGGTTTCAATCTCTGGGTCGGCTGATTCGTTCTTCTTTGCTGGAGGGATCATGATATACTTAGATCCTAATGGGTCGCTTGATGGAGTCAGCATCCAGCGAAAGTAAATCCACTTTGGCTCAGTTTCAGGCCCATCACAGTGCTGAAGAAGCTCCGTAAGGTCAAGCGAAAAGATATGAAAAGATGCGACTTTCTTGGGGTTGCAGCCTGAACATGATCCTCATCAGAGAGCCCAAGGGGGAACTTTGGAACGTCAGCAACCATCAGAACATAAAGTGAAAGCAAACAATTTCGGCTTAAATCTACGACTTGGGCCATGTGCTTCCATTTCAATCCATTTCAGGTGTATTTTTCAAGTGTTTTCCCATGCTTTTCCAGCCCTGGAAGGCCAAGCGAGATACTGCCTATGGCGAGAAGCCGGAAGCTGTGAAGACTCACCTGCGCAACATGGTCATCGTGTTCCTTGGTGTGGTGCAACCGATGGCCTGCATCAGATTATGGCGTCTCATCCCATGGGATGAATTGTGAAGTTCATTTGGGAAACCCACCAAGATCCACCAAGATCCAATCCACAAGCTGCGCCAAGCTAAAGAGCCAGTCACCCTGAGGCCAGAGATGATTGGCCACTTGGCAGTTTCAGGATGTTTCAGGTGCCTCGCAGGGGTGGAAAACTCGATGGCTTGCGGCGCTTGCGACTAAGGAAGCGTGGTGGGTGTGTACAATGGCAAGCAGTACATCACCGTGGAGATCAAGCCTGTGACCGTCTCAGATGTGCCAGCCTAACACATCAAATCTTGAACTTCTGTCAATGTTTGGTCTCTCGTTTCAGGAGATGATTGGCCACTACTTGGGTGAGTTCTCCATCACCTACAAGCCCATCAAGCACGGTCGCGCGGGTATGATGAGCAAGAACTCGCAGTTCGTGCCGCTGAAGTGAGAACAGAGATGGGATGGCTGGGAGAAGTTGACAAAAAGAGCGGCACGTTTCTTCTGCACCTGGAGGATCCCGGACACGTTGGACCAGGACCAGCCATGGATATTGTGCTGTAGTCGCAAGCTGAGAATGGGCTCGGCCAGGCCTTCCATACGTTTCCAGTGCTGGAAGGTGCACTGGGGCCTGAGTTTTCGCTATCAGATGGATGCTGGCTATTCAAACTATTCAAAACTGACAAAGACTTGGGGGATTTTCGGGGGTATTCTGGTGTCGATTTCATATGATTTCATGATATTTCATGAGTCATGTGGCACACTGTGGTTCAGCTGAAGTAGACTAAGCAGAGATAAGATCCCAACATGCCGGCAACGGTAGCGACCATGTGACTCCTTTGGTCAGGTAACAGGCAGTTCCGGAGTTCCATAGGCCCAGAGCTGAAAACCGGATGGGATGCGCATTGGAAGCGTCAGTGTTGGTCCATGATTTGCTATCCCGAAAAGGTAGGACGATAGGATTTACATCCAACATCCAACTACTTGGGGGGAATGAGTAGACCTGGGTCAGGATCATCTAGTGGTACCTGTCTAGTAGTTGAGGCTACGGATTTGCGATCGTCACCAGTTCTGCTTTGTGGGCTTTCCACATCATAGAACGGGATGGGAAAAAGCACCTTCTCAGTACTTTACCTGGTAAACCAACATAGCTATGGAAATCACGGTTTTTTTCATCTGTAAATGGGCCACTTTGAATGGAAAAATCACCATTTTTAATAGGTAAATCATCTGTTATGTTGGGCCACTGAAAGCATGGCTATGTACGGCTCAAGGGACCCGCGGCGCCTCGCTGTTCCTTCACATGTAGCCATGTCATATTCACCCCCTCGGACACCCATCAATCCACGGGGATTTGCCATCGTGGCCAAGCTGGTGAGCAAGGAAACACTCAACACAGCGACTGCAAAAGTGGCATCTCTGGAAACTTCTGTTTGGCACTTCGGGCGAACTGTAGGTCTACTCTCAGTGCAGAGAGATCAGAGAGATGGGAAGGAGTATGACGAGCTGCTCAGCGGCTACTATTTCAAATATGGCAAAAGAGTGTGGAAGGCCGACGACCATCCGGAGCTCACGTTCTGGCAAGCTGGCATGCGCGCTGGAGGAGTGGTCGAGTACCACGGTATCCAGCCAGGCGGTGAGATGCAAGTCACAGAGATCAAGAGGAAGAGAGCCTGGTCTGGCTGCTTCAAGGACGTTTTAGGCAAGGTCTGTCCGTGTTCCTGATGGATCCTGATGGATCCTGGCTCGCATTTCCGGCTAGCCACCAAAACGGTGTGCAGTGGAAGAGTTTGCTGACATTGGCACCCTAGGGCAAGTGGCATGCTGAGAGCTGAGAAATGCCAAAAAGTACCAAAAGGATCCAAACGGATCTTTACTACTCTCCCATAGTTGTAGTTTTCCAATGTTATCCATACTTTTACAGGTTTTCATCCCAACCTTAGATACACCCTTCAACATCACCTGCTTATTTGTCCAGATGCAGTTGCTGTGAGACCGTGGCAAGTTCTCAGTTGTGCGTGATGTAGCCATCACTTTGTGTATCGAACTTCACCAAAAAACTCGTCGACGCAAGGTGAGTGAAAAGGGGTTTTTGTAAGGGCTGTGGCAGTTTCTGGAGCTCTGGGGACTGGTTTTTTTCCCCCAGCCATCGATTAGAGGTCTGAAGTGCCACTGTGGCTATGCGGCTATGCCCTCCACCTGCCCGCTGAGAGATGACAATCCCGGGATGTCATGGTGTGGAGGTTTGCGACCGGTTGATGCAGAAATTTTGTAGACGACCATCGAGCGGTAAAACAAGGGGGATGGATACGAAGTGCCGAGCTTGGAAGTGTGCTACTTGAGCCTACAACGGTGTCCTGGTTCGATGATTTGCAACACTCGTAAGTCTCATAAGTGTGCAGTGGTTCACATGCGAAGTTCCAGCTCTCAACCATCAAGGCACTCTGCAAAAAACATCTGGAGAGCTTGGTCTCATCCAGATGTGTGGCAGCATGGTTAGCTGCCACAAATATATTGGCGATTCATTGCGATACGGACATGAAAAGGGGCATGAATAATCAAGAATGGTTTTGAGGATTTTCTGATTGAAGCATTCCGTTGTGCTGCTCTTGTTCTTCCATGTTTGTCTTGGATTTCGCTGCTGTTTCCATTGAAGCTGAGTAGGGCCACATGGCTGCCAATATTATGATGAAGGTGGCAACTGCAAGGGCATCAATTTGGACTCAGATCGCATCTCACTAATTTTCAGATTTCCAAGCAAGTTGGAGTCAACTGTGCTGCTGGGCTGGGAGCAGAAGGTTTTTTACTGCACCAACAGCTGTTGAACCATTGAGGTGGTTGTTTGATCACTAGTTTGATCTTCGCATCATCTATAACATCTACAACCAACAAATATCTTCGCATCATCTATAACATCTATAACCACCAAATCCAACAAACAACCACCAAAAGTCACTGAGACAATGTCAACCGCTTCACGCCGTCTCATCTCGCGCTTCTTTCACCCAACTTCGGCCTGGACCTCAGAGGTGAGAAAGTGATCACCAAAAAATGGTGGGTTTTTACATCTTGGAATTCCAAGATCCTCATGATGTTTAGTGTGATGTAACTGGATTTCCTATGATTTAGTGTGATGTTTTCCATTGATTTACTAAATGTTTAGTGTGATGTTTAGTGTGTTTTCCCATCTATGATTTTCCTATGATTTTCCCATTCAAAGCTCCTTTTTTTGCACGGAGATGTAACTGGCTGGATGCTTCAGAGGTGCACAGATGGCGACTCTGCGCAGGCGATAGGGCCCCCAAAAGGGATAACCTGGGACCATACACAGAACAGGCAAAACCGATGGGAGAAATTCAACCTGTGGTGCCCTGCTTCCTGCAGTCCATATCAGTCCATATCATTTGGCATCCAACTCACTCTCTCCCTCTCTCTCTCTCTCACTCAGTCGTTTTTGTGGCAAATTTCCTTCGAACAGTGTCATAGCGATAACCATTTGTTGCACTCGGTCCCCGGGCCAAGCCATAGAGCCATTTCCATAACTTTAGAAAGATGGATCTCGAATATGCTGATTTCCACAAAACCCTGGAAAGCGATAGGTTTTCCCCAAAAGCGATAACCAGAACCATAGCAACTACTCAGATGTAAAGGATTTTGACGGGAGCTGATATGTAACATTTGAATACATTTGATATAGATAAGATTAGATTAGATTAGATTGGATGGATGGATGGATAGATCTTTATTGAACATAATGAGGGCTCATGATTGCTTATGAACTTGTTGAGAGCTTCTTGATTTTCATGATCATCATGGTATGTGGGGAGTCACCTTTCAGGGGGTGGGCATTTTTCTGTTGATCTGCCGGCCAGCTGCCCTCTTGCTGCTTTGTGGGCCGAGTTTGGGATCTCAGTTGCTGGAAAAATCGATGCGAGTAGCTTGCCTGTCATTTTCCATGAAGTACTGCAGTCATTTGACAGTTGCTGATAGCTGCTGCAAGTCTGCGGACAGAGGCAGAAGTCACCAGCTAGACACATTTGCTGCAAGAATCTCAGTGTCAAAAGCTTTTCAGAAACGAAACCGCTGTGTGTGTGAGTCGTCACTGGAGGCGTGCCAAATTATTCACTCGCTTGACGCATGCCTAGTTAATCCATTCCAACACAGTCCAAGTGAAAATCAAGCTTTCTTCTCCAAAGTGTCTCAATTCATTTAGCACCTCGAACATCTCGAACATCGTCAAGTTAAAGTTGAGAAAGAAAAAGTGATGGGACGTTTTCATGGGTTTTCTACTTGGGTGCCACCAATCCCAAAATGTCCACCTCTTTCCCATCAATTTCCTGTCGGGGGGTCAGATTCAACAGCTGAGGTTGGCAACTTTGAGGTGGGCGGATGATGGCTGTGTAGGAATCACGTTGCCAGTTACTACAAGTCATAGGTTTAGGATTGCTGACAGTGGCAATTTGACAACATGATACAACATTCAAATCTGTAGTTTTATAATGTTTTATAGTTGTTTACTAATATATCATCAGATGATATCATATGATTTTATGATATTTTTCACAAGTGTTTCACCATGGTTATATATATGGCTATGGATCAATACCTATAGATACAGTTTATTAGGGGATGAACATCCATTTGCCACCTATTTTGATGTGAACTACAGGGCTACATGGTTTTTGACCCATTCCCACACATATGTTTCCAACATCTTCCAACGATTTCCAAAACGACGTGATGCTAAGTGAACTCCATGGCGCTCAATCCAGCGAGGCCACTGCACGAAGCCTGAGGCCAGCCGAAACGTCGTCACCGTTGGGCCGCGTAAAACGGCGGCCCACGGATGTTTTCCATATTCTATGGATATCTATGGATATGTTTTCCATCTTTGTCCATAATATATATATATATACATACATATATCTTTTTCAAAAAAAATATATGTGTTTTCTCCAGTTTTTTTGTTCCACATGGTTGATATGTTCCAGTCATGGATGTTTCCGAAGTCATGGAGGTAGCCCCAAAACTCATCCAGCGAGCTTGAAAATCCCCCTCAGCCAGGATTCCAAGACGAGCTGACTCTGAGGAGTGGATCTGAGTCGATGATGATGGGGATTTCCCCTAGGGTCACAAAAAGATGTGGAAAACCCATGGTCTCCCTGTGAAAAGACACAAAAAACCGTAGATTTTCAGGGATTTTCCACATCTATAATTAGTTTATGTTAGTTTACTGGAGATTTATCCTCTGATTATTTACATATATATATATATATAGTTGTTACATAGCCATGAAAAAATATGGCCCATTTAGTTCGATGACAAACACGATGATACACATGATGATTTACCCTTTGCTTATTTTCCTTTGGTTATTATCCTCGGGCTATTTGTTACATACTCGTAGCTATGGAACATCACCACCTTTGATAGTAAATCATTGAACTAAATGGTCCATGTTCCATGACTCAAATGACAGAGGGTAACCATCAACAATAGAGATGTTCCTGGAATTTGATGAGAATACCAGGGGGGATTCTTTTGACCAAAGATGAATTGGGTTGATTTGGAGATGTTGCCAGGAAAATTAGGTACAATCATCTATAATCTATAGATGGACAAGTAAAGGGATATGTCACCAAAAAAATACGGCCATTTGGAGCAGATATTTAGGGGGGGATTCACATCCCGACATGGCCATGAAAATTTTGGGCTATATGTTCAGAGCAACCCATGTAGGAGGTATTCGGAAGGGTATCGCAGCTGGATGTTCCAATTAGGAAGCTGGGGATACAACATAGGTATACATAGGTGCCCTCTAGTCATCAAACGCTGCAATTGAAATTTTACATAAATCTACCAGATACGGAGGATTTTCCCAATAAACCTCCATTTAGAGAGGTTCCTGTTGCCACGTTACCAGAGGGCAAAAAAGGTGATGACACGTCGTGGTGTCCAAACCTCCAGGCATTCTAGTCTCAAGCCGCTTGAAACGTGTCGTTATGCTCCGGCTGCACGTTTCTCCAGTCCACCGTGGGCTACTGGGGCGACCGTTACCCGGACTAGCTCCTTCCGTGCGAAAACGTCCAGCACCGCAATCGTTTCAGTCGCGGCCATCGCGCCTTTCCATGGTGGCCACGTTTGCTTCTTCAAATGTCCCTGTGGCAGCACAGCGGGCAGCTAAAATCACAGGTTTGTATATTGGAGTGATTGGTATTGCCCTCTTTGTTGCGCCTGTGACATGCTTCTCGATCCTCTTCGATCCAACTGAAATCAAGCCAATCTGGATTCGTGTTTTTGGATCCTTGTGTGCATTGCTGGGCTGGTATTACCGAGGAGCCTCACAGGACAGTATCTTGGAGTGCTGGTAAGCTGGTAAGCTTTGGAATCCTTGCCAATCAATGTACAGTATGGATGTGTTTGGAGCACAATCATGACAATTCATATCAATAGTTCAATGAACATTAAATCAAACTTGATCAATATTATTGACATGGATTACATTGAGAAGAATTGACAATAATTCTCAACAATTAACAATCATTAACATACAATAAGTCAACCTTTGAATCCTCAGGTCGAGGATTTCTGGTTGCCACCGTCTCTGGGCGCTATCTGCTGGCCCTGGCGCTCTGCATAGCTGTTGCCATCGACAAGCAGAAGCGAAGCGACCTCAGATGCGAGCCCCGGGGGGCAATAAAGATCAATAAATTAGATGAGCAGTGGCTGAATTCGACCCCTGTTGATTGATAATAGAGAATTATGTAGTGAATTATATAAGTGGGGTTGTACTATTGTTGTACTCAATGTAATGTTATTGGGGAGTATTTTCTCAGCCACCAGTCAAACAGGTTCAATCCCATACGTCACATGTGAAGCGGTTTCATTCGGCGTCCATCCTTGTTTGATCAGTTCGGTTGAAAATAATGCACTTCTAATTACTTTCTTCGATTTCACCTCAAAATTCACGATTACAAACACTTTCTCAACCGGATACATATCTTGCACGCTAGAATCAGGATTTTTGTCCAAATCAGGATTCTTCGGTGCCTCTCTGCCTCTCTGCCCCTCTGCCCCTCTCTCTCTCTCTGCCTCTCTCTCTGCCTCTCTCTCTGCCTCTCTCTCTGCCTCTCTCTCTGCCTCTCTCTCTGCCTCTCTCTTTGCCTCTCTCTCTGCCTCTCTCTCTGTCTCTCTCTCTCTCTCTCTCTCTTTCCACCAACTGGGATACACATGGTATAGACTATGCACACATACATATCATACATGCAAATCCACACCATAATCACCATATATGCAGCCGTACAAAACATGATGGTGCAGATAGACCAGAGATTCTCATGACCCCTTCAGTTTCGATTTTCTGTGCGCTTCAGACTTGGGTCTTCTCCTTCTGGCGGCCACCAACGCTGTGGGGGCCTACTTGATGCATCGCGCATTGAGATGAGCTGCAAAACGGTGCTCATTGCCTCGATGGAACATCAGTTTGCGCTGGAAAGATCTGCCACGGAACTCAGGTGTGATCAGAAGTGTGTCTCACTCATCCGGAAAAAAAAGGTGGAAATCGGGTGCCGGACTGGTTCTTGGTGTCCAGTGTGGCAAGTGTGGCGGCCGTGTGGCGGTCTCAGCTTGGATCACCCTGAACTCCAGGATCTGCAGAGAGGCAAGGCCGATCCGGTGGAAAGTTGACGGATTCCGCCAGGGTTTGGGCATCGATTTATGCGAAGGGAGGACACCCTGTTCCATCTACGTGGTAAAAACCGACATTTGGCTGATTTCTTGGGGGTAGATGTTAGTAAATATTTCGTATGTGGAACATATGGGGCAGATGTGGATATAAACTTGGTTTCCAAACAGAAATGGAGGGTTTACGACTGTAAAGCCATGGTGAGTCATGGAGGGCCAGAAAAACACATTGACCCGGGGCCGCATATCTTGAATGGTGAGGCAATTGCCACTTGCTAGTGCTAGTTGATGGCTTCAAACACTGGATTGGCGGCAAAACTAGCAGAACACCATCGAAAACCGCTTTTTTTTCATGGAAAACAGATGGTTTCACGTAGATGTTCCTTGAATCTACCTGGAAAATCAGGATTCCTCGAAGTTTCACCGCGCCAGTGCTTACCTTTTTCATCCTTTTTCGGTGGCCACTGCGCAGGTGAAGATAGAGATCAACTTGAGGCGGATGAACTTGAGAACGATGAGGACAAACAACTGGGCTCAGTTGGGTTTGTGCGCTTTGTGAAAACATGTGAAAACCATACACGCAACAGTATCAAATAAATAAATAAATAAATATACATATATATATTTATCAATATATATATCAATATACATATATATATATATATCAATATACATACATATATATATATATATCCATATGGTTTCCAATGTATGGAGCAATTGAGATATGTTTTCCAATGATCAACATGGAAATCAATTCAGACTGTTACTTTAGCTGGGTGTACTGGCCCTTTTAAAGCCCTTGGTTTTGCAATGCAATGAGAAAGCAACGCTTGGCTGTGTCGGTTCGGTGTGCCACTTGAGTATGATATAATATATATATTAATATATAATATATAATGTATATAATGTATAATGTATAGTATATAATATATGATATATTATATATATAATATATCATATATCACATATCATAAAATGTCAACCCTGGATTAACAAACCCCTATGCTGTTTAATTGGGAGGGTACCATTTAAGTATTAGATTATGACTATGGGAGGAGTACCCCCCTAATTAATAAACCATGGTTTATTAATCCGGGGTTGACATTATAATATACAATGTATAATATACAATGTATAATATACAATGTATAATATACAATGTATAATATATAATGTATAATATATAATGTATAATATATTATATATGATATATAATATATAATATATAGTATATAATATATAATATATAACATATAACATATAACATATAACATATAACATATATTATGTGATATAACCAAATATATTATATTATATATATAACATATATTATGTGATATAAAAATATAATATATAATATATAATATATAATATATAATAGATAATATATAATAGATACTAGATAATATATAATATATAATATACAATATACCATATATATTAATATATGATATATGATATATAATATATAATAATGTATAATATATAATATATAATATATAATATATAATATATAATATATAATATATAATATATAATATATAATGTATAATATATAATGTATAATATATGATTATATGATATATGTTTATATAATGAAATATAATATAATTTAATGCAATGCAATACATTATAATATAATATAATGGAATATAGCATAGCTGGCCTGAACGACAGCATGTTTTTTGTTGGCGACTGGAACGGTGGCATAGCAACAATAGTAATCAATCGTGGCACTGGAAAATCCTCCATGAATGGAGCTTTCGAAAGGGAAAATCATTGGTTTCTAAATTAGGGATTTAATGATTTTTGATGATTTCTAAATGAGGAAAATCATTGGTTTCTAAATGATAATTGCTATGTTATGTTTGAATGAAAATCATTGGAAAAATGAGGGCTGTCTGAACTAAAATCATTGGAAAATCTGATTTTTACTATGTTTGATTGTAATTGCTATGACCCAGGATGACATGTTATGGTGTTCGCTGAATTTTGCGCGGAGTCTTTCGACTAGTGACTAGTCAGTCACTTCAGGAGGGTGAGATCCTGTACTTTGGCGGAGTTTCACAAGAGAGGAAAGAACCAGAGGAGTGGCAGCCGTCCATCCATGATGGGGATGGATCAGGTCAAAACATACCTGTGCCAGCATCAGCCATGTGGTGAGTATATCGTCTTCACCTAAATGCATACAAAATCATGGTAGCAAGTAGTTACAGACCACCCAAATCCTCTGAACGATGCTGAATGAAGCGTTGATAGATGGCAAGTGTCAACCACTTTGAGGAGACTGAAGCCATGCAAATTGCCTCCCGCATCAACGAGGCCATAGTTGCGCAGAAATATGTGCTGCGATGTTCTCCATATTTCCTCAAATGTGACTGAAACAACTTCAACGAACATCAAAATAACTATAGATGAATTATGGTAAATTCAAATTGAAGATGATTCTTTTAATTTAATGAATTGAACTTGATATGTCAACATATTTGTGGATTTATTCAGATATTGAAACATGCTGTTGAAACCAGCAACAGAAGCGTCCTGGCATGGCGTGCATGGCGTTTCGCATGGCGTTTCGCATGGCGTGAAACGCATGGCGTAAAATTTCGACCACGGAGGCGCTTGCTCTGCGACGCGTCGCGCAGTCCCAGCCTGTCGAAACGGGCCCCGTTGATACGGCCTGGTGCGGAGCTCCCAGGGTTCGTCGAACTTCGTCGAACGTTGGCCAAACTGATGGTGGGCTGATGGGAAATGATGGAAAAATATCACCGAATATATATATATATAATCTTATGTATATATATATATTTATGTATTATGATATATATATATATATAATCCCATATATGCCACATAACTATATAACCAACCATTTAATGGGTTAAGTATGATTATCTGTGTATATATAATTATATACATATGGAGAAATTATAACGACCTCACTGCGACCTCACTATAACGATGGTTAATAAGGGGACACATCTCACAATAGCCTCGATTCAGTTAGTGAACCATTATATTTTTTTCAGTGTATATTCTATAAGATATTATAACACACTATAAAACTCTCTATACGTATGTATATATGTATATATATATATATATTGATGATCCTATAGGCATAATTGTTACACATGAGATATTCTCTGAGAATTGAAGAGTTTGTGATGGAACATGCCCCATTGTTTTATATTGTTGTATATCATGTTATATCAGCTTGATAGCCTCCAACCTACATGATGAACTATGCGAGCTATATGACCCTGCCATGAGTGAGGGCTTGGAAGTCCACCGTGGAGGTACGATGAGCTTGGCGTTCTCCCAAACGCCACCAGCGAGCAGATTCGTCTGAAGTGACTCGAGGGAGAAGGTTATGATCGCCAGTGGCAACGTAGTTCCAAGCATAAATACGTAGAAACAGATAGAAACGCATAAGTGTCCAAATGTTTCCACTTTGTTCATCACTTTGTCGCGAGAATTCGGATCAGCAGAAAGGGCATGCTTTGAGAATTTTTATAAGATCTTTTTTAGGGTCGTGAGATGGTATCTGCTTCTTGGTATCTCTACCTTGCCCATCTTGCCCATCCCATGCTTTCTGTGCTGCAAGGTATCTGGAAATCGCTGAAACCGTGGAGGCCCCGTTTCTCTCAGCCGATGGCCGCCGATGGCCTTGCAGAGCTCTGGAAATCAACTGGCATGGATGGTGTGTCCAAATTTTTGATGTTTTTTCGGATGCTGTTTCCCGTTTTGCAAATCTTGGAGTATGTTGGGGTGGGGGTTGGGGGTCGGCAGACACAGTGGTTGACATCGGCTCCAGGAAGATTTGGCCTACCTCTTGGAACAAGGCTAGTAGGAGTGAACACTGGCTTTGTTGCATGTGCTATGTTAGAGATGTCAAGGTACGCCGGTTGATAGGTGGTTTATCCTATTACTTATAGGGTTTCAACCATCCAAGGTGGTGCAGGATTTCTTTCATCCACAGTATGTTAGAGATGTCAAGGTACGAGTTATGATATGCCTGAATTTGTGTGACAGCCCATGACCATTCGGACGTGCCACAGGTGAGGGTGGCTCCTACCAGGACTGAAGCAACACAGCATGGGATTCCCCAAAGTGCCAAATCCGTCCACTTTGTCACGAACTGTGGAAACACATCTTGCTCCTGCACATTTGTAAACCTACCAAAACCGTCCAAAATGGTCGAAATATATGACAATTATGTGACACGTTTACCTGTTACAATCATTGTGAAATTTATGTGATGCGAGATGTGAGAATTCGATAACATTGTACATACTTGGTGCATCAATGTATCAACAAGACCGCTATCACTGTGGTCACTTGTGCAGGCGCAACTTGAAGCCAGAGATGACGAGGAAGATGACGAGTACAGCTGGACTCGATGGGAGGTGCTTCGCCGAATGGGGTGAGTTGAGCATGGATATGGATATCAACGGATAAACTATGATAACCCCCCCTGTTTTAATCTTCAAAAAAACGGTGATAAACCATGATAAAACTGTTTCATATGTTCAAACAGCAGATATCTGCGGAATGTCAGGACGAAGGCGAAGACGCCATCACCCTGCAGCCCAAGAGTGACATTATGGAGGTGACGGCCAGATGCCAGCGCCGAAACGTCACCATGGGATACCATGGGTCGAGGGGGCGATTCCTGTACTCTTGATGTTCAAATGTTTGACCACAGGTTGAAAGGCCGGAAAGACAATCTTTAGTTCTGTTTGACTTGTTTAAACATATGTACTGCGGTGCACAAAAAGCCCATGCTACATGTGGCCGCAGGCCCCAGAAGAGGGTGGCCCAGAAGAGGACCATCATTGGCGCACCTCATTTGTATCGCCGTATATGTATTAGACATATTTAGACATGACATAAGGTACTTCTTTCTCCATGCAGCTCCATGAGCCAACCACATTCCCATCCAATTCTCTGCGGGCCTCGTCGTGAAGCGACAAGAAGTACTGCAAGAAGAAGAACGTGCGTCGTCATCACCAGGTTTGGTTTTCTTGTCACTGTCTGGCAATATCTGACAATATCTGGCAATAGTCTCATCTAGTCCCAGGATGGGTCATTTTCTGTACGGAGAGCCACAATGCAATGGTGACCGAAGGAAGCTGAGATTTTGGCGCAAGAGTTCTACCGGGTGTCCAACCTCTACCAGGCTGAATCTTCTGACGCGATGATTCATCCGTAACTCATAAGGTCTCACCACTGTTTCGAGGTTCCAAAACGCCCATGTTGGAGTTTGTTTGAGATGTATCATAGACTTTCGGTCAGATCCTGGTTATGAATAGTATGAATAGGCACGGTGCTGCTGCTGGTGAATTGAGCTGGCACGATAGTACATCCGGAGCGATTGTCGGGGGTTTGCCTCACTCGTTTTGTGGACCAAGCCCGTTTCTGGTAGAGTCCCATCGACGTTGCAAAGCACCGCTTCAACACTGAAGGGTATCGTTTCATTCCCCCAAACTGAAGCTGAAACTTCCCAACTTCGCACCCGGAGCACAGCTGCAACCCTTGACATCCCTTGACGCTTGCCGCAGATTCTCTCCGTCCCTTCTTTGCGGAAGATCTATGATGAGGGTGGCGTCGAAGGTCTTGCGATGCGGGTGCCGGCATTGTCCAAGGGACTCCTGGAGCCCGAGCGAGTCCTGAAAATGGCTCAGGGGATCAAGGCGCGGCCAATTTGGGGGCCATTTAAAATGGGCCATCTATATCGGTCCAAATCAGTGTTTTGCTCAAGGCATTGTCCCATGTCATATATATATATACTACACAAATCGTTGTTTTTTTTCAGATTTCAGACATGGACATCATGACATATCATGACATATCATGACATCATCGAATTCATCGACGAAGCAGACCTAGACCGACCTAGAGCGCCATGCCCCGGCAGACCCCGACCAAACAGAGAGAAAGCCTTTTGCTCCGCCTGGGATCCTCAGATGGGATCTATGTGGCCTCCCAGGCTCAGCAGAGATCTATGATCTATGAACAATTAATATCAATTAATTACACTACTGGTTGGTGGTTTGGAACATGATGTTTATGACTTTCCATTCAGTTGGGAATGGAAAAATCATCCCAACTGACAAACTCATATTTTTCAGAGGAGTTGAAAACACCAACCAGATTATCATTAAACATGAAAAAAGAAGAAACAGTTTGGAACTTCAGAACATCGAAATCTTGAGAACATAAAAAAGAGATCTTCAGATTCTGAATAAAGATGTTCTTAGAGATCTTCAGATTCTTAAAGGTCTTAGTTGCCCTCTCGAGATCTTCAGAACATCCAACTAGCACCCGACCAAAAGCATCCTTTAGCAGCCCAAAAAGGTCGTGAGCCCCGCATCCAGACCTTCCGCAGATACCAGGGGAAGAATTCCATCCGCCAGGCCAGACAGCCCAAAAAACCACCGATGGCACCCTTGCGGAATCGGAACATGAAAAAACTACCATCTGGTTATGACATTGCCATGATTGCCATGGAAAGATGGAACACCATTTTATAGCTAGATTAGCTAGGTAAACCATCTATTTCTATGGGCCATCTATACCATGGCGAACTGTTAAATAACCAGATGGTAACTGATGGCTTTGAATGAAAATGAATGGAAGTTCTAGCTATACTGCGATATCCTGCGATCATTTGTGTCGATGACTTAGTGCAGGTGCTGCGCCGAATCACGGACTGCATCCGAGTGTGGCTTGAGACTCTGCAACAGACGGACGATTGTTCAACCGATGACTGGGTTGATGACTGGGTTGACGACTATCAACTGGTCATCAAACGTTTCTAGCTTGAAAATCCCCAAACTAAATGGAGGTTTCTAGCTGAGCAAAATCATTTGTAAGGGTATCCGACTGCCGACAGCAAGGTGCTTCAAGAGCAGTGAGAGCTTAAAATTTCGAAGGAGCAACTTGGCAAGCGCTTGGTAATTTTCGCGGAGACCTGGATGCCACGGAATTATCCAAGATTTACAAAGAGGTATCTTTCAATTATCGTAGAACATCCTTTAAATTATCTCACAAATATCTACAAGTTCATGTTTTGTTACTGTGAGTCCATTTGTGATACTATTCCCACCAGTTCTAAGACATATTATTGTTCAGGAACAAAAATAAAGATAGGATTGTTGTTTCAGAGCATTTTCAGGTCCAGACCTGAAAACTGGGTGCACCCTCTATATATCCCCAACAGTAAAATGGCCACAATATGGGATGTTGATCCGCAATCTTCAGACTCCCACATATACTGTGTTTTTTTATTTACCATTACCCTCTGGTAATTTAACATAGCTATTGAAAATGGCCCATTTAGTTCGTGGATTTACCCATTGAACACGGTGATTTTCCATAGTTATCTAAACGTTTACCAGGCCGGGTATAACCAGTTCGGGTCTTTTTAACCCCCCATTTTCACCCAAAAATGGGTGATTTGGTGCCGAAAGTGGGAGAAAATCCAGCACCAACTGAGACACCATCTACGAGGAGCTTCCAGAGGTCGGAAAGTTGGGATGACCCTCAGAGATCTGGGGTGACTGGAGAGATCTGGAGCCAGATGTGCTGTATTTTTTTTGTAGATACATATATATATATATGTATATATATATAGTGATACATAAAACATCATAAAAGAATATAAATAAGATAGTCCCTGACATGTTGACAGTGATCTAATCTAGTGTTTTCGTCCTACTTTTGGAAGAGCCCAACCTGGATCGAGGTAGCGGTCTTTGGCCGAGTGAACTCTGGGAAGTCGGTGGGATTCTGAGCGCCAAAAAAGCTTGGAATGGAGATTCCCGGCCGGTCTTCGTTGCAGAGGACCATCCTGGTTGATGTTTTAAGCTGGTAGAGGTTGGAAATGGTTGGAAATGGTTGGAAATGGTTGGAAGCACTCAAGCAGAGAGGCGCGCTTGCCCTAAGGCAATGCTGCAGCACTTGTTCAGTGCGACAAGCCCAAGGAAGAATGGCCAGCGCCCGAGCGTTCCAATGCGGCAGTTCCCGGCAATTGGTGATCAGGGGTATGGCGACCACAAATGGGTTACCAGTGGATTCAGATTTCTAATTTGAATAGATGCAAGATATGGCAAAACTGTTGCACTAAACATCACTCAGCCATCTATTTTGAATGATTTTAAGCCATTGCCACATCTTCTGACATCTTCTGACCCAAGACCAAGGCCATTTCTCAATCTCGCAGAGACCTGGCAAGACAAAGGCAAAAAATGCAAAGGTTTCCGTATGTTGAATACCAGACTGACATAGTTTTGGTCCCAATCCTTACGGACTTTGTTATACCTTGTCAGAACTTGTCCAGAAATGATAAAAAAATAGCCATGAATACTAGCCATTAATGTATATAAGATGTGGTCATTATATATATATGGGTTATATGGATAATACACATGGTTAATGGCACACCTCCAATAGGTAGTGTGTGGATGTGACCACGTTCCCAAGGGGATCGCCTGGCCGCCAGGGAATCCAAGTGTACTGCATGAACCGCCGCTTCACCGTGGCAGATATGCCCGGCTATGGGCAAGCTGCCCTGCAGACAGAGGCGAGTCCGTGATTCTTGAATGATTCCGTCCAGTGATTTTTTACATGACTTGCGAAGATTTCCAATGATTTTCAATGTGCAAAGATCATCAGCTGCTTATCATTAGGAAGCAGCGGCTGTACATGAGAAGTGGAATGGGCAGTGGAAAAACGTGATCAAGGACTGACTTTGGCAGTGACAGATGTCACGTGACGTGATACCGTGATATGGACTCCCCATGTCTCCAGGTGTTTGCCATAGACAACATACGCCGTAGATTCTTATATAAAATGTGAGTTACTGTATGTTGTCATGTATGTATATAATATAATATATATATATAGACCTATCCACCTATTTTTCGAGGACGATGCTGTCACAGACGTGACGTTAAAAGAAGTGTAGCTCTGTCATGCCTTGAGGACTATCTCAATACCACGCATTGGTTGAGAGCGGCCATTTACGTTCACGAGATCTCCAAGGATGTCCGAATCAAAGTTACATTTTTAGTTACAACAGATATCAACAGATCGTTTCTTTGAAACTGATGTGAAAGTCTTGACCCCAAAATCTGGTCTGGTACTGCCCGGCCAACTAAAAAAAGACATGGCAAATCATGGCAATGATCATGGCAATTCATATAGCTATGGCCGCCTATGGCGCAGTTCCCCTCATCCGCCAGATCTCTGCAGCATTGAGGTTGTCAAGGAAGATCTCGAGACGATCCAGATGCTGAGGACATGTGGGGCCTAAATCGTTCACCATGACCTCCCAGATGAAACATCGATCAACATGTGTGATCTTTCAATGCGATAGTGTGATCCCCAGCCCAGCGCAATGCACCCATGATACGCTTGACACATTTTTTGATGTCCAATATATCCGCAATATCCGGACATTTTTTTTAATGACACAAAGCTTTCACACATGGACTTCGCAACATGTTGTTACAACTCATGATGCAGCATTGTACTCAGTTCATCTCAGTTCCAACCAAAGAAACATCACATCCCACGAACATTTGCGGAATATGGCACGTGGTCGTGGCCGTGGCATCACTACTTTTTTTTAAAGAGTAACTTGGGGCTGCCAATTACTTCCGGAATGGAAGCAACAAAGTTTGAACGCACTCAAATTACCCTCTAGGAAAATCACCATCTTTGGTACGTAAATCATCTGTAAATGGGCTATTCTCCATGGCTATGTTCAATTACCCGAGGCTAGAAATTGAAATTCAAACCACACAGGAAAATGAAGATCCCCATTCTGCTGGTCTTCACCAAGGATGACAAGGCGGTGCAGTGTTGGAGCTCATCCTCGCCAGCCAATGGTTGCAGAATCACTCGATTTTGAGAAATCATAGGATTGATCATATTTTGATCATCATATTTGATACATTTTTTATCATAGAATTCATATTTTGATTAATTGATCATTATATTTTGATCATATGTTGATCATAGAAATCATATTTTGATCATAGAAATCACCATAGAAATCACTACATCTATGATCATTTATGTCGTTTTCACCGTTTGAATATCTTGACACTCTCGAAAAATGCGAGCCGTCGGCTCGCCGACGGCTCTGGGAATCCGTGTCCAGGTGGATTCTGAAACTCATCGTCACCAGCGGGTGATGAAGCTGAGGCGAATGGTCATAACATCTGGGTAAATTATAACGACCTCACTGCGACCTCACTGGAATCATGGTTAGTAAGGGAAAATATCCCCAAATAGCCTTAATTCAGGTTAGTGAAATATTATTATTTACCCAGATAACATGTAAAATACATTGTGTTTTTTTTGATAAAGAGTGTGTACTAGTATTTATTACTTTTTTTCAGGGGTTAGTATCCTTCATTGCTTGTTTGTGTCACTAGTGATCATTTAGTGTGATGTGTTATGGTGTATCATTACTATCTAGTGTTGTTGTTGGTTTTGTTTAGTGTCCTAGTTTTATAATTATGTCTAATTCTTTGTGTTTTCAATGTTCTCATCATTATTATGTGAGTATAAATGTTAAATCATTTCCAGTATTAATATATATATATATATATGTATATCAATATCAATATAAATATCACTATAAACATCAATATCAATATTGCTATTCATATGGTTAATCATATTCATATTCATATTATTGTTATGCATTGTTAATCAATGCTGCTCGTTGGTCATCATTATACACTAATTGTCATTCCACTTGGATTTATCAAAACTTTGGGAACCCACATAGTGACAAGCTGGCGTGTATAAATGAACTGTTTTCACTTCTGGATGTTCCGATGCGAAGTGCGCATTGAAAGCTTCCCATTGTAGCTGTCATGTCTCCTGCACATCTCGCAGCTGTAGTTTAGCAATGCTTCACCAAGCAACTACCCTCTGGTAATTTAACATAGCTATTGAACATGGCCATTTATAGTGGATTTTCCCATGAAAAATTGTGATTTTCCATAGTTATGTTAGTTTACCAGAGGGTACTGTAAGTCCAATGGCCAAATCTGGCACATTCGCGTCACTGCAAGAGAACCACTAGCTGAACGCTATCAGCATGAACAACAGCTGCCATTGAGCCATGAAACCGATCTGACGCAGCAATTTTCTACGGAGATTGCCATGGAGGGAGGCCCTGAAGGAGTTCCGACGTCGGGTCTTCCCGGAGAAGCGCCACCTTTCCTATGGGTCATCATCATTGCAGCTGCTGTGCTATGGTGGCTGTGGCCATGGCTGGAACGCTACTTGGATTTCCATGGGGAAACGGCAGCAACGGTGAGGGTGCAGCAGTGCAGCATCCCCAAATCTTCATGGGATACAAAAAACAACAAGTCGATTTGCAGGTAGCAATGGGATCCAATGGGTCTAAACTATGTCAAGTTGGGTCCAGATCTTCATGGCGCCTGCCGCAAAAAATGAGTGTGTCCCTTAGAGACACCCCCCCGCGCCCTGGAAGGTTGGCAGGAATCAAGACGAGCTGCATCACAGCCACCCGTTCCACAAGATCGAGCGGTGATGGAAATGATGGCACATGCAGCGCTTTGTTGGCACAGATAACATTTAAAAAAAATTAACATAGCTATTGAAAATGACCATAGAAATAGTGGATTTTCCCAGCTATAACATGGTGATTTTCCATAGTTATGTAAACGTTTACCAGAGGGTATCGATGAAAACATGATTGACGTTGGATTGGACTTTGACAGACAACCCAGAAACATGACCCAGAAACAGATGCTGCTCTGGTGAAGAGCTCCGAAGCTGTATCTAATTTATCCAATTTGCTGGTGCAATGTAAGCCACTGAATAAATGTGTGAAATGGGGTGGTGAAAAAAAATTGAAAGGCCTCGTTTGTGAAAAATCCGATACAAAGCTGGTTGACCTGCAAATCTTCAAAATATATTGGTACGTTTTGTACAAAGCTGGATTTTCTATCCAAGGAATGGTAGAAGGTTGCCCGAAGCAGTCCCTCAGAAATGTGGACCACGATAGTGAGATTGTAAAGTTTGTACGGTTTAGCGCCGAGATTTCTTCTAGACATTTGGTTTCTTCCAGCCGAAGAAATAATAATACATACAAATACCATTTCTGAAATTACAAAGGATTCAGAACCCAACCAGTTCAGACTTGATCCACTTGAGTATGTGCCTTTGATTCCATCGGATTGTTGTCTCATTGAAGCCTTGACAGAAAAAGCTGGCGAGTTGAGTTCAACAGTTTCCCCCAGGTGGAAAAGGAGAAAGAGGAGGTCAAGGAAGTCCCAGAGGAGGCTGTCATGAGGCCCTTTTGGGCGATTTGATGTGAAATGGATAACTCTTGGAAACAGCTGTCCGACATGCTGCTAAAAAGGGCTTCATATCGGAGTAGCTTCTGAAGAGCTCCCGGATGAAACTTCGGCCCGGTTGTCGGATTGTGATGGGCCCCGATTGTGGCCCTAGTGCAGTTTTGAGTTTTGAGCAAAGCTTTGAAACGAAGCGAGCGGTCAAAGGTGTCAAACCGATGTTCCAGCAATTGACTCCAACTACTGCACCATTGCAGACTGAGGGACCAAATTTGTGAATGTTGAGATGTGAAGTATGTTGGATTTAAAAATTTAACATAATTTAACCTATATTTGTTGGATATATGGTATATATATATATATATACGTATATATATATATATGTTGGATTATATGGTATATATGTTGGATATTGTTGGATTATATGTATATATGTTGGATCCTCCATGTCAGCCTTTCACCAGGCCAGATCTGGGTTTCGATCCCGAAGAGACCTTCAATGAGAACTATGCGGAAGCATGTGACCTGCTTCAGCACATCCTATCTGTTCCACCCATGGGTGAAAAGTTCACCGCAGCTGTGTCGGGCTTACATTCCTTGGCGAATATCCTGGATCGCCTTTTTCAAGCCTGGGCAGATGAAAAAGAGAAGCTGGACGATGGCGTTTTTCGTTTTGATGCTTTCTATTCCGTGAAGATGTGTACGTTTAGGTGCAAAACCTCGGATGTATGTATATATATAATATTCACTTTACATGCAACGAATTGCAATCATCATCTCTATAAATAATATACATATTACATGTATGATAATCACACGTGTGATGTATTGAAGAACATGACGAGTCCCAAAATATGTGATGTATTCACATATCTTTGGGGCTTCCTGGCCCAGGAAATTTTCGCAGATCAAGGAAGACAGCGATGCCTTCCTCAAGAGCTTTGGAACGTCCGACAGCGCCTTGCGGAAACTCCTGGCGCATGCGGGCTTCCAACGGCAGGCGGCTTGGCTGTGTTGCATCTATGATCTATGTGTATTGTATCAAAATTATATCATATATAGATGGAATATGCATTCTAAACATACACATAGTTGGAATATGTTGGAATATGTTGGAATATGTTGGAATATGTTGGAATATGTTGGAATATGTTGGAATATGTTGGAATCCATTTAACTTGGGCTCCATTTCTGTGTAAGATTTCATGATCTGGTTGGCCAGGTGACAGAATCTTCCAAGTCTGTCTGGTACTTCGATCGACAAGATCCTGAAATCCGACTGAGAGGACATGGGTCATGACTGATGTCCCCATGGGTCACATCACCCAACCATGAATGGTATATAATCTACTAGATGGCTACTATGGTTGGTGATGTCCTTTATATTCCCAAAATGGGACAGTTACCAACCCCTGGAGGACTCACCGTCCGACTGTGTTTGCAGCGCTTCTCTGAACTACAGAGGCACCGGTTCTTTGCAGTCCGTCGTCCCGTCGTCCCGGTGTTTACCGGGAGTATGGTCCGGTATGGTGAACACCCATCCCCTACCAGACCTACCATGAACATCCATGAACTATGTGATGATTGATGATTGGCAAGGGTTTGACCCCGGTTGTTCCAGGCTGCGGGGCACCCATCGCTGGGCCCAGTCCAACAACTCTGCGGTGGTTCCCAGTGCAGATGCATCGTTGTACGAGTTGCTGGAGCTGTACAAGGGCCCTGATGCAGAGGGAGAACGACCTTCCATTCGAGAACGAAACGTGGCAAATTTCAAGCAGCAGTTTTCTTCAAGTTTCAAACATTCCATGTGGCATTCCATGATATTCCATGTTTTTTTTTTGACGGGTTGAAGTCAAAGACTAGGAAACCTGGAAGCAGAAGTGCGTGCCAAGATTCAGGAGACTTGGGGAACTTGGGGCTGAGAGTGGATGATTTCGTGTGCAAGTCAGGCAATCACATAGATGAAGAAGTGGTTCCAGCTTCGTGTGTCAAAAGAGCGTAACATTTGGAAATGTTCAGTCCAATGGGGTAAAATGACACCGTCACAGCTGGGTGTGGATCATTGAAAGTGTTGAACTCCTCAAGTTCGAATGCCTGGGATGCTGCAATTCTATCTGTTTTGTTTGTATCTCATTTATATTCATGTCCCCTAAATCAAATTATTGGGATCTATTGGCGGGGTTCATATACATATATATATATGCTAAGCGGCCCTTCCAGTGCCTACCTTTTCTTACTACTAGTACGGTTTTAAATATGGTTATCATCGGTTAGTCTTAAAAGATATATAACCAATGTTTTTTCCAAATTCTAAATGCTACATATTCACTATAGTAGCACTTCTAAACCACTTTTTCATCATTCTCTATCATTGCTTCCCTTTCAGAAAGTTGAGTATGCAGTGTATATATATATAATTATATATATACATATGCTTTGAAAACCCTCAGCACAGCGGTATTCTTGCATACACACATACACACATACACACATACACACATACATACATGCCTGCATCAATACATGAATACATGTGAATACATGAATACATGAATATGTGAATACATACATACTCCGTCACTTTTGCTGGTTATATTGCCCATTGTTTGTCGGTCAGTTCCCCATTAGCTCCACAAATCACTTCCAACCATTCCAATCAAGATATATCCCCACCAAATTGGGATAACAATAAAAACCATCCAAACATAAAAAAGAGCAAACACCTCTAGAAATAATGTTGCAATGCTTCACCATCGTATGCGTTGGTACATCTTTGAGCCCTTTGCGCCAGCCGCAGCTTGAATTCTTTGCCCTATCCACAAAAATCACAGAACCGAATAAAACCTTCCGGTAATCCACCTAGAAAAGCCAATAAACCTTCCAATAATCCAGCACGAAGACCTTTCCCAACTCTTCATCCCATGTTTTCTTCGTCCGAGGAGCGCCGTGCCGAAGCTCAGCTCTCCGGGCTCACGTTGCACGAGGGTTTGGCGTCAGCAGCCAGGCGCCTGGCGCAGAGGCAGCGCGTGGGCGAACGACAGGCCAGCCCGGCCAGCCCCACGGGAGCTGAGGATCCAGTGGTCATAGTTAGTCTTAAAAACATCCACTGGTCAATGGATTGGTTTAAGGGAAAATCTACAGGAAACCAGGAAACCATAGATTTTCCCATTAAATATGGGGTTTTCCTGTAAAATTTTCCTTAAACCAATCCATTGAACTGGTTAAAGATAGTCCACCATAGTTAGTTAGTGATTAGAACATAATGTGAGTTATTTTTTAACTAATCCACTGGTTAGATCTGGTTAGTAATGTCAACCCCAGATGAATGAGTATAATAATTAAAGCCATATAAAGGCTGTTGAATTGGGGGTTAGACGTATATCAGATTATACGTAACTATTTGGAGAGTATACCCGTAATTAATAGACCACGGCCTATTAATCCGGGGTTGACATTACTGATGAACCTGGCAGGGTTCTCTTTGAACCTCCAAACTTGCATAGAATTGCCATGTGGGGGGTGTACCCCATTTTTGGACAAGACCACATGGGAATCAAACAAACAAACATTTTCTGTGATTTTTTCATGGGATATTTTCAGTGGGATAGAATTCAAGAACCATGTGGTTTTTTTTGATGGGAAGTCCATATTTCAATCTTTGGCCCATTTCATCCCATTTCAATAGGGAGTAAAACCAACTCATGGGGATGAAACCAGAAAGGTATCTTCCAACGATGGCCGAATTTCGGGGCGAGTGGTGTGAAGTTCACCCTTGGGCATTGTTCCTTGGGGATGGGGGGAATGACCATCTCCAATTTCTGGTGTTTCGGCATGCTGATGCACCATGATCGAAAAGTTTTCTGTGGCAAAGCCATTGTTGAAACTCATTTCTTTTCAGATGTTTTAGGTTTTTTTTCAGGTTTCTGGGTTTTCCAGAACTATATATATAGCAATTGTTCATTGGGACACTGGCGATTTTGGCGACGATCCATGTGATCCATGACCGCTACAAGTCGTATCCCAGGGAAAATCGCAGATGACGAAGCTTCGCTCCAGCGATGTGCGGGAGCTCTTGGCGAAGATGCCATTGCCACCAGGTGGCTCCGAGGAATTTGGCGGAATTTGGCACCGGAGAAAAAAGCCATCGATTACCCTTGGGCAATCAAACGTGGCAATAGGAAATCCCTTATAAATGCAGGTGTTCAGGTAAAAATCATCCATATAATCTATATATATATATCTATACTGTAAATATCTGTAAATGGGGTGTGTTCAATTGCCACGTTTGATTACTGAAGGGTATACCTCATGGCCAGATTATAATCATGAACTATATAATATCCTCAAACTGATCAAGACTGATCAAGACTGATCATGTTTGGGCGTCTTGATGAGGTAGCATGACTTTACCCAAAACGAGCCACAGACTGCTACATCCACGAAGCCAGGATTCACTGCAGCACAGCTCTATTTCCGCAGTACCGAGCTGCCAAGTATCTTTGGGTTGACGAGCAGTACGGGATCCGGTGCCACCCCGATGGGTGGCAAGAATGACGAGAAGGCTTGGGGATGTCATCACGAGAAGCCAACGATGGGTATCATGATCATGCAGCGAACATGTGGGTTTGGCTGAAAACAAGGCACATCTCAAAATCAATATATATATATATATTAATATATAGTTCATCATGTCCCATTTCATTGGCCATTTTGGGGTATCCCCAATTTTCGAGAAAACAAACAAATACTTGTATGTCAAGTGGACTCTCCCATGTTGGCGCGTGCACGGCGCAAAATGTGCAAAGTATGTTCAGCACGGCGCTTCAAGCCCAGCTGCTAGAGGGCTACTGGTTAGCTTTTGGTGTGTTGTTCAGCTCCTGGCTGATAGCCAAAACGAAACGTTGGGAGGACAAGGACAAAGCGGCCGACATCTTGGCCCGCGAAGCTGTTGGCTATTGGGCCGTGCGACAAGCACAGGATGTGGCATGGCCAAGCGCCAGCCTCTGTGGTGTTGGCGCAGCCCTTGACTATACTGTGACTTGAGGGAAGAGAGGGATGGAAGATGCAGCATGGTGCAATCAGCTGAAGGTTGAATCCCCAGGTTGAATCAAACTGAAACTTTTAAATCCACAGTTTCGGCATGTGTGGACCGAGTAAAGTTCACAGGGTGAAGTTGAGTGGAAAAAACACAGTACTCCATTCCATCTCCATTCCAAAAATAATTGGAAGCCCCTTCTAGCCCATTAAAGTCCATGAAAACTCATTAAAGCAGTTACCCTCTGGTAAACTAACATAACTATGGAAAATCACAATTTTTGATGGGAAAATCCACTATAAATCACCATTTTCAATAGCTATGTTAAATTACCAGAGGGTAGTAGCTGTTGACCCAGCCTCCCCTGGTTGAAAACGAAGGTCAACCGCGGCTTCGTTGTAGCTTTGCTGATCGGTCCTGACCTCGGCATACCATGAGCAAACCATATCCCATGACGGATCCATGGTGCTGGCATATATACTAACATCAAGGGGGTATATTGATGGGATCCATGTTACCATATATAGCAGCACCATGGATCCTATGGGTATGGTTGTTGACAGTCGTATTTAAACTATTTTAAACTGATTGCTTTAACGGACACAAATTTGGACACCGTGCTGCAGGCTTTGAGGGAGCCACTGTGGAGGAGGCTGGATGTTTCCACATGTTTCCACCACATCTTTTCAAGATTTTTAAGGCATCCATATATTATATGTTCCGTTTGCAGCTAATAGCCTCCCAAGATAGCCACTAATAGATATCCTAATGATTGCAGAAACCTCCCAAGGTTTTGCATATAACCATAGGCATTATTAACCACTATTAATAGGCATTAATAACCATTAATTAACTATATTATTAACCATAGCTGTAAAAAAAACAACTTCCCCATCTTCAGCAGGCCCGGCCCTGCAACGACCCAGGCCTCGACCTCGCAGAGGAGTGCCATGCAAAGCTTGCGACGGCGTCAGGCAGCGGCAAAGGAGGCGGCCAGCAAGGCCCAGCCCAGCGCTACGTTTGGTGCCTTGGTGGGTCATGGGCGACGGGTCGTGTTGGGCTTCTCTGAAACGGGGAAAACCAGGGGGCAAACCATGGCAAAAGCCAAACTCCAATGGAGTTCATCGTATTTTCTTCCACTGAAATATATTCGAGCATGTTACAATGTTGGCGCTTCATCCGCCATTTTCAGACACACCCATATGTGAATTACAAGAGTAAATTCTCAACTAGCATCACAAATCAATGGGGGGGTTTGATTTACCATGCTCTGCTCATGTTTGCTTGGTGATTGTTTACATGTTTCATCTTCATTTCGAGTTTTTGGTTGGAGTGACCACAACATCACCATGAGGCAAACCGGTAAATATTGGACAAAGTTATAGCCGTTATAGCTTGGTTTAGATTCACCCCATGAATATAGTTGTATACCCCCACAAACATCAATAAACCCATAGGTACACTATAGTTATATTCCCGATACACCCAACGTTGACCAAGTGAGCTGTGCACTTAACTCTATGGCAGTCCTGCAAACCTTCAGCGCCCAAAGATGGTGAGAGGTAGACAGATTGGCAACGGAAAAGTACCGGATTTTTGGCTATTTGGCTTCTTGGATTACTTTTGGGTTTCTTGAGTTCTAGGTTTCTTCAGCTCTTAGAAAAACGAGATCCAACGTCCAACAAAAACAAGAGCAGCAATTTCAGCCCAAAGTGCTGCACATAGAAGTAAGATAAGATATTTCAGCACAAGGACGCTGTAATTTCCGTTCAAATCAGACATACCTTAAATCAACCTTCAATATGCTACAAGATTGGTAAAAATTCAGCAGAAGAAGCAGAGAATGCCACGAAAGACACAATCCGAACCACCGGGTTTCGTCACATTCCCTGGAGATTTCGGCGCGTTGCGCCGCAGAGTATGCCTATGCCCATCTCCCGAAAAAAAATCACTGGCAGCTCTTGGGAAAAAACATGGGTCGTGGCAGAGAAAGATTGAAGCACCTTTGGTGGAAGCTAGCCTCATCCTCAATAAGAAATCTTGGGTGAAATATGTGTGCATTTTGTGATACAAGCATACATAATGTTACATAATGTTGCATAATGATACATAATTATACATAATAATACATAATAATACATAATAATGCATAATAATACATAATAATACATAATAATACATAATAATACATAATAATACATAATAATACATAATAATACATAATAATACATGATAATACATGATAATACATAATAATACATAATAATACATTAACATAAATTATAATACATAATAATGTAATATATCCATACATATCATAGCATTATATATATAATATACATACATATCATAGCATTATATACATAGCTATGGTAGCTATGTGTTTGCAGATGGAGCAGCCTCTACAATAGCCAGGGCAGATCAAGAAACCTTTCTCGGCCATGTTCCAAGTAGATGTGGCAGGCTTTTCAGGTTCTGCACACATAGACGGACTTCGAATCTACTGTATCCATAGCTGTGGATTACCTGATTACCCTGAGTTTCTCACCGCGAATTCAATGGGTATCCCCCGAAACCGGCTCAGGTGCTCGGGTCCGGACATTGGGAGCACCCACTGCCGATGCTGTTCTGAATCGCAAATGACACCTGTTTGCGACAGGGCCTGGTGAAGAGCACCGTGAGGCTGATAAGCGATAAGCGAAGGATGGCACGAGAATGGCAAAACTGAATATGCGGCCTCGCAAAGCATCCCCACATACTTCACAGTGATTTGGCAGGGTTTGTTTTTTAAACACCCCTCCAGGGGTCTACAATGAGTAATTTCACCAAAAAAACAAAGCATAGCAAGATATAGATTTGCTGATTGCCCGGGAACGTTTATATACTCTTTTGTGAATCAGAAACATACAGATTGAACAAAAGTAAATCAATGATAATCAAGGCGCCAATATGACTTTCTGAACCGCTCCTGTTGGGATGTACAGTATTCAGTACTCGTACAGCCAGGCGCCAGTTGCATTGGCCTATGGACTGGCCGCACGCTCACTACACAACGCGACGAGGTGGCTATGGCCAAGTCTTCAAGAACATGGCTGGATCCTTTGATCAGCTTCTAATCAGACAGGATCACTGATGAACGGAGTGTGAAGTTCTATTTCCAAAGGCAAGCATCAAATTGACTGTTCAGATGTGTTCAGTCTCAGCAAAGACATGTGGACAATGTGGTGTAGTATGGATAATGTGTGTGAAGAGTGTTTTTCATGTGTTAAGATATTGGACATGTTGAATCATGTTGATACCTTGATGCAGAATGGCCAGCTGAAATGCATTGATCTTGAAATGCATTGGAGCAAGAGTCAATCCAATGCAGTATACTGCGGATACGTCATGGAAGCTGACTTTTTTGCAACGCAACTTTAATCCAAAGCCATATTTTTTGGACGGGCCATGTTTGTTCCGTCACAAGTCTCGACACAAGTGTTAACAAGTGCATCAAGGAAACTTTGGATTATATAGTTATTGCTCTTCAAAGCGGATGAAGTGAGAACGCATGTCAGATTGACATCTCCATCATACAAGTCCAAAATTTATCGAAATTTCCCATTAGGTCATTACAAGTCGTTAAAAGTCTAATGAGTCTAATACATAGAATAGTCATCCTGGCGTAGATAGTATCTTTCAAAGTTCCATGTTCTAGCTACAGGATCAACACATGTATCATATATTTGGATAAACCATAGTGCCCTCAATGCGACGTCACTGGAATGATGGGAATGGATTACAGGGAATCATCCCCCAAAGGGCCCAACATGACAACAGCTATTTTTAGGTTAGTGAATTACTAGTATTTTTACTCGGCCGGACACATATGATACAATGTTGTATAGAAAATAATAGATATATTGCGTATTCTATATGAATATGATATACGTTATATTACTATGAGATAAAGATGTCGATAATGATTATCGCTATTGATAATATACCATTGCAATGAATATTATATTCATATATATATATATATGTTCATATGGGGTAATCATATAGTCAGGTGTATATCCCATTAATTTCCCATTATATACCTATTATATCCCATGATGTTACATAGTGATTGTCCTCCTACATATTCATACACATACATACATATTCATACACATACATACATATTCATACACATACATACATATACATATACATATATACATACATACATATATGGTCCATGATATGTACATATGCATATATATATACATACATATACAGATAGACACACATAGACATATATTATCAATGTACTATACTATATTATACATGTAGACATACATATACTACTACTACTACTACTACTACTACTACTACTACTACTACTACTACTACTACTACTACTGCTATCATCAATTATCAGTAGACACATATAGTATAATACATATCGTAAAATACAGTCTCAAATATTATCATATAGTATACTATCATATAGTATACTATCTTATAGTATAATACATATATGGTTGGTGGTTTGGAACATGTTTTTATTTTCCATAATATATGGGATGTCATCCTTTCCATCGATTTTCATATTTTTCAAGATGGTTAAAACCACCCATGGAAAATCACAAGTTTTAATAGGTAAATAATCATGTTTATCATCTATAAATGGGTCATTTTCCATAGCTACGTTAAATAACCAAAGGCTAATTTACTATCTTATAGCAAAATACATATATATATAGTATACATAATTAGTATACATATATATGTATATATGTATAGTATAATACTACCAGTAATATTTACTATCTTATAGTATACCCTCTGGTAAACTAACATAGCTATTGAAAATGGCCATTTATAGTGAGTTTTCCCATTAAAAATTGTGATTTTCCATAGTCATGTAAACGTTTACCAGAGGGTAATACATATTATTGGTAGTAGCAGCTAGCACCAAGGTGGGTACCATGATGCTGGGCCTCGTGGCCACTGAGCAGAGGGAAGATGCCATGGATGCATTGAAGGCCGTGGGGCCGCGGGTTTCCATGGCAACCAGGGAAAATGCTGGATTTATGTGGAAAAATGGTGGATTTATATAGAAAAATGGTGGATTTATGTAGAAAAATGCTGGATTTGTGTGGAAAAATGGTGGAATTATATGGAAACATTGTGGAATTATATAGAAAAATGCTGGATTTATGTGGAAAAATGGTGGATTTAAGGAACACAAATTGGAGTCTTACCATGTTAAACCAAGAAATTTATGGAACATAAGAATCCTACAGAATTGGCATTTGACCACCGATAATCGGCATTTAACGAATAGTAGGATTTAAATATCACACAAATGGGGATTTCAGTATCAAAATGGGGATTAGAAAGCCTACGTTTTATGGAGGACGGGGATACTGTATCAATACGATATTTGAGTGTGTCTGGAAATGGGGGATGAACCGCTCAAATTGCCATTTCAATGGGGAACATTATGATAAACTATTGTATTTGGGGTACTCTATTTTCAGACAAACCCATTTGTTGAAAATGATGGCATTCTTACACTTTTATAGGTTCATGTCACCGAACTACAATCTTGAGCTTCGGTAAACTAACCTAGCTACTGAAAAGCCCTATCTATAGATGATTTGCCACTAATAAAAGGATATTTTTCATAGCTATCTTCGTGTCCCAGAGGGTATCAATGGATTGGTTTAGGGGAAAAATTACAGGAAAATCCCATATTTAATGGTAAAAAAACATGGTTTCCTGCAAATTTTCCCTTAAACCAATCCATTTTTCGGCTAAGAAAATTGTTTTTTTGTGTCCAATCAATTCTGATCAGACCGAGCTGCCTGACATTTTCTGGGACTACCGCGACAAGTGCGCTGCCCAGATTCCACTAACACTCGAAACGAGAATTCGTTGAAGGTAATATGAATTGATATGAGATGTCAGTCCTGTAAAAAAAATTGTCCTGTGGAAACAAAAGTACTAGACCGCTAGACAACTGGAGACAAGGGAAACCCCCTTTGTTATTGGAGAGGAGAAACAGAGCTAGTAACAGTAGCTGAGGTACATTCCCAAGCCACGCAGCTTCTTTGGCAGAAAGGCTGCCATCAAGAAGTCGCGAACATACCCTGATGAGGTGGGTTTCCATGGCCACCCCATCGTATGTCTTGTGACCCCAGCTGCCATTTGAGGCTTGGATCACTGTAGATCTGCGACCGTCAGGATGTAGTCTACACCGAAGAAGAACTGGAAGAAGAAGAGGCACTGTGGACCTATGGAGCTGGGCTGATCCGAAACCTATCCGAAAAATCATCCCAATACATATGGCTGTGAAATGGGGATTCACTGCCCAAAATGGCCATTTGCGGAGATGATTGACCATCAAATTTTGGGGTTTCATCTCGTTTCATCCAAATTTTCAGACCCACGTGTTTAGACCCCATCTCTGTGAAATTGGCATAAACGTCCATTCTTCGCCTGCGGGAAGAATACCAATGCCGGAGGAAATCGCTGAGAAGCGAGAGCTGAGGGCCTTGCGTGCCGAACGAAAGGCTGGGTCCACAATGGCACAGTGGATATGTCATCCAATGGTGGGGAAACAATAAGGATCATAGTTGATCGTAGGTTATTCATGGTTAATGTATGTTAATGTATGTTAATGTATGTTAATGTATGTTAATGTATGTTAATGTATGTTAATGTATGTTAATGTATGTTAATGTATGTTAATGTATGTTAATGTATGTTAATGTATGTTAATGTATGTTAATGTATGTTAATGTATGTTAATGTATGTTAATGTATTCTTCCATGACAACGTGAACACTTCTGAACTAAGGTCATTTATTGTACATCCACCACTTACATCACAAACAAATCCACCACTTAGATCCACTTAGATCCACGGGATGCTCCACTTCCAGGCGCGGGGAGAAAGCATCACCTTGGAAGACAAGGTGGATGATATCAAGGGTCCGACTCTCTCACCCAAGGACCACGGACCAGCCGCGGAAGCATGCGGAAGCCACGGAAGGGGAGAGAATTTTTTGTGTGAAAAAATCATGGTTAGGCCATCAACAATGGATTAGAATATGTCAAAAAGCATGTTATAACATGTTATAAGCTGAGTTTCCTGATTTCTTTGCTGTTGCAAATGATAAACTGGTCCACTTGAGTGAAACCAGCCGCAGGAGCGCCTGAAGAGATGGGAAGACATGCTTGAAGAAGCCAGGCGCATGGAAACCGGACAGAAGTTGTGGCGGATCCGGATGCAGACCTTGTTTAGGTCAAGGGAAAAGCATCCTTCATGTGTTCCATGGTTCACACAATTATATATACGTATATATATACAACCAATAGTTATTAACCAGTATTAACCAGTACTAACAATTAATTAATTACCGTACTTAATTACCATTATTATTTATTATTATTTATTATTATTTATTATTATCTATTATTATTTATTATTGTTACTATCATAATGTATGTAATATATATATATATATATTAGATCATATTAGATTTATATGCTCTAGTTTATTCATTTGTATCATTTGAACCTCAACGTTGCTACCCACGGGTCACCCTGACAGGCGGTGAAGCCTTGATGGTCGGATCGATGGTCGGATCGAAAAAAGCTTCGATGATGTTCGATGCATGAAGAAATTGTGGTTTTATAGTTTGCATATAAAATATTATAAAATACTATAGAAGTATGAAGAATGATCACAGTTCATCCATTTTTCTTTCTTACAAAAATCATGCGACGGAAAAGCGCTTGGTTTGCTGACTGATCCCAGAGCGAGTTGAAGCTGTGCTGAAACCAAGCAGAGCAGTGACCACTGGCAGCGAAGCCGCGAAAGTCCTCTGGACGAATCTGAGAAAAGTCCGGTTGAACCAGCAATCAAACACATCCAGCTTCAATTTTTTCAATATTGGTAGCCTAAGGGGTAATCAAACACAGCTGGGTTCAATCCCATCATTAGTGCTGATTTTCCCATGAAGACTTCTGGTGGTGGACGTTTCATTGAGTTACCCGGCCTGGTAATGACGTTTACAGTTCGCGAACATGAAGCCATGGCCCAGTTATAGTTGATTTACCCAGCTACAAAATGGTGGATCTTTCCAGTTCGCTATGTAAACGTTACCAGAGGGTAATTGCCATGTTACCATATGTTACCGGCAATTCAATGGAGACTTGCCATTTTCAGCGAGTTCTGATGTCCTTAACTCGGCAGGCCGTTCGTTGATCACCCCCTGGGCGTCACGACTTGGTTCGTCCGAGCTTTCCCAGGTGTCTCCCGCAGCGTTTTGCAAAGTTGCAACGGCCCCAGATGAAGGGCCGAACAGAAAAATGTCCTCAGAATATCTCAGAATCTCTTGCTGAGATTGTGTCCATGAAAATCTCTCAGCGATCTGAGTATAGTTTTCCCATGTTTTCCCTGTGTCCCACGTCGCAGCACATATAATCGGGGGATATCGGGGGCAAGGCATCACGACAGAACAAAAATGACCTGAAGGAAAGCACTCGCGCCATCTCGCGCCACTGTTGCTATGGCTTATGGCGCGTTGGTCCCGCGCCCGAAAGGCTGCCTCTCTCAGAGACGCGCCAGAAAGCTCCGAAGCCAAACGCTGCCCCGTTTGCTTGGAAAGCGATGGAGTCCAGGTGCCTGTGACCGGCCATCCCTGAGAGGGTCCTTGCGGGACGAGTTTTTACATACTGCAAAGTTCATAGTTTTACTTGATTTAAGGTAAACTTGCACTCTAAAGGATACCCAACCGATACCCCCAAAATTGCGATGTTGTTCTGGGAACAGGGTATCTGTATGTATCAGTGCTGTGGTCCAGCATGGTGACCAGGTCACAATGTCATGTTGAATTCTGTCGGCCATTGCAATACTGTACCATATTGGGTTTCTTCTTGTTGGATATCCATTGAGAGTCCTTGGATAGCAAAAAAACCTATAACATCCATTAACATCCTATACCCTCTGGTAAACAAACATAGCTATTGAAAATGGCCATAGAAATAGTTGATGTACCCATTAAATATGGTGATTTTCCATAGTTATCTTAGTTTCCCAGAGGGTAACCAATACTAAGCAATCTCAGAGTTTCAAAGATACCGAACTCCTCACAGTTTCGTTGGAGAATCGGTGGCCATGATCTGAACAGGTTGTGTTGCCTTGCCAGCACGCGCTTTGCGGCGAATGTTTGGTGAACTACGTGGAGAGTTTGGTAAATCAAGGAAAGGTGGCGGCCGAACAGGTTGCCTGCCCCTTACCAGAATGTCGACATCCCGTGCCAAGCAATGTCCTTCAGGCTCACTTAGAAGGCCACGATGGAGAGACACTTGGGGCCGCAGTTGGTGCAGTTGGGGTTATTTCATGGGTGCCATTGCAATAAACCCCACAAGTTGGGATATGGGGCCCCCATAAACTATGGTCATACACAACTTATCGCCAAGTAAACTGTTGTTATTTGCACCACCATATGTTGCAATGATAAACAAAATAGCATTAAATGAGTCGGAATCGCCGCCAGGAAGCTCTTCCAACGACTTCTGGATTTTCAAGCGCAGCGTTTCGAACCAGAAGATGGTGAACGCCTCTTGAATTGTCCTACTCCCAACTGTGTCAAGATGCTGGTGCCCTTATCCTTGGTGGAACAGAGAGCCGACGCGCCTTGGCAGAACAAGAATGTCACTTGTGTAACTCTATATACAAATATAATATATATATATATTACATATAATGTATATATTATATTAATATATATATAATGTATATATTATATATAATGTATATATTATATATAATGTATATATTATATATAATATATATTATATATAATGTATATATTATATATAATGTATATGTTATATATAATGTGTGTATTATATATATAATGTATATATTATATATAATGTATATATTATATATAATGTGTATATTATATATAATGTATTATATACAATTAATTATATATGTAGTAGCTTTTTATTTGGCAGATCATGATTACACATCCCTGGCTGTGTGCAACTGCACCGAGCAGCCAAGGTGAACTGCCCCCAATGCAGGCAGAGTTTTTGCGCTGCGTGCACTCAACCATCTCATCTCGAGAGCTGTGAGGAAGCTGAACTGAAGCGAATGGATCCCGCCATCCGCGAGTTAATGAAGAAACAAAGCTGGAAGCGCTGCCCAGTTTGCCGACATCTCTGTGAGAGAGAAAGCGGATGTAATTTCATGACTTGCCCCTCTGAACAGTGCACTTTGGCAAGCGTGAGATAGCCGGTCAGGTAGAGATCTATTTTGTATAGGTTGCAGCAGTTTCTTTCTTGCCTGTATAACAAGATTGATGAAAGATCACGGAAACCTTTTTCACGAGCGGTTCCTTTCCTCAATACTTCGAAGACCGTCCCATCCCCATCCCTTGTCTTTTTGTTGCCCGTCTGATATGAGCAGACAAATGTCATGTCAAAACCACAGGTGCAGCGGTGCGGTGGAAGTTTCATTGTTTCACCGAGGCAAAGGTGAAACCTACTTTTGCTACCTATGCGGTGAGCTCCTGGCTTCCTCAGACCACGCAGCGCATTACGAAGGCGCGGTCATGGCAATGTAGGGAGAAAGTGGTCATGAAATGTCATGAAGATTCCGAATGATGCAAAATCGTTGAAACATTTTGAAACTGTACAAATTGACCTCTGCAGCGGTGTGTCTGGTGATTCCTCTCAGGCTTCGAGGGAGCTATTGGATTGCGTGGACCTTTTGGTTCGGTTTGCATGAACAAACGGGAGCCCGACAGCTCACTTCCTTCTCAGCCGTTGCCACCACGACTGAGTGTCGTCCGGGGTGAAGAGGAAGGCTCAATAGCACTGCGGATTACTTTCAGCGACCACAGGAGAGGCGTTTTTTCTTGGTGGCATGTGAGTAATGCCCAACATCCCTGGTTGTTTGACCGTTGTTTGAGGGTCATACCTGAATTCGTACCATTATGATAACTGCATCAAACTGCTCTTGAAGTGCTTTGATGGGCATGTTTATATTATCATATTTTGATTATTTTGCAATCCAATATGGAGACCAATAAAATCAACCAACCAGTCGCCTTTTCGATGACCGAGGGCTTATTTGGGCACTGCTGTTCGACCCTGTTTTCTTTCACTCAACAGTCGGGCTTAGTGGAGATGAATTGCTGAGCACTGGAGGTTTGTCTTCAACCCCCTGCATAGATACGCATCAACGGCAAAGGAGCGAACCACCTACCATTTACTATCGGATTTGGCTGGCTGTGGCTGGCAGCAAGGAGGTTGACCCGTCCTGGTACCTGCAGCATTTGTTGGTATAGGTACAATATGGTACAATAATAGTGTGGAAGAGCCAGAGCCTATGTCATAATATGCTGTGCGTGTGTGTTTGTGTCTGTGGATATATATATATATATAATTATTTAAGCATATATATATATTATGTATATATATATATATACATACATATATTATTATACATACTATACGAATGCTGATGGGAAGTCTCAAGTTCCTTCCAAGAAAATTGCTGCTGCAGGGCCGTTGATTTGGACACTTTAACGGCAGGTGCGACGTTTGAGTGCACCCGCTCGGTAGTAGCGAACTCAGAAAAACACTGTGATCCTAAAGATTTCATGTGGGATTGCACCGAGAATCTGTGGACAGCAAACAAAGCTTAGCTTGTGGACTTTTCATGACTGGAACCACATCCTTGGTATGAGCCGAGTCCTTGGGACTCGCGCTGAGTCCGTATTATGATGCGCCAAAATCCTTGCCGAAGTACATCCGATATCAAGCGACTGTTGCTTGGTGGCAGGAAAAATGGGGGCACCCTGACAGCACCACATACCACCACCATTTTAAAGGTTGCAAGCACCAGGTTACAGTGCCACTGGACCAAAATCTCTAGAAAACAGATCATGTTCATTGAAAATCATGGAATTAGATTCAGAAGTTCATCAAATTTCATCAAGATGAGCAAGGTCAAGACTTCTCTCCCCTCAGGTTATGCCTGTGAACGTGAATGGTGAAGGTCCAGTTAGTGAACCCAGTGAGGTGCGATAAGGGGAAGCCAATACTGTGGTTTTGGATCCGGGATGCCCTTTCCCTTACAAGAGCCAATGTGATCCCTGCGAAGTACTTTGCAAGGCCCTATTCGGTAGGAATCTTGTTGCTGTGTACTTGGTTTTTGTAGTATCTTGATGCTTTTGTAGACCTTTCTGAGCGAACCCAAAAGGTCCATGCAGAAACCCTTACTTGAGAGGTCTTGTGAATACATATAGCGATAATGCACATGCAAAAACCATGTAAAGCGATATAGCGAACTACCTAAAGCGATAAATTTTGCTCGTGACCGCCTTTGTGACCCTTAGTTTCCTGAGATTGGCCTTCTAGAAACTAGCTGTCTTTTGTAGCGGGCTGAAGTGTGGCCAAATACGATTTGTAGGTAAGTTGTGCCCAACAAATTGTAGTTTTAAACAGTTCTATAGTACTGACAGGTCTGTGTTCAATCCCCCCGGACTAAAGGGTGGAGAGGGGAGAGATCGTTGGAGATATTAGGGGCCCGGCGTCGATCGAAGCCAATCGGTGATCTGGGGTCAAAACATGTCACAACCACCTTGCCATACAAATATATGATATGTGTATGCTACCATCTATTTAGTTGAGAGCACATGTCATGTGCTCGCGACAGCCAATCAAAAAAAATACTCATGTGCAACATATCCAAAACATATTCAAAACATATTCAAAACATATTCAAAACATATTCAAAACATATTCAAAACATATTCAAAACATATTCAAAACATATTCAAAACATATCCAAAACATATCCAAAACATATCCAAAACATATCCAAAACATATCCAAAACATATCCAAAACATATCCAAAACATATCCAAAACATATTCAAAACATATTCAAAACATATTCAAAACATATTCAAAACATATTCAAAACATATTCAAAACATATTCAAAACATATTCAAAACATATCCAAAACATATCCAAAACATATCCAAAACATATCCAAAACATATCCAAAACATATCCAAAACATATCCAAAACATATCCAAAACATATTCAAAACATATTCAAAACATATTCAAAACATATTCAAAACATATTCAAAACATATTCAAAACATATTCAAAACATATTCAAAACATATTCAAAACATATTCAAAACATATTCAAAACATATTCAAAACATATCCAAAACATATCCAAAACATATCCAAAACATATCCAAAACATATCCAAAACATATCCAAAACATATCCAAAACATATCCAAAACATATCCAAAACATATCCAAAACATATCCAAAACATATTCAAAACATATTCAAAACATATTCAAAACATATTCAAAACATATTCAAAACATATTCAAAACATATTCAAAACATATTCAAAACATATTCAAAACATATTCAAAACATATTCAAAACATATTCAAAACATATTCAAAACATATCCACAACACCTTCGAAATAATTCGATTGAAAGCGGAAGTTCCCCTTTGTGTTTCCCCTCTCCCATTGTATTCCCCGTTGGCCAATGTGCACTGAGTGGCACCTTCTCCTACCCAGAAAGGCAAATAATACCCGCGTGCGCTACGCCCCACAGGTACTTCACTATACTATATACACTTTCATATGAAGTTTTTGCAGGGGTTCTGGGTTTTTTTTGGGTTCATTTAGGGTTTCTTTACGGTTGATTTAGGGCTTTTTCCAAGGGTTTTTGTAGGTTTTCTTTAGGGTTTATGTAAAAAATGTTGAAAACAGCGAAAGGAGTTCAGCCGAATCCCCGTAGAGGGTCAACAATCACGTCCCTCACGAAGCCTGAGGGACATGAAGTTTATCCATATCAACATAGTGGAAGGCCACAAAGTACTGTAAGGGTCACCAAGAATGAGGTTCCCGACAGTCATCCCAAAAGAGTTTGGGGCATAGCAAGTGCTGGCCGAAATAATAAATACCATCACAACCTTTTCTTGGTACTTGCTATTCTTCCCCACCTTTTTCATGTCGTCAATTGCCATCAGTAATTTTCATCCATTTCCCCACCTTTTTCTTCATTTTATCATTATATATCACTATATAATTAAGTTAAAATTTAATCATGTGTCCAACCTTTTTTTCATGTTGTGATTAAGTGTGTTATTTTTCCTGCCTTTTTCTTCATGTTATCATGCAGTTTCATCAGTGTTCACACCTTTTTATTCATTTTCATCACTGCTTTGTGCGTTTTTGCGCATTTCTTTTTGCATTAAAAAGGTGCACAACCGTGTATGTGATGCAATGTGACGATATAATACGATATACCCTCTGGTAAACTAACATAGCTATTGAAAATGGCTATTTATAGTGGATTTTCCCATTAAAAATAGTGATTTTCCATTGCTATGTTAGTTCACCAGAGGGTACATGTGAATTTTATATGAATGAAAGGTGTCTGTTTCTACGTGCTGCTTGCGCTTGTCATTACCCGAAAATGAGTGATGTTTAAAGATGACCTGGAGCATGTCATGAATGTTGAGGGCAGACGTCACACAAACCTATCGAAAAAAGAAGGTGTGGTACTTGTTGGTATTGAAGAAGATGACATGTTTTTGTGTCAAAAAAGTGTACTTGGCAGATGACATTTTTGCATTTTTGCTTTTCCGTTTCACTATTCTCATGTCATGCGCCATGTGAGAATACCATGATCTACCGATAGTTCATTCTAATAGTTCATTCTGAATGTGTCCCAAGGTATTTTTCAGTTTAAAAAATATGAATCAAACCATCGCGAAGATCGTGAAAAAAACAGCAGTTTGGGCATGCTTGGGGAGGGGATTTGCAGGAAAAATCGAAAAACATGAACAAACATATCCTATGTTCCAGGACCATCCGGGAAAAAAACTTCAATTTCACTACAGAATTAAAAATACCAAATAATACCCACACAACCCTCTACAAAAGGATCATGGAAATTTAGTGTTTCTTCAAAATCGAAAACAACAATCAAAAATCCGGCTAAAAAAACATTAAAAAACTTTTGTAGAGGCACCTTTTCATCCTTTTCCTGACTGGGACATCCTTTTATTCGTAGTTTTCTCAAGTAGGGGCTATGGGTCAACTCCCCTGGAAATGGCAACTGTGACGGTTTTAGGGATCGTTGAATGGGGTACTGACTTGAGAATCAGCCATGCCAACATAGGGATATGAATGGTGAAAGGCAAACAAATATGGGATGTGAATGAGATGTTTCACGAGAAAATGGGAGAAGTCACCAGCCCAGTGGTGATGTCATCAACTCCAAGGGTTTGGGAAGGTGCGTGGCTCATGTTTCCATGTTATAGCAACACGAGTGTGGAACAAACTGATCCCTCTTGGTCCAGCCCTAAAACATAGTATGTTTTCATTATGATCCATGATTCTGAAGATGTCGTTAGCATTTTGGATGTATCTATAAATATCCATAATTATCCATAATTAATTATCCATATTTATCCATAGTTATCCATAATCCAACATGTTCTGGCGCATGTTCGAAAACATCCCCAGCCCTATCCACCTTAGTGCCAGCTGGTCAGGTGGTGCACTTCCACCCCAGAGAGTTGAACCGATCGCAGGACAAGGAAGCGCCCATGCCGCGGAACAAGCGCTGGGTCACAAAGTGAGTACCTTCTGGTAATTTATAGGGATTTACAGTGATTTAATAGTGATTTATAGTAGTTTAATGGGATTTTATAGTGATTCAATGGGATATTAATGGGATATACCCTCTGGTAAACATACAAAAAACGATGGAAAATCACAAAACCTCAGTATAAATGGCCATTTTCAATAGCTATGGCAAATTACCAGAGGGTATCCACGAATGGATACCTCTTGAGTTGAAAGAACGATCTTCGTTGTGCAAAGCCGCGGCAACAAAAACAGAATGGGTCGTAGCTGTTTTTGGATGGTCGTAGCTGTCAAGAGAATTGCAAGATGGCGGAGAAAACTTCTGACATTAAATTAACGGAGTCTCCACTAGTACTGAATTTAACAATTTTTAGCATACCTAATTTGACCGTTTGAGTTTTTCATAAGCCTCAAATCAGATCATGGTCATTCTTGAGTGACGCCTCGGAGATGAGTCGGACACTTTCATGGCAAGCGACGAGGGTTGAATGACCAAAAGCCCAGGAAATGGGGCCCATGATAAAATCCTGCTCCGAAATTTCGCTGGCTAAGTGTATTCGCACCAAGTAAAGTAAGTAGTTGGGAAATGTTGGGAATATTTGGGCCCACACTTTGATTTCAGGACTATAATATGCTAGAATGATTTCTGATGATTTCTGCTTGGCTTGGGACCACAGACAATGCACTGACTAACTGCCATCGCGTCTCAGTCAGATGCCTTTCTAAAAGGGGCGCTGCGGGAGCCAGCGATGCCGCCTGTCAAGGCTCTTGGGGGCCAGGGCATGGTGATAAAATTCCTGTGCTCCAGACAAAGATTCACATCGTTTTTTGTGAAAAAATGCACCGGATGTTCGTTTGTGAATGGTTATCTCTGGTATTGATATATTAATATATATATATATATGATTATATATGGTGGTATATATATATATATGGTGGTATATCTAATAGTTAATATGATATCAATGATGTTTCGGGGTCAGGAATTCGATGGGCATCCCCTGGATTCGCTGATCTTTTTTTGCGAACGCCAGGTGACCCATGGCCTCATGCAGGGGGCGATCTCGGCACCAAGGTCTCTTCGCAGATGTGGCTGGAAGAATAGCCGTGACATATTGTAAGATCATCTCGCTACGGAAGTGACCCAGTTATACCCAGTTACCCTCTGGTAAACATCCAAAAAGCGGAAAATCGCCATTTTGAGTGGGTAAATCAACTATCAATGGCCATGTTCAATAGCTTTTTGTTAAATTACCAGAGGGTAAGGTGTCATATTGTAGAGTCTTTCAGTCGCATATGTTCCTTTTTGTGGTTCCAGATGTTTCAGTTGCAACAGTGGTACCGTGCAGTTGAGGTTATACCTTTATGGGTTCAAAAAACCAGATTTTCAACCCCAGTTGGGGTATGGGGCCCCTATAACTAGAGTTATGATATCCACTTAGTTCCCCAGTAGTTCCCCAGTTGTATCTTTAAGTATAGCTGGTGTGTTGGGGCTTATAGATATCCCTGAAAACCGGGAAAATATGTTTGCCCTAAGCAGTGAACTTGTGAACTGGAACTATAGTGAACTTTATCAAGCCTGATAGTGAACTTGTTAGAGCTCAGATCCCATACCTATGGTTATCCACTGAAATAAACCAACTGCGCTATTAATATAACCACTAGCCTGATAGTTACTGATAGTTGGATAACCGCTAAATATAAACTAGATGTACGTATACATACATACATACATACATACATACCTACCTACCTACCTACCTACCTACCTACATACATACATACATACATACATACATACATACATACAACCCTTATAAATATATATATATATAAAGATAAATAAATACATATATATATATATATCCCACTGAGTGAACACTGGACCTGCAGGCAGCCCTTCGGGGACAAGACGCCTTCAAGGCGTCCGTCTTCGGCTGGTCGGGTGGTCGGAAGCGCTCAGGAGGACGATGTCAGACGGACGTGGTGGGGCAAATTGTTTAAAATGACAGGCTACCGGATAATGTATTTGTATATAATTATATCTATTACTGTGTAAGATGTGACCAAGTGCCGCGCCTGCCACTCAAAGTGCCGCGGCGTCATGGGCGACCAAAACCAGCCCAAGCGCGCCACCCAGTGCCATAAGTGCCACGCCTGCCACGTGAAACCAACGTGGATGTGACCAAGTGCCACGCCTGCCACGTGAAATGAAGGTGGATGTCACCTTGTGCCGCGCCTGCCACTCAAAGTGCCGCGGCGTCACGGGCGACCAAAACCAGCCCAAGTGCGCCACCCAGTGCCATACGTGCCACGCCTGCCACGCAAAACGAAGATGGATGTGAGATTGTGCCACGCCTGCCACGCAAAGTGCCGCGGCAAAGTGCCGCGGCAAAGTGCCGCGGCGTCACGGGCGACCAAAACCAGCCCAAGCGCGCCACCCAGTGCCATAAGTGCCACGCCTGCCACGCAAAACGAAGGTGGATGTCACCTTGTGCCACGCCTGCCGACAATGTGTAAGATGGTATGTGACGAAGGACAATGTGTAAGATGACGTAGTGCATCTTTCTACACGTTCTTTTTTTCTGCAAAAATATTGTTTCTTATTTATAGGAATACCTTGTTTTCAATGCAATTATTTTGAAGACGTGAAGGATTTCCTTAAACAACTTTATATAAGAAAGGTGTGGAGAAGGCTGAACTTCATTAAAGGATGCATTGCATCTTTCCAAACATTATGGTTTTCTTGCAAGAAAATGTTGTTTCTTATTTAAGGAAATAATATTTTGTCTTCAAGGCAAATTGTAGCCTCTAGGCAGCATTGTCCCTTGACATGTTTTTCAAAGAATGCTGCAATGTGCATTGACCATTGCACTTTTTGAAAACAAAACTAAATGTTACTCACGCACTGCATATTGTGTAGGAATCTAGTGGTTTGAAAAAACTGCATGATTACAAGGAAGGCCTATTATTCTAAAAAGTTCTGAAAGAAAGACTGCACTTCTTCAGAAAGGAACACTGCATGTTTAGTGGAACGCGCTACATTTTGTAGGGATACTGATTCTTGAAAGAAGTAATGCATTGTCTTGAAGGAAAGCTGCAGTTTATGAATGAAAGGTGTGTTTTAAAGAATGGAAAGGAATGCCGCAATTTACAACATATTGCTTCCTTCAAGAAATAGTGTGTTTTTTGACCTGACTTACTTTGTTTTTGCAAAAGGTTCCCAACAAATACTACCTCTTTGAGATTAGCACAAGGCTAAACATTGCAGATCTTTGAGGGGTAGCGTGTATATATATATATATGCATACATACATGCATGCATGCATGCATGCATACATACATACATACAAGATATACTGATGACTGATGACCTGAGACTTGTCGGAATAGCTCAAAATTTACTGGATCCTAAGTCATCATGTTTTGAACTTTTTTTTTTGGATTGAACCTATTCTTCTTGATGTGCCAAGACATAAGGGGACGGCCATGATGACCTAGGACTAGGGTATATGTTACATACTAAGACATCATGCTCCACAGCGGACAATGAAAAATCATTATTTTTCTGATTCAGTGCGTGGGGGTTGATGAGTTAGGACTAGGGAGGTTTGAGGGAAATGAGGAGGGAACACATGACCTAGGACTAGCCAGTTCCATCACTGTTCAAAACTAGGCATATCTAGGCATAACTTGCTTGGCACCGCAGCCATTTTGGTTGTTTGCGCTGTGCCACCTGCGATTGTCTACGCTTCTCTGCCTATGGCGGAAGGGGCTGCTCACTCGGAGGATTCATGGGAAAATATGCAATTCGATATATTGTTCAGAAATAATGCATATATGTTCAAAATTTATCAACACATATGTATATATATATATATGAAACCAAAATACGTTGTTTTGATTGTGTGTCATCCTGAAAGGAGTCTATGACTACAAGTGGTGGCGGCGCATCAGAACATGTTAGGGCACCAAGATGCACCAAGTATATATATAATCTCTCGTGTGTCACTATGTATGCTGTGTATATATATATATACAAATATGTTATTTGTTTCGCGTGCGCATGCAGGTATGTCAACAGCATCCGCTGCTGCCGAAGGACAAGGTTTTTGATTTTTGTATCCGAAGTTTTTGCATTTGGAAATTAGTGCACCCAAGTCCCAAGTCATGAGTGCATGTGTGCAGGATGCTGAAACGAAAATTTCCGAGTTCGAAATTGCTTTGTCAGTCGCAACCTTAGAATCAAATACCAAAGTAATCCTAAATCATTAGCTTCATTAAATTATGTTTTGACTATTTACCAGAAATACGAAATACCTGATGACTCAGGACTTAGCGAATGCTAAAACATTCCGATCATTTCTGAACTATTGTTTTTAATCAAACAATTATGAGGCCGAAGTTGCCGAGCTGATTGACAACGAGCCGGATGACGATGCAAATGAAAAGGTGCATTGTTCGCGTATGTGAGTCATTAAATTCATTAGATTCTTTAGACACTGAAGTAGTATATAGAAATGGATTCAATAATATGGAATATGAGGCCGGAATTGCCGTTGGTTCGGCTGAAGTTCCAGCTCAAGAGAAAAATGAAAAGGCGCATCCTATGTCATTGTGCGCTTGTGTGTGTTTATTTGTGTTTACAACAAAATTTTCAGCAATGAATTCTACATTTCTGTCAGGCGATGAAGCCAAAAGGGAAACGCACACACCGTGTGATTACGCCGAAGAATTGGAACATTCCGCAGAAACAAACAATGGTTGATATCTTCAAGAATCAACGCAAAAGGGAATCACCTGAGGACTATAGTTGTTCTTTCAACTTTTGTATGCACTGTGTATGAGATATGTGAAAAAGAAAGAAATAACCTGTCAGGACACACATGAGCAAGTGGGTGAGATGATTGACGAGAAGAAGGCAAGGTATATTGCTTCATGTCCTAGGTCATCAACACAGGCTTGAGTCAGATAGTCAGTTGGATTTAGAAGA